CAATAACAACACAACAACAACAGCAACAACAACAACAGCAACAGCAACAGCAACAGCAACAACAACTACAACTACAACAACAACAACTACAACTAGAACTACAACTACGACAACTACAGCTACAACAACAACAACAACAACACCAACACCAACACCAACCACAACAACTACAACTACAACTACAACAACAGCAACAACAACAACTACAACAACAACAACTACTACTACTACTACAACTACACTACACAACAACTACAACCACACAACAACTACAACTACAACAACTACAACTACAACTACAAAACAACTACAGCTACAACCATATGACTGCAACTACACTACACTAATTACATTACACCACAACTACAACTCCACTACGCTACAACTACAACTACAGTTGCAGTACATCACACTACATCCAGCAGTTGTGGGTGAGGTGACCACTGCAAAAATTGCAACCATTCCAGCAAACACAACTCCAACCACCTTTCGGTCAATCAGTGGCTTCGCTCTGCCATCCCTGATTCACAACAACCAACTTCTCCTATAGGTTTCCTATTTTTGAAACTTCCGCCACCGCCTTGTGCGGTACTACTGGTAAGCATATATATATATACATATGATATACATATATACATATTATTTATATATATATATGCAAAATATATTTGTATATGATATATATTTTTATATGTGCATGTGACATATGTATATATATATATATAAATCATGTATGTGAGATTGCCAGATCGTAGTTTTTTGTTCACTTTGTTACTTGGGACGGTGACCCGGTTTTTGTTAGGTTTGCTGACCGATCGTCAACAGGAAATTGATTGGAAAAACATCTGCGAACTGGAATTTTATCATACTTTCATAACTGGGGTGATGGTTCATTATGGTTCCAAATGCTGTACCTCTTGAGAAGGTACTTAACTTATTTAAACCCCAAGGGCAAAGGGAAAGATGGGAAGGATAGCAAGCAGAAGAAATGGACGTACAAGGACTGCGGCGCCACTACCGAACCGTACCAGAGTGCGATGGACCAGCACAAATGGTCAAGTGAGCGATGCCTGGCCTGGCAACGTTACAATAAGTTGCCGCAGACAGAAAAGGATGAGATGAGGCGGCAGACGGCACTGGCCACGTTTCTTGTCAAGATTGTGTCATAGTTTTTGTAATTTTCCTCTTGGGGGTGGCAAGCCAGTGGGTTAAGGGGGTTTGTTTTGTCTGGGTATTTTTTGATTTGGGACTGAGTAGACTGGGTATTTTTTTACACCTCATCTGATTCTCAGGTTCATTTCGATGTTACATTGGTGCAATCGTCAGATCGCTGAAGGCAGAGTATTACTGATTCATTGCAAATGCGGCCGCAATCGCTCGCCGGCACTTGTCAGTGCATTGGCTTCCTGGGTCACATCGCAACCGGTTGATTCCCAAGCATCTTGGACTACAATTTCATCAGCCTTTTTGTAGAGCTGGACGGAGTGTCTGGAATATGCGCAGAGGATGCGGTTGAGTCGTCGGACAGGTGTGGACGGCGCGCTTGCGGATGATCGCGAGGCATCCCCTGCCTTGACGGTGGCATCGTCGCGCAAAGGCAAGCAGACACCTCAGCTGCGAGCTGAGGGTGCTGCGTCCTCCAGTGTCGGATTTCAGGTCGACCAATTTGATTTCATGTGGTTGTCCTGTTTTTTGTCGATAACACCCTTGTTTTTGAACGATCCAAGAGGGCCCGAGGTGAGAATTCGGGATGTAGTTGTGCCTAGGTGGCAAGGTACTCGCGCGCAGAAGATCTTCGGTCACAGTCCGTTTTGGTTTTGGCTAAATTTCCTGTGTTTTGGGGTTAAAACTCATTGAACCCTTGCTCATGGGTTTTCAACTCTGGTCGGTTGATGTTGGATGTGAACTCCCATTTCTGCAGGTGATTTTTTTTTGGCATACCACATTTTGTTTCTGCAGGTTTGTCTGAAAATAGGCTACCCAAAAATCCAGTGGTCAACATGTTTTTTCTCTCGTGAAACAAGGCCATTTGGGGGTTCATCCGTCACTTTCAGACACACTGAAGATACTTTGAAGTTGGTTACATGAAGTTGGTTATATAAAGTCATGAATATCCCATTGTTTCCTACAACATCATTATCGTTTGTTTTCCCCATAACGTATCTCCATTGTAGTTGGTCTAGACCACAACTTTCCTATTCTCAATTGCTTTAGATCCAAATGTTCCATGATTAAAACCTATAAATTGCAGTAAATCCCATATGTGTGTCGTAAATGCATTTAAATCCAATTAGTGAATTAGTGCCATAGATTGACGATATTTTCGTCATGGCGATCTGCAGGTTGCAGCAACAGCACCAAGCAGCTCATCCAGCAGATGCTAACGAAGAATCCGAGCCATAGGCCCTGCACTGACAGCCGGGCAGTTGAGGTTTCAAATTGCTATCATCCCCAAGCAACTGGATTTGTTTTTTGTGGATTTTAAGTGTTTTTTGCTACCTTTATATAAAACATGGCAATGGAAAACGCACATTGATAACATATTTTCTCATATAATATATGCTTCATGGTGCTGGAATATGCACACCAACATTTACCCGAACAAAATCACCCAGTTTTGTCGGTAAATATACCAGCACCATGGTTCGCATATGGGATATGGATGCCATTGGATGCCCATTTGCTTCGGGGATTTCCCAGCCAGTGCTGCGACTGGAAGTGCAGTTCGAGTCATAAGTCGATATACAACTATAATGTGGTTAAAACATGTTAAAACCATGCCATTTGCACCATCCCCCAGTCATCACCATGAATATATATTTATATATAGGTGGTATATATATATATATTCACCCTTCCCATTTTTATGGGTGGTAAAAATGACATGGTTGGGAAACCAACTATAGTTGTAGGTGTTGATCTGCGCAAAAAAAATCAATCCCAACTCAAAAAGGGGCTATGTCTAACCATATATAATGAATCAGTCCCAACACCCCCGGTTCATATCAAACACCACCCGTTTGAAACCGTTTGGTCAAACGTCTGAGATTTACACATTAACGTTTTTGGAACCATAGATTTAGGGGGTGTTTAACAATAGGTGGATGGGATGACAAAAACGCAATTTGTAAGCATTACTTACTATGAACCAATATTAACCATAGCCATTGTTAAATCGAGATCATTTCCGTCCAAAATTGAGACATGTTGGGATGACCCTGGAAATCGTGGATTTCTGAGATAATCTATAATTAATCAGGATAATATCTACAGGTTGGTGGTTTGGAACATTACTTTTATTTTCCATAATATATGGGATAGTGCTTCCCATTGACTTTCATATTTTTCAAGATGGTTAAAACCACCAACCAGAGATAATATCTAGGATAACATTGATTTCATATCAATTTTGGGTACAGTATATCTTGAGGTAAATTTCTGCTCTGGTTTTAATTTCCGGGCTTCTTGACTTGAGAGAAAAGCCGGAGGTTGCAGGGCATGTAATGGGTCACTGTTGTTGAAGGGATTCAAGAAGGGTTCCAAGTCTTCTTGACGAGCATTGTTGATCTCATATCATGGATTTTCGCGTCTGGACATCTCATGGGTTTCAGATATGATCAGCTCTTCCGTAGCTTCATAGTTTGTTATATAATTCCTATGGTGAATCCTCAGCCTTTCAAAAGCAGTGACATATGTTGTTCCTTGTGCCCTCCGGGATAATGGTTTGGTAGCAGATGATGTCCCTTTGATCCATCGTTATGGATCAAAAAATTGGTATCTCACTATCCCATACGCTCCATGTATGGTATATTTACCTAAAAAACTTGGTGATTTTGTTCGGGTAAATGTTGGTAAATATTCCAGCACCATGGAGCATATGGGTATGGGGCCACCAGAGGTTCGGCCATTGAAATCTATTTCGTCCAACCACACAGGGAACCACAGGACCTAGCCCATGGTGGCTGACTGCTGGCCGACTTTAGGGCTGAATGCGCTGGTAAACATGTGTTGGTTTTACGTTTAAGGATGAAGAACGCACATATTTAACTCACCCGACTCACCCGAAAGTTTATTCACTTGGTCTTCACTCCTCTCAGGTCAGCATTTTTTGGGTACGAAGTATAGTTTTTTGCTGCCCCTTCTTTGTGAGGGAGTACCTTTATCACCTTTTGTGAGGGAGTGCCATTTGAGCTCCAGAAGACTTGGAGGAGAGTTCAAGTCTCAAGTGGTTTAGAGGATGTTGGCCGGCATGTCCCTGAGTCCGGTTAAGCATGTTTCTTTATTCTAGGTGGGACCCGAATAATCGCAAACACAAGGGTTTTAGGGAATACAACTATATATAGTTTATATTTGTAAATGGGGTTCATAAATCAGCCCTGGGGGCGGTGGCACTTTATCCTATGTAGACATCGGAAACATGTTTGAAGATACAGGTCTAGCTGGCAACTAGCGAGGAGACCTTTTTTTTTGATGAACAAATTCCCAAGTTTGTTGGTTAAATTGCCATTCCTGTTTGTTGCATTGCATCAAATCACATGGTTGATGCTTCATCACCAAATTATCCAATATACTATATATATATACATTATTGATGTGAATAAGTATAAGTATATAAATTATTGTATATTGTCTCCACAAAAAGTTTGGTTCAATCCAAGTTTAATTAATCCATATATTTGGAGGAATTACAACGGCCTCACTGCGACGTCACTTGAAATGATGCTTCAAGAAGGGGAATCATCCCAAAACAGTTATTTCAGCTCAGTGTTCAGTATTGTATGATTGAACTAGTTTTATTCCGCTATAGTAGTTTATGCATGTTTATGTTTACAATTGCATATGACTTGGATCAATGATGCTTGGTTGATGTTGTTGATTAGTGGGAGAAATCACATAGAAAGTATCCAGCTGTAAACGTTTACATAGATGTGGAAAACCCAACATGTAGATCATATTTCTCAGGAAACCACAGCTTTTCCATGGGTGTTTCATGGGTTTTCCAGGGTTTTCCATATCTTTTTCCACATTTTTTCTATGTTTCCCCGGGTCTCCAGATCTACACGGTCGGATCGCAGCAGGCCTTCGTTGAAGGAGATCCTTCACATGCCACAGATTCGTTCGAAGATCCTTCCAGCATACAGGCGCCAGCTGGGATGGGACGTGATGGGACAGTAGATGAGTTTTCCTGATCTTTTGATGGTTTCCATAAATGGGGGTACCTCAAACGGTATCATTTGAATCGGATCTTCCATGAAATATCTATATAATTGGGGTTTCCACAATTAAACATAGGGTATCACAATATATATATATATAATTAAATATAATTATATATAACTATATATAATTACATATAATTATATATAATATATATATATATATATATCTATCGGAGTTTCCATGAAATAAAATGAAATAAACCATCCAGCGAGCTTTGGGTACCCCCATTGACCAGGACACCTCCATTGGTCCATGGTATGTTTGTAGTATGTACCTATTTCTTCAAGTATCTATTTCATTTGTTCGAAAACATACATACACTGATTATTTGGGAACCATGGAATTTTATGACTTTCCATTCAGTTGGGAATGGAATAATCATCCCAACTGACGAACTCCATGATTTTTCAGAGGGGTTAAAACCACCAACCAGATACAGTATGAGATATTATGAGTACATGGGAACATTGCCGATGGTGTTAGTGACTCTGTTGGTGGCCAATGGTGCTGGCAATGCTCAATGGCAACATGAATGTGAGGGGGGGGGTCCGACGCATGCCAGACAGACACTGTATCGAACACATATGTTATGCACTTATTTCAAATTATTTCGAGTATGTGTTCAACTACTTCACTGGAGTCACTGGATTTCATTAACATTAAATGTAATATAATGTAATAACTTCTGAATATACATATATGTATAAACGTATATATAGTGTAGATATGTTTTTAATCAGCTATTTAGTCACGTCTAGTACAGGCAGACTACATCTGGCCATAGGCCAAATGATCCTGGCCTCATGGCCCCTTCCCACGCTCAGGGCGAATAGATATGGTCCAAAATTGGTTAAACCAACTGTATTGTTGAGACTTGGAAAAACATGTTAAACATAAAATATTTGAACTCTTGACATATTTTGACCCAACCCGTCATTGTGTCCACCAAACTTGAAGTTCACCTGCAAAAAGGCTATGATCCGCAAAATAGTGAACCCAAAACCCTCAAAAAAATGGACACTACATCCCCATTGTGGTTAAGTCAATGATCCCATCACCCATTCGTACTAGTTAAAGCCCTTTGTATGGTCCCAAATAAGTGGATTCATCCCCTACATTGCCTGCATCCTCCATGGTTTGGGGATCTTAGGATCTATGAACGAGTGACTTTGGAACTCGATCTGATCATAGTATTTCCCAACCGGTATGTCATCCTGGTTATTTCTTGGAACTTTGGAAGTCTTTTTTTTCCAAGGGATCGAATTGGCTATATCACCATGTTCAATGGTCTCCGTGCCATGAAATCCCATTCAATACTGTATCAAATCTCGTTGAATCACCATTTATATCCTGATAAACTATGGATTTCTCCACACGGTTTGAATCTCCCCCATGAAAATGATGAAATTTTCATGACATCTCCAGCTGTTTCTTGGTGTTTTTTAATCACCGAACCCGGCCCAGGAGTTCAATCGCAGCAGGTTCCCTTGAGAGCAGGTGGATGGGGTTAACAAGGGGAATGTAACCATAGTTCATGGGGTTTACAGTTATGGCCTTTAACCAATTATAAATGGTGTTATTTGGATAGGATTATAAATTCTAGATAAATGGTGTCAGTTCAGTACTTATAACTGGTAGGAAAAAGTGAAAATTTGGATCTCATGTTTAGGTAACATCATTTCATGACACATCGGGGAACACTTGGGGATGTGATTGCCTTCACCAGTGGTGGATCTTCCCTATGAGCCGCTCACTCTGTGTCTCGGGATGGGCTTCTAGATGTCTAAGCAACCCATGGATTGAAGCATGGGAAAACCACTTCGGATCTGAAACTGAACTGGCTTTGAACTGCTGCCATGTCTAGATCCTTCAACTTACAGCTTAACTTCGCGCTTGGAAGTGCAGTCAATAAACATTGAGGGGTGAAAGGGTTGGTTATGGATGGTTATTGAATTTTGGTGTGACTGATGGCACGACATTACCTTGATGATTCAGAGTGAAATGGGCATGGCCCTCGTTGGCAGCTTGGCAGTGCGGCTTGAGAAGCAGTCGTTCTTCCACAGTGGTCAGAGAGAATAGCAGCAACATGGAACATGTGAACATGTGAACCTGTGAACGCAAACCATCACACAAGTCACTGAAATAACCGCATTTATGGTTTATGTATCATCCCATCTATAGATAACCAATTATATTTGGTATTCCAGGCCATTGCTGTAAGATTGAAGACAATGCAAATATGCAATCAAAAATTGTTCAATCTATAATATATATATATAGTACAGACACCATCACAGATCGGTGGTTCTTTTCCAAGGTTCAACAAAGCCACCCAAACTAGCAGGTCTCAAACATTAAATCTTCACAAACCTGGAATATTTTTTATACTTGCTCTCACCCTGTTTGGTGACCATGGCATCTTCAGCCAGCTACATACATATATATATATATATATGTATGTGGATTCGCATCACAGTCAGCGAGTGTTCAAGAATGATAATTATAATTTAAATCAAGATATTTGGTATGTTTTTGTTTGGCCTTGCAGATGTTCATCCCACGCTGATAGTCCCACAAGTGCCCTGACACCCATTTTAGCTCCGACCAAGTGCAACGTCATGTTCGCCATGCCCCGGTTGCGCTTCGCCGCGGGCGCAGCACTGTCAGCACTGTGTGCCACAGAAGTGACACGCCGAAAGCGGGCGAACGAGGCGCCTGCACATGTGTGGATTTTTTCCAGTTTCCCACAGTTTTGGTACTATTAAGAGTTAGCTACAACTCCATTGCGGAATAATAACCCCTTTTTCATAGCCATTTCATGCCATGTTGCTCAGGGCTTTAGTTGCACCTTCTCAGAAACACGGTTTTTTCGGGGGGCCCATAGTTGAACATGATGGTTGGTGTGTGATTGGTATTGAGTACAGTTATGGCCCAAAATACCAGTTATAAGATGCCTTAAGTATATACTTTTATGGAATGTATAATCCCATTGAAATAACAAGTTATTTCACCATTTATACTTGGTATTTCCGGCCAAAACTGTAGTACTCATGTAATCAATACACACCTGAGACCCTTTGAATCACGTTTTAGAGACGTTGTTTTTCAGAGTCTCGTGCTCCTTCGATGGCCATTGTAGTAGATCTCAAAAAAAGCGTACGGCAGCACTGATTGATAGCCATGCTTGTGACATCTATATTTGGTTAATAACTTGGCTACTGTAATACAGTAACTAGGGACTATAGGGATATAACATGATATAACTATAGTATATATATATATATATATATGGTTGGTAATTTTATCTTCCATTTCATATATATTGGGATGTCATCCTTCCCATTGACGAATTCATATTTTCAAGATGGTTATTGCACCACCAACCAGTACGTGTTTTTTTTTGATATCCCGTTTTGGGTTGCCAACTCTGAGCTTTTTGTTGGTGTTGTTGGTGAATATGGATAACTTCCAAGATTCTGACTGGTGCTCATCCCCGCGATTGATATTCAATATTGCCGTGTTGGTTCAATCCAAACTTTTGCTGAGTCCATTTTTTCGCAGGAGAAATCCACATGTTGGTATCAATTGTGTTTATTTTTCACATGAAAATCACCATGCTTTTCTCCTGGTTCAGTTCCCAAATTATTCACTTCTGGCCCGAAATACCAGTGATAAGTACTAAGTCACCCCCCATAAAAATGGAATGTCTAATCCCATAGAAATCTTATACCCTCTGGTTATTTAACATAGCCATTGTATAGATGGCCCATTTATAGATGATTTTCCCAGCTAGAAACCTCTGTTACCTCCATTTGTCATGGATTTTCCATGGCTATGTGAGTCATAACCAGATGGTATAACTAATAGCCATGGGCCATAACTGTGGCCGGTGGGATTGCCGCCTCAGGTGGGATTTCCTCAGCGCGGCAGCTTTAATGCGGCGCGCTGCGAGGGATGTCCCTTCGGGGGAGCGCAGGCGAGGGACCACTGTGTTGGCTGCAGCTAAGTCAGGAAGTTTCCCTACAATGTGAGGCCCCCAAGATAGCGTTCAGTTGGTGGAAATAAGTCCAATTTCATTCTGGTTTATGGTATTTATAACTATAGTTACTGGGGCTTATAAACCAATTTATAACTGGGGGACCTCACATTGTAGTTATGGATAGTTATGCTTTATGATACCCCCATTTTTTAGCACTTATAAATGGTAAAAGGGTTTGAATTTGGGGAGATCAGCATAGAGAAACCATCAAGAAGTATTCTCCAGTAAACATACCAAAAAGCCATGAAAAGGCTATAGTTTTGATAGCCCATTGAGTTTGATGATTTACCTATGAACACAGTGATTTTCCATAGCAAACTGTGAAAGTACGAGATGGTCTCAAACAGTGACCCATTTATATAGTTCAATCACCCTTCCAGTTGCTTGAATCACATGTTCGGTGAAATCATGTGAAATCCATGAAAATCCCTTGGTTTACTGTTGAAATCCCACTATGTTTGGTAAAATCGCCTTTCTTTCATGGTTAAATCACCACACGATTTTTGCTGCTCGAATCGCCATCTTCCTGGCTTTCCCACGGGACCTCGCTGCCCGAGAGGCGCCACCCACCCGGCACGCAGCGCACGCAGCGCACGCTGCGCACGCGTCGCCGGTGGAGGGGCGCGACTTCGCGGTGTTTCGACGCCAGGGAACGACGGCCAAGGAGGTGCAGCGTTTTGGGCGATTTTCCCAAGGGATTTTTTTCGAGCCAAAAACATCAAGCGATGAATATGGTGCCCCATAGTTGGCGAAGTTTTGGTGAACAGTTCGGTGAACTGTTGCGTTTGGGGATGATTTTTTGTTGGCTTGTAAACCCAATAGAAACCAGGGTTATGTCCCATAGTCCCGTAGTTTGTTTGCTCAGTTTGTGAACATAACTAGACGAACTATGGTGAACTATGATTTATGGTTGATATATTTATAGTTTTTTTTTTCTGGTCAGGTTTATAAAGCATTTTTTTGCACCTTGTATGAATATTAGTAGGTTTTCATCACCTATCATACGGTGAGGAGAATGAACATGATGATTGAATCGGGAGTTGGTTGATGATGTGTCCGGGGGATTCTAACCAAATGAAATCGATGGGTTTTAAGCAGCAAAAATAGCCCATATGCTCCATGGTGCTGGAATATGCACACCAACATTTACCCAAACAAAATCACCCAGTTTTGTAGGTAAATATACCATACATGGAGCATGTGGGTAGGATTACATGATGATATTTGTTTATTTGTTGTTGATTGATATTTAATAGGGATTTAACCATAGTTTTTTGGGTTTTTTAGCCATACCATCAAGCATATGGGGATATCAGATTATAGCCATACCATCAAGCATATGGGGATATCAGATTGTATGATTATGCTTATAGACTTATATAATTGATCATTGATGATTGGCTGATGATATTAGTGTTGTCTACTGTCCCATTTATAAGGGGATCGTTACAATCCAAGAAATGAGACATCCTATTGCTCGCAAGCAGTAGTCAGTTGGTCCAGCTATGTCCAGTTTCAGCTGATGATTGTGGCCGTTGAGTTCGCCAGTTGCCGAGGAACCCCTTAAAACTGTGTACATATTGGATTATTGGATGTATAACCCATGGTAACTGGTTAAGTAACTCCATGGCACGTCTATGTAAGTTGTTATTTTCGCTACAACCAGGGATCCAGCTGGACGAACAGAAAGGCATCCACAGCGAAGAAGTTCCAATTGGAGGCCGTGGAAAAGTCTGGTGCAAGATGGCTGGCGTTCTAAGTTGGTTCAGTTTACGGAGGCGACTGCAATGCCTAGGAAGTGGTTTCGACCCTGCAGAGTTGTGCGAGGTGATAGCTGTGGCCACCGGTTGACCATGGAGTCCGACATCATCCCCAATCTCGTGAAGCTACGAAAGCTGGAAGATGTTTGGGGGGATTTGACGAGTTGTCATGACACTTAGCAAGGTGACTTGCTGCAAATCTGTGCGTTCGCTGTGAAAAAGCTATAAATGGGGGATTTGGCCATTATTTACAAGGGTTTCAGACCATCAAATAACTAGATGGGGAAACAAAGTAGATAATATCATGGTATTTTTGCTGGCCCAATCTATGGCTATTGTTCTGGGGATATACTAGGATATACTGGGATCGAACTGGCTTATACTGGAGATGCTTGGTACAAAAGCTGTTAGCCCAGTTCGTTCATGATTTTTCATGGATACGTTGGGGATCTGAACTGGCAATAGTTGGGATTTAACTTGAAGCAAATACATCTATTTTGCAGAAGAACCAATGGGATGCCAATGATACTAACATTATGGTTGCTTGCGGTAAAGAAATATTTAGTGCACTATATAATTGAGTCAATCTTGGACGGTTACTTGTTCTTTTGCTATAGATCTGGGAAATATTGACCTAGCCAGTTTTTTTTTTTCGCCGTGTATCTTAGATTGGCAGGTGATTGCCCAATCTACGGCTATTATTATGGGGGAATAAAACCAACCATCGGGGGATATAACGGGTATATTGTAATGGAATGCAATGGGAATGTATCGCAGATATCATGATGCGGCTGCAATATCATATTTCAAGGGATTAACATCCAGCTCTCGCTGCTTTGGTATGAAATATGTTGAAACCAGGGAGGGTTTTGACCGATACCCACCTATCCACAGTTTTAATAGCACCTGAAGTAGAGACGTGTTGGTGTGGTTTCTCGTTCTTACCATCACTTCATAGCGTGTAGTCAGTGTAGTCTAATCTTCAAAAATCCACGGACCCTGGCTTTTCCTTCCATAGAAACGATCCTCCACGAAGCAGGACGGATGGATACCCTGAAAAAATGTACCTTGGCTATGGAAATCCATGCATTTGAACATGATCTACAATTAGGTAGGTTTTCCCTCTATCTTAGTTTACTGGAGGGCATCCCTGATTTGTGCCGGTCAAATCATACCTTTTTGCTGCTTGAACCCCCAAGCCTATATATATATATATATATATACCATCTGGTTATGACTAACATAGCCATGGTATAGATGGCCCATAGAAATAGATGGTTTACCTATTCAAAAAATGGTGGATCTTTCCATGGCCATGTTAAATAACCAGATGGTGTATATAAAAAGTCAAAGGCGTTGAAGATTCAGCTGTTTCACAGGCTTGCTCCAACAATTCATAGATAAAAGATAGCCACAGTTGGGGCTAAAGTGGTCATGTTACCTCTATATTTACCCAAGTTGACCCCCAAACGTACCTGGGGTGGCCAGGGCGCGTTCCCTTGTGAAACAGGTGAAGTTTCAGGAACTGCTGGATGAGTTGTTTCAATCCTCGCGTGGAGCACCCCACGCGCCTTGGGCGTTGGAGTGCGGATCTTACCCTCTGGTAATCACACATAGTCCATTTATGATTTTCCCGGCTATAAACCTCCATTTTTTAGGGGCTTGTTCATTGCCATGTTACCGGATCTTACATGGAATGAACATGAATGAAATACGGTTATATTCCAACATTACAACAGATTATCCTCCATTTGAATGTGAACCTTAAGCGGAGAGAACCCGATCATCTGAAGATGTTGAACCCATAGGTGGCACAGCTGGCAGTTTTGTGGGTCAGGTTACTCTGGTATCCAACCTGCGTACCCTCCGCCAACATGCCACATGTTCCATTCATAAATGATTTTCCCAGCAACACCTCCATATATACCTCCAGTGCTTAGGAGGGAACTAAGGAACTATGGATATCCATATATTCCCTATTGAATGGGAAGCTAAGGAGCTACTAGCCCAAATTTCCGCAGGTGAACCGTTCCAATTCTTGGTGTAAACTAAAGATGTTGAAAACCCATGGTTTCTCGTTCGGAAAAGGATGTACATTCATGGTGGATTTTCCACATCTATGTTGATTTACCCGGCATTTGTGGGGTTCCAGTTCAGTCTTTGGTTGGTCACCAAGGCAGTGCTTCTGGGGGAAGTTCACGACGACCCGGCAGCTTGGTTGGATGGCAGATGGGATGGTTCTAGGTAGAACCTAAAGCCACATGCAACGAGTTTCTAGGAGTTTTACAGCTACAGTTTCGCGCAAAGTGACTCAATCAAAGTGGCCGTTTCGAGTGTGCAGGTCTCTCACACACAAACTTGCCAAGAGAACGAAGAGAACTCTTCTAAAGCGCTTGTACAGAGGTTTCAGAAATAGATCTTGTACAGAGACATTGCACAGAGATCTGTTGAGATCTTGCCAAGAGAGCTCTTATAGAGATCAGGAGGTCTTGCCAGGACACCTCTTCTAGAGATCTGCACAGCTCTTTTAGAGATCTTGTACAGAGATCTTGCCAGGAGACCTCTTATGGAGATCTTGCAGAGAGACCTGGCGAAGAGAGCAGAGGTCTTGCTTGGAGATAATTTGTTGAATAGAGATCTTACTCGTTGAGATCCCTTACAAAGATCTTTTGTAGAGATCTCCTATAGACACCTTGTACAGATAGCCTTGCACAGGGATCTGGCACAGCAGCTTCTACAGAGAACCTGTCAAGGAGATCTTGCGCACGATCTTCTACAGAGATCTTCACAAAGGGGACTTGCAGAATCTTACCTGGTATCTCTTCTTTTCACTACTAGGGTCGCTCTTGTCCTGCTAGCTTGCAGCCACTGATGCTTTTAGGTCCTTTCCGCCTTTTCTCCACTTTTTCATGTTCAACTTCATCTTCCGCATTTTCATCCTCATCCCCATCCTCCTCAACATCATCATCCTCCACATCAGCCCCCTCCTCAACATCATCATCCTCCACCTCATCTTCCGCAACATTATCATCCTCACAAGAATATTTAAATCATCTCCTACTTGGACCATGTTACATCATGTCACTACTTGAGGGTGTTAGAAAATTATGGTCATTGTTGGGTCTACCATGATTTACAACTAACAAACTAATCCTCTCCCCCCAATACTAAACACGGCCCCCCCCCTCCCCTCAAAAAAAAAACACATCTCAGGTAGTTTTTTTAAATTAGGGTGGTATTTTTCTTAGGGAACCAAAGCCGACCCTAATAGTAAATTTAAAACCACTTTTTTTCCGATTTCAAAATCGTTAAACTTCCTTTTATAACCTAATTAACAAGCCAAAAATTAGATTTCGACGCAGGTCCCAATAATAAATTTTAACCGTTAATTTAAAAAAAAATCGGACGGACCCTAATACAACACACCCCGGGGTTACCTGGTTTTTACTATTAGGGGGTGAAACCCACAAATAGTAATTTTATTTTTATGTTGTTTTCTAAAGGGGGTCAATTAAAAGTCAAATTGGCCAACCTGAGATTTTCCAAAATTGGAGATGGACCCTAGTTTTTATTATTTTGAAGGGGGTTTAGTAATAGGGGGAAAGGATTAACAAGAAAAATTGCAAAACCGTCAGCCAATATCAACCAACATCAACTAACATCAACTAACCAACAACCACTGAAACGATCTACACAACCATCAAATTCCAGCCGCCAGGTGACGCATTTGCTACAGCTGGCGGTGTTAAAACACCTGGGTCGATGCTCTCGTGAAGACGACCGAAGGTGCCAGCCGGGCGGGCCCAGCCTGGGTGCAGCCCCACAGAAATAACCGGTGGCAAGTAATAAATGGCCATAACTGTGGCCATAACATAGCTAACGTAGCTATGGAAAATGACCCATTACTTCGATGATGTACCTATAGAAAATGATGATTTTGTCATATGGACGATCTAAGCCTCGCAGCTATTGCAAACATAAATTGGTGAATTACGAAATAGAGTCAGGTCCGAACAATTGGGATTATTGGGAAATTCAATCACCAGGGTATTAAGGGTAGCCCATGTCATAGCTAACTATTAAATTACCAGAGGGTAGTCTTGATAGGGTTGGGTATGAAGTATGCCATGAAACTGCGGGTTTTTCTGGAGAGCAGGCCATGAATCACATGAATCACGTATGGCACTTGGCACATTAGCCTCCAGTAAGTAAAATAGGCATGGACGACCCACCATTTTTGGGTCATGTCCTAAGGAAATAACCATGGAGGTTAGTGAAGACTTCGGCTAGTGTTTACTGCTTGGACTTTGCGGTTTTGTTGGTGGTTGATACCTAGTGTGTCCTGGTGTATCAATTGGTATATATCCTTAAATGTCAGCGAATATGTTCCAATGTCATCAAGCACGGCGAGCTGGGACATCCCTTTTAAAATGGAGGTTTTAATGTTCAATTCATCTACAATGTGGGGCCCCCCAGTTATAAGTTGGTTTATAAGCCCCAGTAACTAGTTCGCTATAAATGCCATAAACCATAGTTATTGGAGTTATAAACCAACTTAGCGATCTTAGGCCTCACATTGTATAAATGGTGGATTTTTGAGGGATTTTCCCTTGCCGCGTTTGATTACCAGAGACGTGACTTTTCGGCTTTGTAGGTGGGCATCTCCAGGAATCTATCCACGCCACGAATAAAAAAGTTCTTTCCCTCCATAAATACCATTAATTAATATTAATTATGTATAATCCAAGAGAGTGGAATGTTTTTCAAGAAAGTGAAACATAGTGAAACTTCCTTTGAAGATGTCTGAGAGAGCATGGTACCATCAGTTTGTCACCATCCTCATAATCCAATTGCTGTTATACAGTAATTGTTTTATCCCTCCAGTAAAATTCATCAAGTTGTATACCAACTTTACTGGAGGTCCAAGCTTGCAGATTGATTTGTTCCCACTTACCCTCCGGTACTCAAACATGGCAATGGAAAGTCCCCCATTTTAGTTTGATGCTTGTCCCAGCTTTAAGCTGCATAAAAATGTGGGATTCCTCGGCTTGAAAAAAAGTTCGGACGTGCCGGACGTGGAGGTTGGTCCTATCCATGAAGATGTTTGAGATGGACGTGCAGAACGTCTTGGACGAGCAGCTTGGCCAGCTAGAAAAAAGCGCCGGCATCGAGGCGTCAGGTTTGTCTCAAAATGCGGGATGGTTGATGGATTCCCACTGTTGACTACTGTGTATATATATATATATATTCATATTCATCATCATCATCAGCATCATCATCATCAGCAGCATCATCATCATCAGCAGCAGCATCAGCAGCCTGAAATAGATAGAATATGGTATGTTCAACTCATTCCCACTTTAGTGATGAATGTTTTCTTTTTTTTGTAAAATATCATGCAATTTTCCAGATTCTATTTGTCATCATGGGATGTTTGCCATCAACCACTTGTTTGGGGGAATGGCCGCATTTCAAGACAAATCCTGTTCGGAAAATCTATATACCCTCTGGTAAACTAACATAACTATGGAAAATCACCATTTTTATGGGAAAATCCACTATAAATGGCCATTTTCAATAGCTATGCTAGTCATTACCAGAGGGTAGTTGTGGAAATCCCATAGTTTCCTCCGGAAAATGATCTACAAACGGTGGGTTTTCCACATCTTCACTCCGCGTGACTCCAAACTTGTCATGGAAAAAATGGTGAGCTGATATCCATCAGGATACATCATGGTTATATCTTACTGTTGTTTGTTTCTGAAAAAACACACAGCGATTTTTAAGCAATTGCATTTTTTCTACGGATCCAATTGTAGCTGCCGAGAAGGTACTTTTTTTGTACCCATATTTAAACCCATTTTCATGATACTTCAGTCATACTCCCTGAGAATGAGGATCCCTAGAGATACCCGGTTAGGTGGATTGCGACATTCGAATCTCCCCCAAGATTTGTTCCCTCCCGGCAACCATCCGTAATTACACACAAATAAACTACAGTAAACTTCATGTAGATTCAATGTAGATATGAACAATTTCAAATGAAAATCCCAACAACTCTTGGGTTTTCCCGTGTCTTTTGGAGTTTTGTTGCCTCAGAGAATCCGAATCGGCCGAGGTATGTCCTGCACCAAGCCATTCGTGAGGAGGATATGCTGCTGGACACCCGTCCTTGGGGCAACTACCTCACGGATTACAGGCGCTTCTGATGGAAAGTGTGGGAAAGCTGGCCATGCCCAAAATCAAGTTTGGTTTTGAATGAAACGTGCCACTTATAATCAATGACTACTAACTTCATGGGCAATACACAAGTTCGATTTTTGCAAATGGAGATGATTTTATTCTGCTACCAACCAGTACAAAAGGAATGACCTTCGTATTGTCAGCATGGTGCATATGGTCTCATGGGTAGATCATGAGAGAGGTTCAGGAATATGACTACGAAGTGATGCTGTATGATGCTTGAAGTTGCGAATATTAACGCAAAAAACTATGCTTTAGCAACATGTTCATAGTTGATGGTGTATACACATTTCAGATGCTTAATAGGTTTAAAAACAATTTCTTCCAGTTTGATTGCTTGAACATAAGTAGCCATTTACCTTCTACGCATGTAGCATAGCATTTACCTGTGGATATTGCACGCCCATGTATGGCCTTGAGGTCCGGCTCGAAGCTTGAACTAATCTTAACAATGATATTTCGAGATTCCATATTATATATATATTATATTATAAATGTATATTAATTATATACATACATGTGGGCAACATGTGCAAGTGTGGGCAACCCAATGTTATAAACAACCCCCAAGTCATCCCCATCTTTATGGATGGGATTTTAACCATCCCGAGTCATGGGTCATGTCAACTTTGTCCCCAAATTGGATTGTCAAAGGATACCCCCTGGTAAACGTTTACATAACTATTGAAAAGCACCACTTCTAATGGGTATATAAATCATAACAGTGACCAGTTAATAACGTAACTTCTATAGTTGATGTTAATAACTGCTAATGTTAATCACTTCTATAACTGGGCCATGGCTTCCATAGCAAACTCTTAGTCATTGAGGATAATCTGAAGGGAATCGCAATCTTCGTGGCGGTAGATGTTCCCATATTTACCGTAGAAAAACAGCATTCTAACAAGGCGGTGCCCCTTGAGTTATGTTTGTTGATTTATAACTCCCACTACAATAACCATAGATTATATCAATACCATATTACATCATAGTATATAATATTATATCTACAATAACCATATATGATATATGGAGTGATTTATTATATACCATTATATTATATATATCACATTAGATTATATCACATTAAATTATAGCTATATCTGCTAAATAAATAAATATATATATATATATATTTGGAGTGTTTCACTTTCCTCACTTGGCACGAAGAAACCCGTTACGCACCATTTCTCCAGGCCTTTGGTGCAGTTCTGTCGAGACGAAGGGATTCGCGTCATTGCAGTGGCCTGGTGTCGTTTCGGTCGCGACGGTGGAGGGGTCCAGCTGGATTTTCTGCGGCCAGTGTTTTAACATAGCCATCTGGTTATGAGTAACATAGCCATGGAAAATCCCTTATAAATGGAGGTTTATAGCTGGGAAAATCATCTATAGTTATATATATATATACATATATATATATACATATATACATATATACATATATATATATTTATTTATGGTCGGTGGTTTGGAACCATGGACTTTTATGACTTTCCATTCAGTTGGGAATGGAATAATCATCCCAACTGACTTTCACTCCATCATTTTTCAGACGCGTGGGTATACCACCAACCAGATATTGAGTTGAATCATACTTAATGACATTAAGTATGATTCAAAACAATATGTGGAAATTAATGATGTTGATATAATGTGAAATCTTAAGTATTTAGTTGGAAAATATAAATCGAACTAAATGATTTGGGGGAATTGTCCAGCAAGCCATGGCAGCCATGGCACTTCCCCATAGATGGCCATGGCTCGGGGATTCCCAGCTAGCCATCTTTGAGGACGCCGTTGCGGGTCACCCTACTACCAGAAAAGGGGAGTTGATGTTGACATGTCTTGATCATGATGTAGCTCTTGGTGCTCAGGTTTTCGTTGTTTTCTTCATTGGATACGGTAGTCCCAATCTGAGTCGGTTCTATCCCTATAGATATTTTACCATAATTATCCTGGTTGGTGGTTTGGAACCATGAAATTTTCTGACTTTCCATTCAGTTGGGAATGGAATAATCATCCCAACTGACGAAGTCCATCATTTTTCAAATGGGTAGGCTCAACCACCAACCAATATAGGTTTTTTAACCTCTGGTAAACGTTTACATAATTATGGAAAATCACATTTTTTAATAGGAATATCCACTATTTCAATGGCCATTTTCTATCACCACTAGTCAGAAACCCGAAGCAATCCTATAGATATTTGTTTTTTCACCATAATTATCTATCCCTATATAACATATATGACATATATAACATATATGACATATATAGCATATATAACATATATAACATATATAACATATATAACATATATAACATATATAACATATATAACATATATAACATAAATAACATATATAACATATATAACATATATAACTTATATAACATATATAACATATTTAACATATATCATATATAACATATATAACATATATATAATATAACATATATAACATATATAACATATATAACATATATAACATATATATATAACATATATAACATATATAACATATATAACATATATATAATATATAATATATATATAACATAAATAACATATATATAATATATAACATATATAACATATATAACATATATATAATATATAACATATATAACATATATATCATATATAGCATATATAACATATATAACATATAGACCATATATAACATATATATAATATATAACATATATAACATATGTATATATAACATATATAACATATACAACATATATAACATATATAACATATATAACATATATAACATATATAACATATATAACATATATAACATATATAACATATATAACATATATAGAATATATAACATATATCACATATATCACATATATATATAATATATATAATATATGGAACATCACATTTTTTTTAAATGGGAATATCCACTATTTCAATGGCCATTTTCTATCACCACTAGTCAGAAACCCGAAGCAATCCTATAAGAATTTGTTTTTCACCATAATTATCTATCCCTATATAACATATATAACATATATAACATATATAACATATATATCATATATAACATATATAACATATATAACATATATAACATATATAACATATATATAATATATAACATAAATAACATATATAACATATATAACATATATAACATATATATAATATATAACATATGTAACATATATAACATATATAACATATATAACATATATAACATATATAACATATATAACATATATAACATATATAACATATATATAATATATAACATATATATAATATGGAACATCACATTTTGTTAAATGGGAATATCCACTATTTCAATGGCCATTTTCTATCACCACTAGTCAGAAACCCGAAGCAATCCTATAGATATTTGCTTTTTCACCATAATTATCTATCCCTATATAACATATATGACATATATAACATATATGACATATATAGCATATATATAATATATAACATATATAACATATATAACATATATAACATATATAGCATATGTATATATAACATATATAACATATATATAATATATAACATATATATAATATATAACATATATAACATATATATATATAATATGGAACATCACATTTGTTTAAATGGGAATATCCACTATTTCAATGGCCATTTTCTATCACCACTAGTCAGAAACCGGAAGCAATCCTATAGATATTTGTTTTTCACCATCATTATCTACCCCTATATAACATATATAACATATATAACATATATAACATATATTCATAATATATAACATATATAACATATATAACATATATAACATATGTAACATATATAACATATATAACATATATATAATATATAACATATATAACATATACAACATATGTATATAATATATAACATATATAACATATATAACATATATAACATATATAACATATATAACATATGTATATATAACATATATAACATATATACATATATAATATATTACATATTTAACATATATAACATATATAGCATATATAACATATATAACATATATAACATATATAACATATATAACATATATAACATATATAGCATATGTATATATAACATATGTATATATAACATATATATATAATATATAATATATAACATATATAACATATATAACATATATAACATATATAACATATATAGCATATGTATATATAACATATGTATATATAACATATATATATAATATATAACATATATAACATATATAACATATATAACATATATAACATATATAACATATATAACATATATAACATATATATATTTAATATATAACATATATAACATATATAACATATATAACATATATATATAATATATAATATATAACATATATAACATATATAAGATATAATATATATTTATGATATATATATATACATATTTACCATAATTATCTGATCATGTTGGTTGTATCAGCTCTATCACCACTTTACCGACAAAGCCCACCATGGATCCCACGGATCCGGCGCTGGATTGGCCCATCTCCGAGGCCAATGCGCCCAGACGCTACGTCTCCCTGGTCTCGCGCAACGGAACGGAGGGCCTTGCGGATCTTCAGGCGATGTGGCGGCTGATGGCCTCAATGGTGATTTTATGGTGTTTTTAATGGGATTTCATAGTGATTTTATTGGATTTAATGGTGATTGAATGGAAATTGAATACAATGTGAGGCCCCCCCATTGGATAGCTAACTTGGTGCGTTTATAACTCCAATTTCACTATGGTTTATGGTATTTATAACGAACTAGTTACTGGGGCTTATAAACCAACTCAGAACTGGGGGGGCCACATTGTACCTGAATTAGTTGTGTTGTGTTTGTGTTTTTCTTGACTTGTGTTTATTTGATTGAGTAATGCTGTTTTTAATAGGATTGGAGAAGAGCAGCAACGTTAGACACTTCGGTCTAAGCGTTTCCAATCACCAAAAAAAACACGCACACACTTTATGGTGAGGATAGCGGTGGATAAATCATATCGTCAGTAGCGACAAAACTAGAGACATTACCAGCTATTGATTCAGATATAGTTCTAGATCAATAGCTACTATACCATATATTTGATGTGTATCATAAATTTAGATGTGGTATAATTGTGTATGGATCCACAAATCATACTTGAAATATACAATTGTTCCAGAATTATAATTAAACCAGTTGTTTTTCTGCGTTTTCACCCAGGGGATTCCATGGGTGCTATGTCCAGTTGCCATCGATCTTGTTTCAGGCCAAAGTGAGCGGAACGCGACTTGCCCTCTGAATTTGGCCTGTTTGTCAGCTTGGATGTGGAGATTGCCAAGGGATATGGGAGGCAAGTGGTTGGGAAAAAAACGTCAAAACATATTCCAACTGGTAATGATATGATGGAATTCTACCTGGGCCCCAGCTGCTATGTAATCATTTTAACGATTCCGCTCAGGGAACATCCGAGTCGGAATCGTTTGCTTTTTTTTCGAACTTTCGAATCCACCCGCCGGATGTTTGGGGTTTGATGCCCTTCACCGTTTCTACACTTTTCTGGGTGAATTACAAATCTAAGATTTTACGTTGATTCCTTGCATGTTTTCCAGTTTCATTGGTCCCCTGTCCCTTTCCCCACCTAGGAAATTACCGCTGCCTTCTTTCCCTCTTCCACCTCCTAGCCCTGCGTATCGGCGAAAGTTTGCAGCTGGGTTGACAGACCGTGAATGTGGCCAGCGCGTGGTCTAAGTTGGATGGTTTTTGCCACCCAAGTTTGGGTCACCAGAACCAAATGAACCCAAATGTGTTTCTCTCAGAGAGCCAAGAAAGAGATACACAGAATAGAGGATTTAAGGATATTTAGGGTATAGAGGCAATGAAGATATGATCTGATATTCCATTTGCATCCGGGTGATATCAGCAATGGATCAATGGCACCCTGAGTATATTGTGACATGTTTCATGATATGTGACAAATGCATCTGAATCACAGGACAGAATCATACCTATCTTATCTATGTGATCTTAAACAAAAAACATATTTAAGATTTTTATGGATATCATATGGATATCATATGGATATCATATCTTATTATGTGGTTGTTTAAGCCTTCTTCTTTTAAGTGCCCTTACACAGTCTGCGTTTCGGTCAGGGCATGAGAGCAGATGACAATGCTGAATCCCCTGCGCGGAGAATCCCACGGTGTCCGGCAACGCCTTGTAGTTCTTGCAGTGCCCGAGTCATGCCAGTTATGTTTGCACTGATAATTATACCCCATTTATAGAATGTATAATCCCATAGAAATGGCACTTATAAATGGTAAAGGGCCATTTATGGTAAATGTATAGAATGCATAACCCCATTTATACCCCATTTATGGTTTAGGTATCCCCCGGTGTCAAACATGGCTGGTAAAACCCTACAATTATGGCCCGAAATACCAGTTATAAGTCACTGAAATAACCCATTTATGGTTTATGTATAATCCCATAGAAATAACCAGTTATAACATAACCATTTGTAATTGGTAAACGGCCATAACTGTGGGAATCAGCCAAGGAAGAGACCATGTCGATGCCAGCGCTGCAGACGAAGACTGGTAGCTGTCCTTTCATCGGCTTCAGCAGTTTCTGAACGGTGAGATGTGGATGTTTGGAGATGTGAAGACGAGTGGGACAGAAAAAAAGGTGAATGGTGGGTTTGTTATGTGTATTTATATTCATAGTTCTTAGATGTTGATGTTGAGCCCTTTTGTTTGCAGGAAATAGGTTCCATCTAAGAAAGTACTCGTACATTGTTCATGGGATACCTATTTCGGGTAGCCGTTTCCGGAACTGTGGATGTCTTGTGGGAACACCAAGGAAAGATGTATAAAGATGCTCCCCAGTCCAACAGATTTCTGTTTGCTGCATTCTTTTACTTGCGTGGTATCTAACCTACCAAATGTGGTGGCTTTGGAGCCGCAATCCATTAGATGAACGGTCCCATCTGTGTGGCCAAAAAAATCATTCTTGGTCAACGTCCTATATCTGTGTTGCTCAAGATCTCATCAGAACTTAAGTCAGGTGTGTTTATGCAAAATAATACCAGACTATATTTGTATATGACCATTTGCCAAAAAATAGTTGCCAAATTGGTATCAACCAAACCAGGAAAAGACATTTTGGCAAACCGTCATATATTTGTTTTCCAGCCTGATTGATGTTTTTCCAGCTGAGCTAACAATAATATAGGTTCATCTATTTTGCCAGACCGATGTACTTAGACTTGGTAGTTGACCTCAATGACTAAGTGGCTCGTAACACCAGTTATAACTCGACATTGCCCCTACTTGTTTACCAAGGTGTATAATGGTGTGTAAATATATATATATATAACTTATTCACTTTAATCTTGGTAAAACAATGCCATAAACCATCCCCCAGTCATCACCATTTTTTATAGGTGGTAAGTATAACCCCTTTTTAAATGTGTGGTTTATGATTGTTTTAACCACATTATATTCAATTGGTCTTGATGTTTATTTTGTTTTGTTTGGATTATCGTTCTGAAATGTTTTGAGGTACTTGGTCAAGGGCCTATTTAAAGGTATATAACCCATCTGATCGGTGGTTTGGAACATGTTTTATTTTCCATAATATATGGGATAATCCTTCCCATTGACTTTCATATTTTTCAGAGGGGTTCAAACCACCAACCAGTAAAGATATATAACCTATTCACTATCTGGTTGGTGGTTTGGAACATGAATTTTATGTTTCCATCCCAACTGACGAACTCATATGTTTCAGAGGGGTAGGTATACCACCAACCAGCTATAACTGGGATGAGCAACCAATGTATTTTGGTTTCCCTCCATGGCTTCCGCCCCTAGGCGACGATTTGCGCAGCGTGCGACCTGAAACCATGCAGGCCGAAGGGGTTTTTTCTGCGAGTCGCTGCCGGTTTTTTGCAGGGCGAGGTCACGATAAATGATGCGGTAGGCGGTAGTACATACAATGTGAGGCCCAAGATAGCTAAGTTGGTTTATAAGTCCAATAACTATGGTTTATGGTATTTATAACTATAGTTGCTGGGGCTTATAAACCAATTTATAACTGGGTGGCCTCACATTGTAGGGAACCATCCCAAACTGATTTGTTTTTCATTCCATCTATCATGAAACATCCTCATTTAGGCTGGTTAGCAAGTTAGCCCATATCTAAATCACATGATAAATCCCAATTCCATACAAATCCTATAGCAATAGCATTAAAACCCTTCAATACCATACAAATCATCGAATTTCCATCAATTCCCATAGAAATTCTGTAGATCAGAATTCCCATAGAAATCCCATCAAGCTCCCATATGATTTGTATGGTAATCTGATTCAAATGGTCCATGATTCAATTAAGCTTTCAAAGAAATTCAAATTCCATGAAGATTCTGTAGATCCCATAGAAATCCCATAGAAATCCATAGAAATCCCATAGAAATCCATAGAAATCCCATAGAAATCCATAGAAATCCCATGTCAAGCTCCAAAAAACTCCCATAGAAATCCCATCAGAATCGGTAGGCGCAGCTGCTTTGGGATCACGCCATGGCAAAGTCCGTGGCCAACGCCTTGCAGGATCCCCAGGCGCCTGGCCGGGCCGGGTCCAACGGTCCAACGTTCGAGAGCTCGGTGATAAAACACGGTGAGCTCATGAACTTTTACAATGTGAGGCCCCCGTTCGATAGCTAAGTTGGTGGAAATAAGTCCAATTTCACTATGGTTTATGGTATTTATAACGAACTAGTTACTGGGGCTTATAAACCAATTTTAAACTGGGGGGCCTCACATTGTATGTTTTTTTTGATTTTAATGGTGATTGTTCATGAGTTACTGGGATTGAAGAATATGGAGAAAAATGATGAAACATGGTGATTCACTGGTGATTTATTGGGATTTCGTTGGCACTAAGCTGGTGAACATTGGCCGTGAATTGATGATGGTTGATGGTAAACATCACTATAGCACCACGTTGTATCTGGATATAAAACCAATACATGTTGGGTGAAATCCTCTATCAGATGCATATTTCATGGGGATATATTCATCTATCTATCTCCATATTTTCCCATCAGATCCAACCTACAGCAACTCCAGGACCATCCATGGCCATGGTCAAACCCCGTTTCGACGACCATGCCAGGTGCCCTTGGTGCTACACGTCTGTGGCGCCTTCCATTGCGCCCATGGTTTGGGCATTCCCGAAGCGCTGCCGAGGCGTTGAGACGGTCCATTTTGGCACTTAACAATCTGAAATTGGATGAAATTGGGTATTGATTACCTGATTCGGTGGTAGTTGAATTCAAAGTGGGATGAAATTGGGTAATTGAAATTGGGTTGGTGGATAACGAAATTGGGTAATTAAAGCTTCTTCCACCAACCCAAATGGAATCCATTGACTACTACAGTTGCAAGGCAAAATGACCTGTTTGACGTCCGGCTCAACTCGCAGGTATTGGTCAACGTCCACGTCGATGCCTCAGCTCTGACATTAGAGGAACTTAGTGGCCCCAGAAGGAACCTTCTGGGGCACCAGAGTTTTGGCGCGTGTTGGATGGGACTTGGCAAGAGCCATGTTTGGGGAACCACTAATTCTTGCCTGCTTGCCTAGGGATTCTTTAGCAAGGGGTCGACATTTGAGTTTTGAAGCTTCAAGTCTTTTGACAAGCTGACAAAGCCTCCTAATCCATTCATCTCCTTCCCCAGAAGAACTTGGATGTCAAATGGTGATGAAACTCATTGGCGTTGATATCTTGTTTGATTGCTCACTCGGCAGTCTCGCGCGTTTGTCGTTGCACATTCTTATTGTATGATTTTTGGTGTTTACCTGGGTGCACTATAGCAAGGCTATGTTCGGCTACATATATATTTGAGCACTTTCCCAAAGGTAGCAGGCTACCTTTGGCTACCTTTAGCTGCCTTTGGTACTCTCCAGTATCATCACTTTTTGTTTTCATGTTCTTCATATGTGTCATCACAAACATCACAAACATCAACATCATCATCATCATCATCATCATCATCATCATCATCATCGTCATCATCATCATCATCATCAGCATCATCATCATCATCATCACCGTCATCATCACCGTCATCATCACCGTCATCATCACCGTCATCATCACCGTCATCATCACCATCATCACCATCATCATCATCACCATCATCATCATCATCATCACCATCGTCATCATCATCATCATCATCATCATCATCATCATCATCATCATCATCATCATCATCATTATCATCATCATCATCATCATCATCATCATCACAAATCTTAAGGTGACCTTTGTTGACCTTTGTTGACCTTCTACAAAGGTAAGCAGCATGTCCTTAAAGGAATTCAAAAGCACATGGTTTCTACTTTTTTCATTATTTCAAATCATTTCCTTCAAGGGTTTATGTTGATTCGTAAACACATACTTGATCCATCAAACCAGCAAAACTTATCTTGCGGGTAAATGGTGGCAAAAGTATGTAGCCTCAAAGAAAACGAAGCATCCAGCTGTCATGGTTCGTGCCATGTTCACAAACAGAACTTTGGTGGTATTCAGCTTCAGTAAGGTTTCTCACTTGCTGTGACACTTTGGTCAAAGACTTCAGTTTTTGAGCCACCATACAGCGCACTTACTGGGTATAATGGATCCCTGGTGGATACTTGTAGTAGTTAGATGGAGTTAATGTAGCCAGCAATGTTTGACCTTCTCTAACTTAACCCACACCGCCAACATGTGGGCTCAACCCCCAAACCACAGCATTGTTTGATTTAGTCGTAATGTAAAATTGGTCGTCTTACCACTTTGATGGATTAGAATTGGATAACATAGTTGTTCTTCCGAGAGCAAACACAGAACCCCAAAAACATATATGTTGAAGAAAATTTCCTATTTTGAAGGCGATCACGCTTGTGTTCCATGTTCAATTTGTAGATTTTGACTTTACACCCTGTTCGCTCATACAGCACCTTCTGAAATGATTCCCATTGCTGTAATTACCATTGGATGAGAGTGGGCCCAGGAAGCCTGGGAACGTAGCTGACAGTGGCGACAGCGGAAGGGAGGTCGTGGGGCCCAAAGCGTGCCCCGAAGGAGTGCCTGGGCAGGTCATATGTGGCTCCTGTGGAGGATTGGAGATGGTATGGAAGCCAACAAAAGATTTTATGTGAGGAGTATTCCGGTATGAACTGCAACTGGTTGGTCCGTTTTTCCCCTGCCAGGTGAGGGCTTTCCCCCTCCACCGACTGCTCTGGGCTCACCGGACCTGAACACTATGTCTGAAAGAAGCCATATAGAATGTCAGCGGGATCACTCGAAGTAATGCTATTTGTATTTTTTTTGTGCGGTCAATGATGCTGAGAACAGAGTGACCAGGCGGGACAACAGCCTTTTGGGGCCAAGATGGAATGTGTCGGGACATATCCAATATCCGCCACCTTTGCTCACAGCACTTAGTCTTGGTCTGTGCAGGTCCTTGAATCCTTTGTACTTGTACAACTCACTTGAGGCACTCCTACGTCTTTATTTGTGTTTGGATGTCCACTGATGTGTTCTGAAGATTGCCTGTGGATGTGTATTGTATCAAATTTGGATATATCCTTGGTCCTTGCATTGCTGTTTGCAGATACCAATATAATAACATCCAATAACAGTGACATGGCTGGATGTCTTATAGTCAAAATCCCCGCAGCCATTGGGTCCTAAGAAGCAACCTGGAGGCCATGGAACCCATGGGCTCAAAGTTACAGCTGCAAAAAGCGCTTGAGGCGCTTCTTGTTGAGCACGGAAAGTGGCGGCGTTATGTGATCTTGACCCAGTGGCAAAAAGCAGCACTGGCCGGGCAAGCACTGGCCTACTATATAGACTATAAGGTGATGTCCAATTTTGCCAAAATAGGACAGTTACCAACCCCTGCCCAGGCTAGGGAAAGAGCACTGGAACAGTTAGCGGACTTTGCCAAACGGTTCCAGGAAGTCATAGAGATGCGCTGGAGGGATGATGATATTGCAACAATTGAGGATCTTGCTGGGGCCTGCGCGAAGGAGATGTTGTGGGACTGTCCTGCCTTCGGCATTTTGGGAGGTGATTTGTACCTGCCGCAGGTCTGTGATCATCTTTTGTGTCTTTTGAAGCCAGTTTCTGCGGACGGGTTGCTTCCAACGCAGCCAGGTACCTGTCGGATTTGGGAACCCTTTGTGGCTGCAGATACGACGCAAGTGTGCATCATGGTTGCGTATATTCAATGCTTGGGCTTGTCGGACAAACAATTGCTGGTAGTGACCCTTCACTCCCTGTTTCAAGAGTTGTATGAGTCCTTGCGACAGGCGAGTGCGCACATGAGCATACAAGCACTTCCCACCCCCGAGCTTCACACCATGGTGACTGAGTTCTTGACACAACTGAGTTCATTGTGCCAGGACAATGTCCGCAGGATCACCCAACGCCGTCCAAGACCCTGCAAGTGGTTTGAAGCTCATTCAGAGTATCATGAGTTGAGAGATTGCTGGTCACGGATTTCAGCTCAAGCGTCCGAGATCGCGTCTGAGGTAGCCAAGCTGCCTCCCATTGCTGACGCCCCTGATGTCCCTGAGACCCAAGACTCATGGAGTCTTGTCTCAGCCAGTTGCAGGGATGTAGAGATTGCCAGTCTGGCATCTCATCAGTCAAATCACAGCCAGACCTCATGCCTCTCGGCATATGGTGGACCGCATTGCTTTTTGTCGGCCTACCTGTTCAAGCATTTTCAGCCTGCTGAATCTTCGTCAGTGGTTCTGGTTTCTGCAAAGGACGGGATTCTGCACTGTTGCCACGAGCTGGGGCATCTCACCAATGCCTATACCATCTGGTTATTTAACATAGCCATGGAAAATCACATTTTTTTAATATATAGGTACACCATCTATAAATGGGCCATTTCCCATGGCTATGTTAAATAACCAGAGGGTGGTTCTTCTTTTGTGGTCTGGAATCATGTTGTTTTCTTTGTAGGAAATGGAGCAATGTGATAGACTTCACCATGTCATAAAGTCACGTTTGATGGAAAAACAATTGTTGACCGTTCACTGACCAAGACATCAGAGAATTACTTTCTTCGAGTGATCCCCACCCTTTCACATTATTCTGACATAGTTTCTCTATACCATCTGGAAACATATATTGTATAATATTGTATATATATATATACATCTATTGTACCATCCTATCTGCCATTCCTTCTGGCATATACTCTGACATTCTTTCTAGCATTCTATTTGGCATCTATTCTAACATACTTTCTGGCATATATGCTGACATTCTTTCTGGCATTCTATATGGCATCTATTCTAACATTCTTCTGGCATCTATTCTGGCATTCTATTTGGCATTCCATCTAACATTCTATTCTGGCATTCTATCTGGCATCTATTCTGACATTCTATTCTGCAATTCTATCTGACACTCTTTTCTGGCATTCTATCTAGCATCTATTCTGACATTCTATTCTGCCATTCTATCTGACATTCTATTCTGGCATTCTATCGGGCATTTATTCTGACATTCTTGCAGTTGAGGTCCGGCAGTGCCCATTGACATCTGGAGCTCGCGGTTGAGGAGCAGGAGAAGAAGGAGGAGGAAAAGAAGAAGAAGGAGGACGAGGAGGAAGAGAAAGCAACTCTGATAAAACCTAGAGACCCTCAACTGGCAGGTGGGGGAAAAGGAAATGATATTTTCGATGGAGAAACCCAAGGTTGGATTTTGCCATGTTTTGCCGCGTCACTCCAGGATCTCCAGAAGGGCTCCAAACTCCTTGCCGCAGATGGCACGCCCATAGAGGTGCTAAAGGTTGAAGTTCAGAAGACCAAGAAACTTCTGGATTTGGAGAGACTTGGCCCCATTAACTACCAGTCTTGCGGTGCGTGGCAAGCCACTGGCTATGAACTGTGGAAAAGGCATAACCCAAGAATAAGTGTAACTGTATATATATATAATTGTATATATATATATATAATTGTATATATATAATACACACACGCAATATTACACAATCACATACGTATATTTTTATGACCAGCTAACAAGTAGACTTTAATGACATAGATGTACAGTGCGTAGATATGGTCTAAAAGTGATTAGGTCGGGCATTGTCAAGCAAAGAACATACTGGTAAATGTCTTTTCCTTTTCGCAAGGATGTAGCATGGTATCCGCATTAATGCGAAATGATGCACTCAGCACTGTCAGGAAGAGTGCCTATCCTGCAATCACGATTTGTTTTGGTTGGACCTGTGGCCACATGAAACGGGTCAAGATTGGAGATTGGGCGCGGTTGAAAGTTGATGAAGGCCAAAGGGGGACCGAGGATAACAGATGCGTTGCCGTTCACCACCACCTTGAACCACCGCATAATGGTTCCATCAGATGATGATGATGACACCACCGTCAAAGCCATCGACCTGAAAGTCGGGAGTTGGGTCATGTGCAGTGACCACATGGCAAAGAAGGTTATCGGAAAGAGGGAATATCTTGCAGCTAGGCTACGACTGAGGGGTCAGTTTGCATTGTAAATTATGGATGTTTTACCGTTTGCCCCCTCAAAAAGTCCGAGCATCATGCACAAGTTGTTGCCCTTTATCAGAGTTTTCTCCATGTTTTTCATCGCAATAATTTTGGTTCGGCCCAAACTAGTCCTTCAAGAAATACTGTATAGGAAGCACTCTTTGTTCACCATTGGTTGACCATTATTTCAATTTTCATCAGTTTTCCATTCTATTTGGGATGATTCTTCCAATTGATTTCTAGGATGGCTCAACTACCAATCAAACTATCCACAGGCGCCGGAACTTACCAACCAGACTATTTGATCCCTTAGCGCCCTTGACAACTTGGACACAAGCACTTCAGGTCGAAGAGCAAGATGTGTTGGCCATCACCTTCCTTCCCGATAAGGCAGTGGCTTGCTTCCTACCACCTGAACAGCCGGTGCTGTTGACGAAAGGCCTGACTCCGAAACCCATCCGTCGTGGTGGCATGACCGGACGTGCTGCCAACCAGGAGGTGGGCAGTATCCATACTGAGGGGGACTATCGCGATTGAGTGAAGAGGAATGAGGTTCGGCAAACGGCATGATATCATGGAGCATTCTCAATCTTACTATGTACATCAAACTGCACTTTGATCCACTTAGTTGGCCTTGGTGTCAGAATACGTTGAAAAGAAAGAGAAGCACATCCGCGAAAGTCTGTAGTCCATCAGTCCGTGTAGATCCGCTTCCTGCTTTCCAAATTTCGTTCCATCCCAGCTTGTAGCAACATTTTTTGATCTTTTCCTCGAGAGCACGGCTCCCAGAGTCAGAGCCTTGGGGATTTCAAAGGCGGGGCCATCCATTGGACCTCCGTTGGATCATCAGTTATGTGCCTTGGTTCTCCAAAAGGACATGGTGAGTGAGAAAGGAAGTGTAATGCTTTGCAAGTGGTTTGACTAAAGAGGTGAGACATTGTTCTTGTTTCAGTTCAAAGCAACTATGAATCATTGTAGGACATTCAGTTTGAAGTAACGTAACATATTACGTTATAAGTTATAGTGTTTTGCTTACACGGAAGATTTGGATGGCCCTTGCATGGAAGGGCTAGTGACCTAGTGCACATGATTCTTCAAAGTGCCTCTCCAGCAAGACCTGCACATTGTCAAGCTTCTGACCTTCCAGATACTTCTTGGATGGGAAAGTGAGCCAACATTCTGCAGGTAAAATCACTTTACATGTGGGTATGAATCAACATTCAGTAGATTAGACACTTCGAAACATGCAGTAAAGAGCAGTAAAGAGCAGTAAAGCCGGTGGCTCGTAAATTTTGTCCCTCATGTGCATGTGCCTATAGAAAACTGGAAGGGTATGGTGTAATTAAGATACTTTATTTGACCGAAGAGTCAACATTAATCTGGTGAGCTTGCAGAGGGAATTGGAGGTGTTTCTGGTTTCATTTGAGTAGAACTGGGTACGATTTTCCAGCAATCTCACCAGAAAAAGGATCAGGGTATCGGTCAAATTTGGTGTACCCAGAACGTGATGAATAATCAGAATTCAAAATGACCAAATTCTATGGTTTCCAGTTTGAATGTTTCAGAGTCTTAGATTTTGACCCATACCCATTAGGAGGCCGTGGTCGTCCAATTCTGACCACCATCAAAACGCGTGCACTGCTCTGTGAGCATGCTGCCGCGTCACGGTGCCTTCCATTTTCCCAGGCGGCCGACTGCCTCATCCCCAATGACCTATTTCGAGTGAAGTCAACAGATGTGTTTTGTGGGTAACTGGGATTACCACTAGGTGTTTTTGGGGTAAGCAGTTGTGTGGTTGAAAGCGCAAAATTCTACCCAGTGCTGTCCCCATTTTCGTTGGTTTCATCATCGCCGTTTTTGGAGCAAAACAAGCAACCAGATCACAGTCCATCATATTTCATTCATTTCAGCACTTGCGGCAGTCTATCGCCTGTGTTGCGCATGGTCACTCAGTGCACCCGATCTTTCGCAGTGCCGTGTGAGCAGCGTTCCACGTTGACGGCCAGGGCATAAAAATGCAGTTGTGCTAACATTGCAGGTCCGTTAATTACTGGGGGTTGTAATCCCAGCTACAAGGATGAGTTGCCCCTCGCTTCAAAGCTGTGCCCTGGGGCCATGATGGGCCATGTAGCAAAGATCGACTCCTGAGGTCAAGAAATTAGAGTTAAGCATGTTAATCCAAAGTGGCACGGTTTCTATATGTTTCTGTTTCTATTATGTTGGAACCCAGGATGGTTTTATTGAGATCCTCAAACGCAGAATAGTTTCCAACGTGAGCTGTGTATCCCGCCATCTTTAGACCTCAAGTTGTATTTACTGAATGTCAACTTTTTGCAAACCTATCCGCCCATGTACTTTTAAGATCCTTTAAGTGGTGAAATCCATACGGTTGTTGGTTCAATCACCAACTTTGGATGGTTAATTATGTTCCTTGATTCTAAAATGTTTAAGATCATTTCAATCTCAAAAAATGTTTAGTTATCTTGCATTAAACACATGTATATATATAATATACTTGGTGAATTCCAATTTTTAGTTGGTCACATTCCACATATTTGTTCAATCATGTTCACATATTTTGCGTGACATTTTCCCAGCCCAAGATAATCCATATTTTTTCCACATTTATCATATCTGCCTATAATCTCCACATCAATCTATTTAAATCTCATCATCAATGGCTATCTATGGCTATGGCTCTAAATTGCAGTGAAAAATAACTCAGCCATATATGGTTCAGAATCCAGTAGCCATCACCAGTAGCTTAGATATCACCATTATATAATCAGTATAGAAATAGTTAATTGATATTAATCACCATTATTAATCACTATTAACCATTAACCACTATAGGCCTAACCACTATTTTTAGCCACGATTAACCATTATCAATCACCTAGTAGAACACCATCATCCATTATATAGTTGATGGTTATTAGTTAGTTGATTGTGGCCATTACCCATATGCTCCATGTATGGAAGGAATATTTACCAACATGTACCCTGAAAATCACCCAGTTTTGTAGGTAAATATACCATACATGGAGCATATGGGTTATAGGCCTTACCATCATCAACCACCATCTACCAGTTAGAACTAATGGCCATAGCCCAGGTGACCTCGGTGGTCTGTTGGCCCGCCAGCGTCAGCGCCACGCTGGCGGAGGTGCGCTCGGGCCGCGTGCCGCGGCCGCTGGGCGCCATGGGCGACTGGGTGCCCTGGCGGAAAGGGCGGGGAAAACGGAGGAGTTTCCCGGGAAAAATGGTAGGTGTATGGTTGGTTTTCCTGATTTTGATAAGAAATTGGTGAATTTAACCCAACAAAATTTCGACTTTGACCAAGAAACCTTAAGATTTAAACAACAAAAATCATGATTTGGGCAAGGGAAATAGGAGTTTCAATGGAGATTTAACCAACAGTGATGGTGAGTGTTGCTATCAAATTTGAAATGGATGAAGTTGCTACCTTTGTTTTTTATTTTGTAGGGCAACAATGAATGGAGTGTTACCAGCAATGATTGGAAAAAAAGTTCGTTCACAACTGCAAACGGAAACCATCATTAAAAGACAACTTATTAAAAAAAAAACTTTAAGTGGTGAGCTGAGGTGAATACCATTACTTAAACTGGTGAATGGTTGAATGGGTTGGCAGTTGGTAGGATTGTTTCCGGGAAACAATTTTGATTATTGCAATACGCTTGAACCAGCCCAAATGTTGGTTCAAATCGATATGATCTATGCAAATTGGATTGATCAGAAATTGGGTATATCCTTATTGTTCCCCATTATATTGAACATTTTTTCACGGATGTGGGGATTTATTGTGTGATTGTATATGTTTGGATCGTTTTGGATCATTATTTTTAGCAAGCGTTCAGCAGTTTTTCAGGGGTTGCGATCTCGTCGTTGGTCTGATCCCACGATTCATGAGGTGATCATTACGGAGGAAACCTTTGCAGAGCAGGAGCTGCTGGATGGTGGTGGAAGCCCATCCGTATTCGGGAAATCAAACATGGCTAGCTATAGGAATTCCCTTTGAATGGGCGAAACAATTTGACAATTATCGACTGGATTGGGGAAATTCCAGCAAATCATGTTTGATTACCAGACGTTACCCTTATGGGTCCAAGTGTATGTTCAGGGAGTATTTGGGATATGATTTAGGAGGTGAAGTATCTTCTCAGGAGGTATTTAAATTTAGATCCATACTGTAGCTTATGTATGAATGATTATTGATATTTTCTTTTTGTTTTGATTTATGATTGATATCCTGGTATCCCCAACATAACATTGATTGTTCCGGTTGATATTCCGATATTCGACCTTTAAGGATATGATGCGCTATGAAAATATCAGCCATAGAAACTTGAGTATTTGTATGATGGGTCCACATTATTGGGTTGAACCAGCCACTCGTGGAAGAGAATGGTTTCCCCCTATTGCCATTATGCCTAGTCTATTCAAAGATATGTCAGATGATTCAGTCGCTGGGGGTGACAGGGATCATGGATCGAACTCACTTCGACATGAGTTAACCATAGTGGTATATAAGTATTCTAAGTAATGTAACTTAAGAATCAAGAGAAACAACTGTTGGAAAGCTCACAAGATGGAATCATGTGTCATCCAACGGTGGTTGGAGCCTGGCGGTTGGTATTCACCAGCTCTATGCAGAAGGTACGTGGTAACGCCAATGCCACAAAGCCCATACCCAAGTCATCACCATTTTTACGGGTGATAGAAACCATCCCTAGTGGATCCTAATGGTACTTCTTTATGGCATTGGGTTTTTTACCCTCTGGTAATTTAACATAGCTATGGAAAGCCACTATAAATGGCCATTTTCAATAGCTATGTTAGTTTACCAGAGGGTACATTATCCCAATTTCATGTACCGCATAAAATTGTCTATATCCCCATAACAATGGGATGGTGCCTTATGATGACGTGGTAAAGCCCTTTCTGTGGTTGGTTCCTGGGATCCATGGGGCACTGTTCTTGCAGGCGCCCTGACCGCCGGACAGCGCGGTTGCGGCGACAGGGCAACGTCGGACGCGACAGATGAAAATTCACGGAGGATCTCAAGATTTTGCTGGTTGATATGGCTTAGATTCTTACAATGTGAGGCCCCCGTTCGATAGCTAAGTTGGTGCAAATAACTCCAATAACTATGGTCTATGGTATTTATAACGAACTAGTTACTGGGGCTTACAAACCAACAAACATCACTGGGGGGCCCCACATTTTAGATGCTTTCACTTTCACACATGAATCTAGCTAGTTGAACGTCAAATTGGGCAGTACACCTGGAGAGTATTTTTATGTATGTTTGGGGTTGGAAGCACCACTCCATTTAACACTGAAAGTCAAGCTTTTTCGCACCAGGATCCATGCATGTGCGGCCCCAAGGGCCTTGAGCGACGTCCTAAACCCTGGGCCGTAAGTGGCTGCTGAAACTTCGGCTCTCCGGCAAATACCCTGAAGCCAATGGAATCTCAAGAAATGTCGGTGATCATATTCTTAACGTAATCTGCTGTGAAAGGTTCCTGTGATCATGTGCATCACATAATCTGCCATCGGCTGCTTCTGAGATCATGTTCATCACAAAACCGATCATCGAAAACCAAACTGAACGGCTACTGGTATCTGCCATCATTCGCCGGGAAAAGCTTCTAATTATGCCACATCCAAAATATGCGTGCGCAACATCTTCTTCAAAAAACCTGCAAACATCACTGTGGCTCCAGGAGCTACAACTGGGATCCCTGAAAGCGATTCCCAATACCAAGCCACATCATAATGGGAAATGTGAATGGTATACCACGCCTGGAAAACCTCCAAACTATGCGACCAATGAACTGGAAGGGGGATTGACGTCACAGGTTTCCACAAACAAAACATCATCCCACAGAAAAAACCAACAAACCAAACCCCAAGCAGGATTTTCCAGTTTCAGAATTGAAGGTTTCCCAAAATCGCAGCTACCATCTTAGCCTTGGCTGCCACCCTTGCTGGTGGCGCGTCTTTCCCATACCGGCTTATGAATTGGTCAAGCTTCTTGCCAAGCCCTCGCTTCGGCTGGACAATTAGGGCTTCAAGGGATTTAGCTGACAATGGTGACTGTCCCAAATCAACAGCGTGGCCCAATTCTGCCTCCAGCAATTTAAGCGAAACAACAGGGATCTTAACATCTGCAAGGCTACTTTCCTTAGGGGGGTCTTGGACTTGTGTTGTGTGCTTGCTGGGCAGCTTTGGGACGGCGCTACCTTGCGCAGTTGACGTGTCATGCCCAGTCTGGCCCGGCGGTGCCTTTGGCACGCCCGCAGCCACTGCAGCTTGCTTGAGCTGCTCCCGTTCTTCCAAACACATTGCAAGCGCTTCTGCCTGCAAACGACGCTCCTGCCAAGCTGCTGCTTCTTGCTTCTGCCTCTTGTACTCTTCATAACCTGGTGAATTTTTCGGCAGCTTGTCAGAAGACTTACGTTTGTCAGGAGTCCGGGATTCTGATCTGGACTTTCGGCGGCGCCGGCGGCGTGAGTGAGACGATTCCCGCCGTTCACGGTGGCGATCATGGTCATAGTAAAAATAGGAATGTCGGGAATCCCTGCCAAAGCTCTCATGCTTCCGGCCATGGCCCTTTGTCGGCTGACCGCGCCCCCCAGCATCCACAACCCATACCTCTACAAAGAGGCACAGGAAGAACAACGCTTTCAGGGCTGGCCTCATGTGCTCCGGGTATGGAGAGACACAGAACAGCTACGGGGTAAAGCCAAAATCTGGCGGCAAGGCTGCACTACATCAACCGTGTCCAATGAAAAACCAAGCCAAAGCACATGCACTCTGCCGACAAGTCGGGCTTCTGCAAATCCCAACAAGGGCATCCACTGGGTTTCATGGAGATGCGGCGCACCAAAACTTGTCATAATTAAAGTCAAACCTAAAAGACAACAGAGACAAACATGTTCCTACCATTGGACATAAAACAAACCCATATCTCCTGCGAAATCCATCCTAGCAGCAATGATGAAACTGAAACCGAATACATAAGTCAAAAGTAGTAAAAGCATCAACAAAACAAAAAAACCTAAAGCTGAACAATACTGAGCCATGTATGGGACAACAAGTCATTATCTTATCAAGCATTGGTTTGTCGTCTCACGCGCCGCTTATGATCTAACACTTTCACACATGAATCTAGCTAGTTGAACGTCAAATTGGGCAGTACACCTGGAGAGTATTTTTATGTATGTTTGGGGTTGGAAGCACCACTCCATTTAACAGAACAGGTTGGAAAGAAGGAGACCGAGGAGACCCCACAGATTTGATCAACGCCGGATATAGCCCTGGTGACCATTGGTCACAAGGTGAAAATCTGAACGTGATAGATTACTTGTTGGAGTTATTTCTTATTGGAACTGAAAGAGTCCTTGTCTTGAATGAGAAATCCACTACAGTCATGGCCCGAAATCCCAGTCATAACCCCATTTATAATTTTATAGAATGTATAATCCCAGTTATAACCAGTTATAACCAGTTATAACCAATAGCCATGGCCATCACTGTGAGAAAGCTAGCTCGCCAAGTGACAACTTGCGCGCCCGGGCTGCGACCTGTTGAAGCATTTGAAGTGCTGCAAGTTTTCCAGATTTGGCTCGGGTACCGCCATCATCCGCCATCTGTGGCACACTTCGAAATGCAAGATACCAGGACTGGTTGGTGGTTTGGAACATGAATTTTATGACTTTCCATATATTGGGAATAGTAACCCCAACTGACTTTCATATTTTTCAGAGGGGTGGGTATACCGCCAACCAGCATAGATATGATGATTCTTAGTCAAACATGTGTTGGTTTATGGCGCTTAATGATGCGGAATGACTCAATTGGCGCTTAATGATATTGAATTTATACATGCTTTTCCATGTCGAACTAGCTGCTGCAAGGGCAACGTCAGCCCAGCCAGATCACTTTTCGTGCAGATGAGCAGAGTCGGGTTTTCAAGGACATCAAATCGGGCTTGTCCCAACATTTGGACCCACAGCGATTTCATGAAGTCTGAAACAAGAGTATACAAGTATACATCAAAAGCCAGTGGCCTATCATGATGTTGCTCACCTAAAAGCGTATTTTTTGGGGCATATCCAGCATTTCTGGGCAAACCAGGGACAAACCCATTTCGGCTTCCAAACTCCAGAGCTTATGATGGATTTCGACACGGGTTGGACATGCAAAAAGAACCATGAGTCTGGGTAAATTATAACGACCTCACTGCGACCTCATTAGAATGGTTGGTAAGGGGAACCATCTCCAAGATAGCCTTATTTCAGCTTAGTGAATTATTAGAATCTACCCAGATGAGTGAAGTATTCTTGAGTCTTGCAGACTTGGTTCAGCACAAACATTAGGGGTTCAAATGTGTGACATTTGACACAAGTCTCATTGACACTGCTGATCTAGTGCACAGAAGGAAAATATGCTCTCTGGTGGCTGCGATCTCATGGTTGAGGGCTGGAATGTTGTGATGCAAATAGAATTGGCAGACATTATCACTCAAATAGTGAATTATCCAAGATATTACATATCATATTATCATCATATTATACAACCATATCCAACCTGATCCACATATTCTATAGATATTATCCATCATTATCCAACATGCTGCTTGCAAGATTATCCAAAACAGCGGATTGACCAAAATGCATCGTTCGCCCAAGCAAAGATCCTTTGAACCACAATAAGATACATTAAGTTTGCCAGCAATCAGGGACAGCCAAAATCACCTTTGAAACCTATCGCTTTGGTTTGGAGGTTTGATGTTTGCATGACTGGGTCAGACAATCATCTCGCTTTACCTGGTTGGTGGTTTGTTTAAACACCAAAAGCAACATCTTTTTGACCCATACTTTTCAGGTTGAACCCACCGACCACTTCTGTCATTGCAGATGGCTCTGTCCAGATTATAGAAGTCCTCTTCCCAGAAGTTGGCTACTAGAAACCTTCCATTTTCAAAAGCAACTAAACATGCACTAATCATGAATATACAACTCTTGGTGTTGAAAAACTACTAGTTATACCAGTACCCCAATACCAATGTGTTCACCATTTGCGGACCTTGACCTGAAGATACCATGAGTATCTCCGGGTTTCCGTTGCAGGCCGGCCATAGAATCGGCCCTGAACAAGCAGCTGGCCCCTTGCCTTGGCGCCACATGGGATTCGGCGCCAGGATGTGGCCCCCGTTCGAGCTCGCCTTCAGTTGAGATATGGATTTTTGTGGCTGAATTCCATTGAATTCTATGGTTTAGAGTAGATATAACGAACTAGTCAATGGGGTTTATAAACCAACTTATAACTGTGGCACCATGGGATTCTACCAATGGTGATTTGAACAAACTAAAATGCGGATTACACCACAAAACACGGGGATTCTACCAACAACACATGGAAGTGTAATCAGCAAAAATCGGGAATATATAGCAGTGATGAACCAGACAGTCAACGGGGATTATACCAGCAACAAATGGTAGTTTTCTCTGATTCTCTTGGGGGGGTTCCCGAAAATATAATTGGACATTATTACCATTAATTAGATGACCATTTGCATTTTCAGACACCCCCACATTTGATGGCCAATTAATCAGCATGTTTGCCACACAAATAGCATTCTTGTGTGTATATCCACATTATATCCCGACCCATATTTATGATATAGTGTATGTGTATATATATATATATATCAAATAAAGCAAGAAGCACATCCCAACATTTATACCCCAGACAAATCCCTATTTGTTTTTGTTGAATCGCTAGTTTGGACGGTTTTGTCACCTTTTGAACCTCAATTTCGCCCCCGAGGCAAGTTTGGGCTTGGGCGGCCTGGTGAATGCTCCGGTTTCTCGACACAGAAATGATGGGATTCTTAAAATGGAAGTCTATGTCATGATAAATAGCAATAAAGATCAATGAATATAGCAATGAATCAATAAATATCAATAGATATCAATAAATGTCAACAACTATCAATACATGTCAACAAATATCAATAAGTATCAATGCAATAAATATCAATAGATATCAACACATATCAAACAAAAACATGTTGAAGAACATCGAATTGAAATTGCGAAATCAAAACCTCCTTTTTTCAGTCATTTTTTGTTGATTTTGCGTCATTCCATGTTTGTTGGTTCAATGACCTTAAAACCATCACTGCCCAGGCGGCGAAGCGAAAGAATCCACAGCGCTTGCAGGCGGGAAGCTGTAAGGACCTGGGGTCTCCACTGTGACATGTTGAAACCAGTTTTTCTATGGTGATTTAATAGTGATTTAAAGGTGATTTTGTAGTTTTTTTTATGGGTGAAATGAATGGTGATTTAGTAGTTGTTTCTTTGGTGATTTATTGGTGATTTATATAGTTCTTTGCATCTGTGGTGATTTAATGGTGATTTAAAGGTGATTTTGTAGTTTTTTCTATGGTGTTTTATGGTGATTTAATGGTGATTTAGTAGTTTTATTCTATGGGTGTGATTTAATGGTGATTTAGTAGTTATTTTTTTGGTGATTTATTGGTGATTTATATAGTATTTTTTTCAGTGGTGATTTTTGGTGGTTTAATGGCGCTTTAGTAGTTTTATGGTGAGGTAATGGTGATTTTATGGTGATTATGTAGTTTTTTCCTTGGTGAGAAAGAAAAAGGGAAAGGGAAAGGAAAAGCAAGATTTTCCAACAGTCAGGAAGAGATGTTGCTGAAGGAACACGTTTCTTGAATCAGCTTGGGGTTGAACATCAGACAGCACGAAAGTTGGTTGCGGGGTTCATTACGGGAGCACTCACTTTCACGAAGCCGCGAACCCATAGCTTTCTTTTTGAAGTGTTCAGCTGTTCTGCTGAGATCACAACAGCAGATGATGGGGCCAATCAGTTCTTTTTGGGTGGGCTCACATATTCAGGCTCAAGGAAAACTTTGGCAGCAGTCCTGCAAGAGAACGGGATGCCAGCTTCAGGCTACATCACTCGAGTACCAAAATTGAAGTCTTGACAGAAATGAGCGACATTGTCAAACCGCGGTTTCTGAAATTCGTGAACAAGCATGATGAAGTGTACGTCTTCAATGCTAATGGGAGCCCAGAATGGTGATTTAGTAGTTTTTCCTATGGTGATTTATTGGTGCGTTAGTAGTTTTTCTATTGTGATTGATGGTGATTTAATTGTGATTTAGTAGTTTTTCTATTGTTATTTCATGGAGATAAATAGTGAGTTTATGGTGGTTTAATTGTGGTTTAATTGTGATTAATGATGATAATATGGTGATTCTATGGTGGTATAATAGTGATAAATTGTGATTGTATGGTGATTTAGTGGTTGTTTCATTGTGAGGTGATGGTGGCTTGATGGTGATTGATGGTGATTTACTGGTGAGTTCATGGTGATTTTATGGTGATTAAATATATTAAATGGTGATTTAATGAAATTTCATTGTGATCTATGGTGATTTAATGGTGATTGCTGAAGTGTGCAGAGTGAACATGGCCTTGATGTCAGATCTCGCTGCCAAGAAGATTATGCCAAGCGGGCACAGTGGGTTCAGACAGCACTGGACAATTTTCTGGTGATGCAAGGCGATGAGACTGTTCATGAATGGTGGCATCAAGGTATGCCGTGCGGACTTCCAGGAACTGACCTCATCAATTGGGTTCTAAACTGGACGTACGATTGTGTTGCAGACGCCACAGTCTACCACCTTATAGGGAGGCTGATCATTGCCGTCACAACAAGACAAGGTGATGACGTGTGGAAGAAGGTACGTTCACTGGTCGAATCAATTGGCGGATATGCAGCATGGACAAGCTTAAATGTTGAAGGACAACCATCGAAACAGTTATTTTCCGGAAAAACTGGGGATAGGCCACATGAAGTGTTTGTTGAATTCCTCAGATTTTTGTTCGGGCCTTCCAATAGTGATGAGTGGACTTTGGGTGTTTGTAATCCATCAGGATTAGATGGGAAGTTCCACGTGCTCAACACTTCAGGCTGATGTGCTTGCTCTCAGTGAAACCCACATGACTGCTGCTGCCAAACGCAGTCTGACCACAAGCTTGCGCTCCATGGGGTCTCGCTACCGCCATGTCATATCTGGTGCGCCAATGGCACTGTTAATTCAAGTATGGTAATATGGCATATGATGTGGTAAAACCAATGCCATAAACCATCCCCAAAACATCACTGTCCATGAAATTGGGGATTCTCACATATTCCAACCATCCCCGAACGGTAGGATTATGGAATTGGGCTTCCCACATTAATGGACCTTATATCCAGTCAACTGTGACATGTTTGTTTCTTCATTTGTTTACTGTTTAGATAGCTTGTTAATGGCCAATAGATAATGGGGATCATGTGTGTGTGTATATACAATATCATTAAATTAAGCCATCGGTGATAAACTCAATATAATCAAATTAAACAGCTGGTGACAAACATGATTGGAAGACACAACAGATGTTTGATAGCAGTGTGTTCAACTCTCATTCAAGCAAACAGCAACACAGTTCGAGACGTTTCAAGTGGATTTGCCTTTTTTCTTGGTATAGAATTCCACCCAAAGATGCCCAAAAGTTGAGAACCCGAGAAACACAAGGGACAAATCATGGATTTCCCATCCTGGTTGCACACTTTTCCACATCTTTTTTTTGGAAAATACCACCATCGACCGTTGGAGCCCGGTGCCTTGGACAGGCGCGTTTAGAGAGAGCCAAGGATTTGCAACAACGGGAAGAACAGGTGCCCCGCGAATGGATGGAGGGTGTCTGGAAATAGGGTGCTGTACCTGGATGTAGCTGGTAGACCCCAACAATGCCTATATAAAATGGGAGAAGGTGATGATTAATCAAGGGAGTTACAATACTATTTTCAGACAAAACCCATATGTGTATATATGTGTCATATATAATTATATAATCATATGTATTATATAATTGATAATTTAATTGTAATCCCATCCCCCTAATATTAAACATCCCATAAATGGTTTCAAATATGTGTAAATTCCTGCTAAACCATACTAAGCCATGATTTCTTTGGGGTGTTTAATATTTGGGAGAAAGGTATTATAACAATTCCCCGGATATAGTTATACTATGTTCTAATGGGTGAGATGGTGGCCAATTGGAAAGATCACTTGTTAGGGACTTGTTGGGACCTTTCCTGTTGATTCTTTCAGGAACTATTGAGGTCCTCGTTACCCATCGTGAATATTTAGGAGATTTAAACATATGGAGGTTTCCTAAAATAGGGGTGCTCCAAATCATCCAAAATTAGGGCATTTTGAAACCCATAGTTTTCGGGTGCCCCTATTTTCAGGAAATTTCCATATTGGCACCATTTTGGCATGGTCTCCCCCAATTTTAATCGCGAGCATTTCAAGACCGAGTCTTGTGGGGCTGAGACTCCATCATGTTTTATCATAAATGGATCGTGATAATATTATGGGTTTAAACACTACATGGAAAGTCTAAATCATTATTTGGATCATATTAGATGCATCATGAACCGTAAACATTATGATTATCAATCATTAACTATGAATAATAGTGGATACTGCTGATGAATTTTCAACGGATCTACCATGGTTAAACAAGTATTGTACCGCTTGAAACTCCCGGATGTATCCAGAATAAATCATGAAAAACTAATTACAACATGTACAGGAAGCCCCTATATTTGATCGGGAAAACAATGTTTTCCTGTAGATGTTCCCTTAAACCAGTCCAATGATAAACAAATTCCAGCAGATCATGTACAGGAACCCCCTTTTTTTTGATCGGGAAAACAATGTTTTCCTGCAGTTTTTTCCTTAAACCAATCCGATCTACCATTGAAGACTCTGCCACTTTGGCGATGTTCAGCTGCAGGTGCTTCAGCAGACCATTGCGCTTCTACAGCAATGTCTCAGGCAATGCATGGGTAAAGAATGATCAACTGGCATGTGGTATGTACCATTATATACCATTCTATATCATTCTATATTGACGAAACATGTAGGGAAAAATCAGCAATGGGAGTATAATCTAACGGGAATATAGTAGGAATCTCATAGGAATAAGAATATATAAGAATATAAAGGGATGCGATTTGACATTTCACCAATGATTGTTTTTTTGGTTTGTTGGAAAAGGGGAGATACCCCCAAAAATAGCAAATTTAGCAAGAACAATGATGCTAAACCATGCTAAACCATCAATATTGGGGGGGGGTACGGTGTTTTGAGGCAAACCCATGTGCGAACTGATTTAAACCCAAGAATCAGGAAACCAGACAAAGAATGAATACCCTCTGGTAAACTAACATAGTTGCTTGACTATGGAAAATCATCCTTTTTCATGGGTAAATCAACTATTTCAATGGCCATTTTCAATAGCTATGTTTGTTTACCAGAGGGTGTAGACCTCATTATTTCATTTAGTGGGTGGGCTCAACCCACCTTCAATACCATTGTTTTGGTGTTGCCAAGGTAGGTGCTACCATTGACTATGCTGATAATATGGGAAGCAACCTAACAGCTGCAAGCATACAACTAAAAATGCTGAGGACCCAACTTCTCGGAACCTGACTCATGAGTAGCTCAGAATCTACACCTTCATCAAATTCGGAAATAGATTGTATACATCCGAATTTTCTTGGGGTAGAATTGGTTGCCCAGAAGTGCATTCCTTTGGAAGTTGATTTAGCTTTTACCATACTGGATGTGTTTTACCATTGGATGTCACGTTGGTGGGGGGGAATCAACAGACCATCATCCACCATCCATGCTACGTCTTTCTGGATAAGCCTTAGCTTAGTATGTTTTCGTGGATCGTGTTCTTGCTCCAAATTTGCTTTAATATTACAACCATTGTTCCTGCTAATAGACTCCTAAAGATCCAACCATGTCCAAACTTTCAAACGTATTCAAACATTTGCTTTTGCGGTATGAAATTCAATTGATGTGCAGTTCGCATTTGCATACAGATCTTTTTGGAGTTCTGTGGTTTTTGCATGTCCAGGCTTTCCAATGCAGCATTGACAGCTGCCCTTTTAGAGATCAAGCCACTGACGTGGCACCTGTGCGCTGAAAACGAGAGGCGCGTGAGGAGTGCACCTGCTTGTGGCCTGCTGGAAACCCCAGCAGGTTATGAGCCCAAAGAGCTCGGAGGCTGCGCATATGGATGTGAGAAGAAGGCTGGCAACGAGAGAAGAGTTGCTAGCTGGAGAAGAACAGATGAAAAGAGCGCAGGAAAGGTTAGCAGTGGAAGCACTAGAGAGAGGTGAACAGGCGATAGAAGATGTTCAACATGCGAGTCAGGAAAAGGAGGTTCAGAATGGAGGTCAAGTTGTAGGAGTTCCAAAAGAGGAAGTTACAGCTAGGTCCACAACACCTCACTTAGAGCATGCTGCGCGTCCTAGGTCCCTTCCACCGTCAGTGCCACCGCCAAGTCAGCCACCTGCAGTTTCTCCTGAGGATCTTTTAGGATCAACCTTCAGGACTCCGCAGACCAAGCCTGAGGCCAAGGGGCCAACAATGCAAGGAGCCTTGGAGGACAGCCAACTAAGGAACCAGTCGGTTGCGACGGGTCAAAGGAGTTTGGAGCAGGGTTCAGAAGTGGGGTTTCAAGGGCCTAGGGGGAGAGAAGAGGCTGGTGGTCCTGGAAGTTTGACGGCCACCCCACAAGTGTCCTTGTTGCCGCTGTTCACTGATGAGCAGTTGCGGCAATCTGCATTCATGCCACCTGGGTCCATGCTTTCAGGGTTGACACCCCAACTCTACCGTCCAACCTTTTTGCAGCAAGAAGAAGAAAGAATGAGAAGTTTGGGAGTTTTGCAATCGTTTGGATACTCCACCATGAATTTCGGTGATCAATCAGCAAGGGAAGATTTGAGACAACTTGTTGATGAAGTCATGGTAGAGAATAGGAGGCTGAGGCAGAGGTTGTATCAAGTAGAATCGAAGTTGCAAGAAGGGGATGTGCGGTTTTCCACTCCAGAAAGTCAGAAGGAGGCCGCAGACCCCCAAAGACAGGAGGCTGGAGGTCCCCGAAGAGAGGAGGCCGCAGACCCCCAAAGACAGGAGGCTGGAGGTCCCCGAAGAGAGGAGGCCGCAGACCCCCAAAGACAGGAGGCTGGAGGTCCCCGAAGAGAGGAGGCCGCAGACCCCCGAAGTCAGGAGGCTGGAAGTTTCAGAGAAAAGGAGGCTGAAGACCCCCCTAAAGAAAGAAGTCCGAAGTCAGGTGAAGACTCAGCTCAGCAGCCCAACGCAGCTTTCACAGAGAAATCTATTGAGTTCATGAAGCTGATGATGGACTCGATGCGGGAGATGCAGAAGCGCATGACGGAGTCAAAGGAGGAAAGTGGAATGATCAGAGGAGTGGAGGTCATCAGATCGGGCTCTCCCGATTTGCCGGCCTTGGCACCTTGGGAGCCACAGCATGGGCCCTTGATCTTGGGCGACTGGATGTTGCTGGCTGAGCCAATAATCTCGGACTTGTCCATGTCGGCCAGTGAGTGGTAGAAAGCCGTGGTTAGGCTGGCGGAGGAATGGTACAAGGTCCACATGACTCTCAATCCGATTGAGCGCATCCAACATCCTGCGACGGTCCCAGTTGAGGTCTCACAGGACAAGTGGCAACGGGTGGAGCGCAGGGTGTCATCGATGATGCTGCAAGCGGTGCCGCCACCAGTTCGAGATGAACTGGTCTCAGCTCGAAGGATGTCGACTTTCGGCATTCTGACACACCTCATGGTCACCTACAGTCCTGGAGGAGTTACAGAGAAGCAGAACATCCTGAGGAGTCTTGAAGATCCACCAGAGATTCAGAAGATCAGCGAAGGTCCACCAGCTCTTCGAAGGTGGTTGCGGTGGAGAGCTCGGGCCCGTGAAATCGGGGCAGTGGCACCTGACCCGGCGTTGCAGCTCAAGGGATTGCTGCGCATGACGAAACGGGTCCTGGACAACAACAGAGAGCTTCAGTTTAGGGTGTCGCTTGTCAGATCTGGCTTGGGAGTTGATACCACGCCGACAGAGGTCAATGTGGAACAACTGGCCAATCACCTTTTGGCTGAACTGGACCAACTGTCCATGACGGACAAACGACCTGGTCAAGGATCTGCAGCTCCTCAAGGAGAACAACCAAAGATCAAGTCTCTGGAGTTGGAGAAGGCTGACAAAGGGAAAGGAAAAGGGAAAGAGAAGACAGGAGAAGAAGAAAAAGGGAAGATGAAGTGTCGCTTTTACAACTCTGAGGGTGGTTGCAAAAAGGGGAAGGAGTGCGAATGGTTGCATGAGTCTCGGGATGACAGGCGCCGATGTTGGACCTGCGGCGCTGTCGACCACATGTCGCCGGCGTGCTCAAGGCCAAAAGGAAGTGGAGGAGGCTCCCCTCAGAACCACAACAAGCAGAAGTTGATGAAGTCAGAAGCTGAGGAGAAGTCAGGAGGGCAGAAGGAGAGCTCAGACACTCAGTCGGTTTCATCGGAAGGCTCCATCAAAGAGCTCTTGGAGGAGGCAGGCAAGATGCTCAAGTCGGTCACTGGTGAGGGATCGGCGATGTCCTCAAGTTCGGCATCAGGAGGTGGGGATCAACGTAAAGACCTCATGGATCGTCTTCAACAACAATTGAAGGCGTTGAGAACCTTCAAACTGCAACAGTTGAGCTATGGGGAGCATGTAGGGTTGGTCGATAGTGGGGCGACCAATGCACTTCGTCCCATTCGTCAAGGTGAAGATTGCTCCACCTACCCTGAAGTTGATGTTTCATTGGCCAATGGGAAGTCTGTGAAATTGAAGATGAGCCCCGGAGGATCAATGTTGGCTCCTGACATGGAGACAGAACCCATTGTACCGATGGGACAGTTGGCTGAAGTTTTGCACTGCGACATCCAATGGAAAGGCGGCTCCATCACCATCATTCACCCTGAAAGGGGAGTGCTTCCCATCGAGATGAGGGGGAGTTGTCCACATGTTTCAAAGAAGGTGGCGTTGGAGTTGATCGCAGAGCTGGAGGATAGAAGGATGGGCCTGCCAACAAAGGTAGAAGGTTTTCACCGTGAGGAAGCATGGATGAGAGATTTGATCAAGACGCATCCGGTGCTGTCAAAACTACCTGACCATGTCCAACAAGCCCTTGTTGTTCCACCAGGAGATTGGGCCGATTTGCCTTCCAACCAGAGACTGAGGAGACTTTGGAAACAAGAAGGCTTGGTGGCTCATTTGTATGCAGGAGCTGACTCAGGGTTCACTTTGAAGAGGGCATGGAAACAGTTAGGAGGTAGAGAAGATGTGTTGCTGGAGTTGGATGTCGTAAGAGGAAAGGATCACAACATGCTGCTGAATAAGGGAGCCTATAGTGGCCTTCTTCGATCTGCATTGGAGGGGAAACTGAAGGGAGTTGTTGGCGGTCCGAACTGCCGAACCAGAAGTCTCCTACGTCACATCCCTATCCCTGGTGCAACTGATGCTCCGCGACCAATTCGAGGGTGGTTTGGAGAAGAGTATGGCATCAATGATGCAACGTCTGAGGAGCTGGAAAAGATCAGGGAGGATGACATACTTGCTTGGAGAATGGTTTTTGTGTTCATGGTTGCCACATACATGAGGAGGGCCATGGGGATTTCTGAGAAGGTAGCATTTGCACTGGAACAACCAGCTTCACCGTGTTCATACATGCCGGAGGTTGTGTCATGGTGGGAAACATGGGAATGGAAAGAAGTCGCAAAAGAGTTTGGGTTGAAGGAGGTCACATTCATGCAGGGTGAAATGGGAGGTCAGTCGTCGAAGCCAACAACCATTGGAGGAAACTTGGATTTGGATGTCCAGGCCAACAGGATGAAGAGAAGTGGAGGAGTCATTCGAAGCTCGAAGGAGCTTTCAAGATGGGCTCCTGGGTTGATGACTATGATCTCACAAGCTCTCTTGAAGGAGGTCTTCCAACAAGACCCTCGTCTTTGTGCACTCAGTTGGGAAGAACATTTATGAATGAACCATGTTCCATATCGACGCGACTGCCTTGTTTGTCAGCAGACTTCCCAAGCAGCACCACATCGCCGAGTTCGGCATCCAAGAGCAGGAACCTTGTCCTTGGACACAACAGGTCCACTTGTGAAGGCCAAAGACGCTGAAGGTTCAACCGCAAGATATATCCTGGTCGGGGTCTTGACATGGGCAGTCCCGGCAGGGATTCCAAAGTTGAAGGATGCTCAGATTGAGGATGACTTTGAGGTCCCTGAAGAGGCGCCAAAGATTGAGGAGGAAGAAGAAGTAGAGGAAGCAGCTGGACCGGTCCGTGTTGAAGGGGGGTCGGCAGAGAAGGGGCTGGCCCAAGCACTTCCACGTGAGCGTTTCCACGAGGGAGATCAGCCTGAGGAGACAGGCGATACCTCGTGTGATCCGCGTCCAGCTGAAGAAAGAAAAGAGGAGGAACCCGAAGAATTCATCACCAAGGTGTTTCGAGTTGCTCTCCCGATGTCATCCAAAAGGTCTGAAGAGGTGACAAGAACTGCTATGGAGATACTTCTTCGCTTGAGAGCGGATGGGTATTATGTCAACAGGATCCATGTGGACAAAGGCCACGAGTTCGCTGGCCACTTCATGAAATGGATCCACACTCGGGGCATTGAACTGAGTCGGACCCCTGGTGATGATCCCCAGGGGAATGGCCGAGCTGAGCTGACGGTCAAGTCTATCAAAGCGCAGATCAGGCGCACTTTGCTTCAAGGTGGGGCAACTGAGGAAATGTGGCCTTGGGCATTGCGATATGTCAACGAGGTCAATCGATGCTGGCGCCAGGGAATTGATCCTACATGGCCGCCGTTCATGAAACAGGTCCTAGTGAGAAGGAGGAGATGGAAAAGAGGGAGTTTTGATCCCACAATGGAAACGGTGCGGTATTTGACACCTGCACCGGAGTCCCATGGACATTGGATAGTAGGAGAAGATGAGAAGCCGAGGCTGACGAGATCAGTCATGAAGAAGGCAGAGCTTCCACCAGATGAGGCACAATGGCTGGCGATCGAACAGGAGACAGTTGATGCTTTGATGAAAAGACGGAGGATTCGTCAAAAATCAACTATCAGAAGCTTTCAGAAGGATGAAGGCGTGGACTGCGAGAGGCAAAAGATACAGAGAGGAGTAGAGAAGTTGATTGCAGAAGAGATGCCAAGAATGGTGGATGATCACCCAGACTTGGTAGCGCAAGAGATGAAGATTCTTCAAACTTTGAAGAAAATGGCAGAAGTGAAGGAGGAAGAAGAAGAAGTTTTGCAGACTCGGGTGATTTCACCGAAGGAGGTGGCCCGAGATTGGGAACAGTGGTTGCCAGCAGTGCGTGAGGAGGTGAATTCCTTGCTGACTGAGAAAGAAGCGATTCAGGAGATCAGCAAGACAGAGGTCGAGGCTTTGATACGAGAAGCTCATGCCAGCGGAAAGAAGGTGGAGATTCTTCCATCAAAACTAGTTTGCACCGTCAAACCAGGACCAAATGGTGGACGCCGAAAAGTCCGCTGGGTCATCTGCGGAAACTTTGAGGAGCAGAAGGCTGAAGACACCTTCAGCAGCGGTGCAGATGCCGCAGCGTTTCGCATTTTGGTCACAGCAGCTAGTTTTTTCCAGTGGGTTCGAGGCACAATTGATGTGAAGACTGCATTTTTGAATGCAGATATGAAGATGTCAAGCCCCGATGAGGTCTTGCTTATTCGTCCTCCACCTATCACTTTGGAAAAGAAGTACTTCACCCCTGGCACCTGTTATCTTCCTTTGAAGGCTGTCTATGGACTGAGGAGGTCACCGAGGCTGTGGGGAGATTGCAGGGATGAGTTTCTGGTTGAGGTTGAGGTGAAGCTAGAAGGCGAGGGAACAGTTTTGCATCTATCTCAATTGGAATCAGAGCCAAACCTGTGGCGGATTGAGGAACCGCCCAAAGAAGAAGGAGTGACATCTCCTTTGAGAGGACTTCTCATGACATATGTTGACGACATCTTTGTAGCAGCAGAAGAGGAAGTGTCGGCAGCAGTCATTGAGGCCATTCGTCAAAAGTGGAAGACCAGCGAACCAGATGTCGTTGGAGAGAAGCCCATCAGATTTTTGGGCATGGAAGTGACCAAGGTGAAGAATCAGGAGACAGGTCGCGAGGAGTGGTACGTCACACAAGAATCGTTCATCAAAGATCTCCTTCAGAAAGACCCAGAGGAGATCAAGAAAAGAAAGATTCCCATCACACAGGATCAAAGTCTGATGCCAGCGGAGTTGGAGGAGAATAGAACACCAGAAGGCATCAGAGAGGCACAGAAAGCAGTCGGAGAAATGTTGTGGCTGGTAACCAGGTCAAGACCAGACCTCATGTTTTCCACTGCTCGTATTGGGGCCAATGCCACCAAACATCCGTCACAAGTCATGGCCATATACCAGCAGCTCAAGGGGTATCTCAAGGCCACTGAGGATGAAGGTTTGGTTTTTTCCACTGATGGCCAAGGACCCATCATGATTGAGGCGCTGGCAGACGCTTCATTTTCACCAGATGGAGAAGAGAGCCACGGAGCTTTCCTCATTCAAGTAGAAGGCTGTCCTATTTTTTGGAGGTCAGGAAGCCAACAGCTTGTTGCACTGTCAACTGCCGAGGCGGAGATGATGGAGATTGTCCAAGGCATGTTAGCAGGTGAGTCAATTGCAGTGATAGCTGAAGAAGTTTTTCCTGAAGTGATCCGAAGAGTTTGGTCAGACAGTCAAGCGGCCATCTCAATTTTAACGAATGAGGGAGGGAATTGGCGTACTCGCCATTTGAGAATGAGGGCTGCAGCAGCCCGTCAATCAATTTCCAGAGGAGATTGGGCGTTGCAGCATCAAATGGGCGAATCCATGATTGCCGATGTTGGAACGAAGGCACTGGCATCACCAAGGTTGGAAAAGCTCAAAAGGGAAATGGGCATGAGGAAAAGACCAAAGGTTGAAGATCCCGAACTGGTCCGTGTTGAAGAGGGGTCGGCAGAGAAGGGGCTGGCCCAAGCGCTTCCACGTGAGCGTCTCCACGAGGGAGTCCAGCCTGAAGGAGCAGGCGATACCTCGTGTGACCAAGGTTCAGGGGTCAAGGGAAAAGTGTCGGTTGAGTTGGCTGACACAGAGAAAGTGAGAAGAGCGATTCAGATCATCACCTTGGCAGCGATTGCGTCAGGAGCCAAGGGTCAAGACGAAGAAGAAGAGGAGAATTTCCAAGAATTTCATCAACTGATGGTCATTTTTGCTCTTTTGGTGGTCTTGATCACCATTCTTTGTCAGCAGCTGTGGAAGATTGGTTTTGGGCCAAATGGGGGGCGTATGCAGACTGCAACACCCGTGGAGGGCTCAGCTACCAATTCAAATGAATCAAGCTCCGCTGCCAAAACGATAGAAGGAAAAGAAAAGAAAAGCTCCGCAACCAATACTGATCGAAGCTCAGAAGTGAGAACTCCAGTCGCTGTTGCGTCTGGTGCATCATCAAGTCAAGATCCTATTACGCCTGATGTCCATGGTCGAGTCTCGTCGGCTGGAGGAGAGCTGGTGAGCACACTCCCATGTGAGCCGACGCTCCGCTGCGATATGTTTCAGCGTGATCCATCAGGTGGGGGTGAAGAGAGTTCTGAGAGCGAATCATCATTGACGGAAGACAGTCTTGCAGGCAGAATTGTGTCGGAAATTCATCAAATTGAACGAGACGAAAGAGAATTGTGGAGAGAAATAAGGGGTCGGGCAGACCTCAGCAGGAGTGCTCTTCCAGAAGGGACAGATCCATCTTTTCAACTGCCTTTTCGTATCTTCACCACGCGATATGGTGTGGTTTACCATGTGTCGATGAACTGCAACTACGTGCGGGCACCGCAGACTGGACCAATCCGTGAGTCTGAGTGGTGCCATTTGTGTCGAGAAGTTGCTGAGAAAACGCGTGGAAGACCACCCCCAGGTGTTGAGATCATGTTGGCTGGTTGGGGAGGTCCTGCTCACACAAGTGATCAATGTCCGTTCAGCACTGGAAGCTCAGTTTTCAAAATGTGCACGATGTGCGACAGATTTCTGAGAGAAGGTAGGGCAGTTTGAGTATTGAGGTTGTGATCTCCTGACGAAGTCACAAAGGGGGAGTGCTAATAGACTCCTAAAGATCCAACCATGTCCAAACTTTCAAACGTATTCAAACATTTGCTTTTGCGGTATGAAATTCAATTGATGTGCAGTTCGCATTTGCATACAGATCTTTTTGGAGTTCTGTGGTTTTTGCATGTCCAGACTTTCCAATGCAGCATTGACAGCTGCCCTTTTAGAGATCAAGCCACTGACGTGGCACCTGTGCGCTGAAAACGAGAGGCGCGTGAGGAGTGCACCTGCTTGTGGCCTGCTGGAAACCCCAGCAGTTCCAACCATTGGTATATGTAAGATGTTTTTATAAATTGGCTTTCATGTGGTTGAAGGTTGGGTTTATAGTTCCACCCAGCAAAAGATAGAAAGATCATTTGGCATTATTGGCACTATTTTAGTAGGAGTTGACTTTTCTAGTCTTTTTGCGGGTTGCTGCAATTGGCCAATTTTGCAAGTTGTATCTACAGTGATGGCAATTTATTAGTTATAACTTGTTATAACTGGGGGTATACATTCTATAAATGGGGTTTTGTTAGTACAATGTGGGGCCCCCCAGTTCAGTTACAAGTTGGTTTACAAGCCCCAGTAACTAGTTCGTTATAAATACTATATAGTTATTGGATGTTATTGGACTTATCTGCACCAACTTAGCTATCTTGGGGGCCTCACATTGTAGTTATAACTGGTATTTCTGGCCATAACTGTAGGATTTCGTCCCGCCATTGGTTGTGAACGACCGCGGTTGACCAGGGACCCTTCAGTTGCTGCGGATGATCTCACCTTACGTGAGAGTCGCTCGCCTGGATGCAGTTATGGCCCCTTTTACCAGTGATAAATGGTGAAATAACTGGTGATTTCTATAGTGATTAATGCTGATTAATGGTGATCAATAATGGTTAATGATGGTTAATAGCGGCTAAACATGTGATTAATGATGGTGAAATAACTGGTTTCTATGGGATACTGGATTATAAACCATAAATGGCGTTATTTCAGCGACTTATAAGTGGTAAAAGGCCATAACCGTGTGGGATAGTAAAGGGAATTATAAACCAGGATAATTAATGGGATAATAATGGGAGTATTCGGTGAAATAATATATACTTGGCTTTGTTTAGTCGGGAATTGTTGTTTTTCCCCACCTGCCAGGTGAGGGTTGTTAGATTTTATCAGAGCTGCTCTCCTCCTCCGCATCCTCACCCGCCGCCTCCTCCTCGCAGTCCAGATCCCAGTGGGCACAGCCGGACCTCCACCGCGAGCTCCAGATCCCAGTGGGCACAGCCGGACCTCCACCGCGAGCTCCAGATCCCAGTGGGCACTGCCGGACCTCAACCGCGAGTTGCAGATCGCAGTGGGCACTGCCGGACCTCAACCGCGACTTCCAGGTCGCAGTGGGCACTGCCGGACCTCAACCGCGAGCTCCAGATCCCAGTGGGCACTGCCAGACCTCAACCGCGACTTCCAGATCGCAGTGGGCACTGCCGGACCTCAACCGCGACTTCCAGATCGCAGTGGGCACTGCCGGACCTCAACGGGAAGAATGTCAGAAAAGATGTCAGACAGATAGAATGTCAGAAGATATGCCAGATAGAATGTCAGAAGATATGACAGATAAAATGCCATGAGATATGCCCGATAGAATGCCAGAAGATATACCAGATAGAATGCCAGAAGATATGCCAGATAGAATGCCAGAAGGTATGCCAAATAGAATGCCAGATAAAATGTCAGATAGAATGCCACAAAATATGCCAGATAGAATCCCAGAAGATTTGCCAGATAATATGCCAGAAGATATGCCAGATAGATAGAAAATGCCAGAAGATATGCCAGATAGATATGCCAGAAGAAAATATGCCAGAAGATATGCCAGAAGATATGTCAGAATATATGCCAGAAGATATGCCAGATAGAATGCCAGAAGATATGTCAGATAGAGTGCCAGAAGATATGCCAGATAGAATGCCAGAAGATTTGCCAGATAGAATGCCAGAAGATATGCCAGAACATATGCCAGAAGATATGCCAGATAGAATGCCAAATAGAATGTCAGAAGATATGTCAGATAGAATGCTAGAAGATTTGCCAGTAAGAAAATGTATAAATGTCATGGTGGGGATCATTCGAAGTGAAGTAATTCCAATGGAAAATCCACCATTTGGAGAGTCTATAGGGAAATATAGGGAATATGGCATTCAGGAAGAAGTCAGTGCAGATGGGCAATTTGATCCATATGCCAACAAGGCCCTACTGATCAAGTCCGGCAGTACATGGGACCGGTTTGGATGGACGATTTGTGCATTGGGCTTACAGCTGGAACTCCAGACTTGCTGGTCAGTAAAGCAGGCATGACAACTGCACTCCTCCTTGAAACACTGGAAGGATTTGGGATGACACCCAACCTCAATAAGGGAAAAACGGAATTGCTGCTTGCCCTGCGAGGTAATGGAGCCAGAAAATGCAAACAAGCACTTTTTGGGCCTCAGTCAAGTGGTACCCTGCCGATTATGTGTGAGCCCGGTGTCAAGCACATCAGCGTGGTGGGCCAGTACCAACACCTTGGGGGCCTTATACACCATGCAGGTGACCACAGAATGGAAATGCGCAAACGAGTGGCGCTTGCAAACACTGCCTTTAATGCACATCGCAGAACCATCTATCAGAATCCTGACATTCCATTCAAGAAGCGCACAGAACTTTTTCAAACATTGATTTTGAGCAAGCTGGTGTATGGAAGTGAATCATGGGTTTTGCACACCATCAAAGCCAAGGAGTATTTGCATGCTTCAGTGATGAGGTTGTATCGTAGATTGTGTGATTGCAAGCCACGGAATTCAGTGCTGTGGCCGCGGCGAGAGCCTCTTCGAGCCAGGAGCCAACAACATAATATATAATATTACTCTATATCATTTAACTATGTATATATATATATTTATACCTAAATTTTATTTCTGTGGCACACCAGAAGCAAATCCAAGAATAGATAGGTCAGATAGGTATTTAATAATAACTCGATGGGAATTTCGCCAGCAAGACTGGGAATTAGCTTAGCGATGTATCTGGGGAGGGCGACTTTTTGTGGAGGTCGTTGGTAAACATAACTGGCACTGTTGTGGAAGCATTGGCTTTCTCAGAAACACTACATATAGTCAAATGTTAAAACCTTTTACCATGGGGCTGACTTGCTGAACATACTACAGCTAAATTGTAAAGTTTATTGTTATTTATTGTGGGTTATCATAAACCATCCGGGTTACTGACTTTTAAGTGGTATTTCGGGCCACAACTGTACCCAGCTGAGGAAAGACATGTATACTGGGGTGAACCGCCAAGGACTTTGTAACCTTGCAACCGGCAAGGGTAATAGCCTGATAGCTACAATGTGGGCCTTTGCTGGATAGCTATGTTGTTTTATAAACTCGAATAATAACTATGATTGATTAATACCTAATACAACCATAGTGAATGGTTTTTAAAACAAACTTGTAACTGGGGGGGGCCACATAGGGTATCACTGACCCACATCATCCCACATCCCTGCAAATTTAAGCGATGTGTTTTTATTTAGAAAATGATTCCGCCAAGCAAAATCCAAGCAAATAGACGCGAACCATAGGACATCCGTTCCATTTGCAATTGGCAATGGTATTTTGTTTTGGTGATGCCCCATCTATATGTTTGATTACCAGGATTTTTTTTCTCGGAAAGAAGCGATGATCCATTGAGCAGCCCAGGTCAACCCATGCCACCGCCTCCTCCTCCGCCTCCCGATGCTCGGCTGAGATGGCGAAAAAACAGTGGGTACCCCTGGGCCAATATGGAGGATGAATGCACCGAAAAAAAATAAAATAAAAAAAACACAGTAACTATTTTCCCGGGATTTCACTTCCGACCCGCACGTTGCCAGGGTAAATTAGGCACGGCCTGGCCTAAAATTATATCTATATTTGTGATGGATAATCTGGACACAAAGTTGTTGTTTCGGTTTCTTCCCATCAACGTTATGTAGAATTGTGCGCCATGAACGAATGTTATGAGTTATTCGTGGTCTGTGATCCGAAGGAATCCTGAGATGAATCAGTGGATGATGTTGACCATGTAGAGCCAATGTAGAGCCGCCATAAAGTAAATGGTCCCTTCTGCTTTACCCGTACCCGCAAACCATGCAAACCACGTGCAGAAATCACAGCCCCAATGTTGGGAATGCCATGCGCGGGGTGTGGTTCATTGTTCTATCTTATCGATTTCTGGAGACCAGGGTTCAAGTCCAATCATTCATCCAGGCAAAGATAAAGATCTCAACCAGCAAAGATTGAAAAAAATAGGATCAAAGACATATCCTCTTTTCACATGTTGATTTGACATGGGTATGGGTGGCATGGGTCAGAGTGATCACCTCCAACAAAGGATAGTTTTTCATGATGTTGAATGCAACAAAAATACCGGTATGTTCCCGGTGCCCAGTGGAGATAAAACCAACAAGTGAAGGATCGCTTGAGATCATGGACCGACCCTGCCACGCGGAAGACTACTTTCCTGTTGCCCCATATCCCTTTTGTAGTATCCTCATTGTATCCTCATTGCCCTTATGATTCCCAACCACCAAGCAGTAAAGGATCATCTTCAACTCAAATATGGCTGAAATCCCTAAGATGGTCCAATCACCCCCTGGCTCAGGGCCACGGTCGACGAGCGCAGTTGAGCCCACGGGAGGTGCCCCCGAAAATGGGGGGATTCAAGCACCGTTCCTCCATTTCCGAAAATGGGGGATCCCCAAAAAAGAACATGGGTGTCCAAAGATTCTTAAACAGCCTAGTTTGGGATGTGTTTGGATGATTTGGAATACCTCCTCCCATTTTAGAAAACCTCCATTTCGGTGAACTCCAACATTGTTGATGGTTAATAATCCATTCGTGATGTGATTGTTGATGGTTCATTCTATAACAAGCCCTTAATAAGCCACAGTTCCAACTGGAGTTCTCAATGTAAGACCAATCATCATGGGGATGGGAAGGGACGGGGGCAGTATGGGATTCTTCTGAGCAACACCAAGCAGCCAAAATGAAGCGAACCTGAAGACGTTGAGATGTTTAATGGGGTGGGTGTCAGAGTTTTCGCTACCTTTTCTGTATAGTAGTCTTCTGCTACGCGTTTCGCTACCCTTTCCAATAGAGTCGCTTCGCAACTTTCCACCACTTTCGTTTGTGGAAACCAATGGACAATACCAAGTTTGTGCTGTTGGCCTACGGACATCATTGTTGTTTGCTCCTTTTTTCCCCTCTGAAGGATCACAGATTCTGATCGTTTGCACGCCCCATTTTGCAAATCCACCTCTGCAGCCAGTTTCCTGCTTAGTGACTATGACACACTGTGACTAGCCCTATTTGTCATATTAAAAAAATATTCTGCGCTGATTTCGACGCATGCTTAAGGTCTGGTTTGGAGTTGGGTGTTTGCGGTCATCACTACTACTTATTGCATGGTCGAACATCCAATGATAGCGTCTAATCTTGAATAATTACTCTATGACCCAAAGGTATTCTTATTCCATCCATGTTTCAAAATTCGGAGATTTGGACGAAGGGAGAATCTGCGGGACTCTGTGAGACAGGAGAAGTTGAGTCCTCGAGGCATGCGAAAGGACAGAGACGGAGAGAATCGACAGAAATATCAGGGCTTTCAATGACATCCATGACCTGGGTTTGTTTTAAGCTGATCGTTTATTTTCCCAATGGGAAATCCATCATGACCGGGGAATCGATTAAGGACATATATGACATATCTTATATTTTTGTTTGGAGCCCCTTGAGCAGATCCAAGAGGAACCCATTGGGTCACAGAACTGCTACAAAAAACCAGGCCCTTTTCCAAGTGATGAGTCCCGCTCTGATGAGAAACATCGAAAAGTGGTTGGGTTTGTAGCTTGCATCCTATTCTGTCTTAGTAAATTTATGAGGGTTGAGCTGAATCCAAAGTGAAAAAACTGTAGGTAAATCCCACACTTTCGGGTTGACGCACAGCACAACTTTTGGTTCCCTCCAGAGGTTCGTAAGTAATCTTACTTGATGTTTTCCTTTGTTTGGCTTCCATACCACATGAGCTTGTAATATGGAACCTAACTCAATACCATGCCTTAACTTAATTTCACCATATCACCAGTAAAATTTGTCATGCATATGTTTATGGGTCTATCAATGTCTATCATCATGTTTTCCCACTGAACTATGCGTGTGTTTAGCTTTATCATCCATTTATTCTCATGAACATTGAACAGTTATATACAGTTACTGTGTATATATATATATATAAATTCTCAACACGTTTGGGCCCCAAAGGCTGGCTAAGTTGGTTTATAACTAAGAGATAAAGCAACAAACATACATCGTTGGATATTGTTTGTAAAATACCATAGATATTGTTGGTAAAAATACCACAAATTCCGATTTATGGGTTAATCTATATCCCATATGCTCCATGGTGCTGGACTATTTACCAACATTTACCCGAACAAAATCACCCAGTTTTGTAGGTAAATATACCAGAAACATGGTTCGCATATGGGTACTTGGTGGCTAACCCACTTACGATTCGTGGGATGAGCCACCAAGTACGGGCTTAACATAAACCAACCAACATTTAACTGCCAGGAGCGCCTGCCGCCGGCGCCTGCGCCCCCCTGGGCGCCGAACGGTGAATCCTTGCGCTTTGAAGAGGAGCGACTGGTGGGGTATTGGTGGCGTTGAGCCATGAAAAGATGGCGATTTTAGGGTTTTTTGATGTTTTTTGTTGAATGGGACTTGGATGGGATTTATATGGAAATAAAATCCATCCACTACAATGTTTTTTTTGGCTTTTTACCTATGAATCTGGAATGTAACAAGGGGTTTATACTTGGAGGATCACTTCACTTGATATGTAGTTAGTGATCATAGTTAGTCACCCGTTTATAGATGGGATAACCCACGAATCGGGGGCGAACCCGATTTATCAAGGTTTGTTTACGATTTACGATTTATGCGATGGTCATGTAAGTAGGATTCACCAACATAAATCTAGAACTAAGAAACAATCGGTTTAACCAAGACAATTGGAATTTAACTAGCAAACACATGCAAACACCTGGATCTAGCAATGAACAATTTCGATAAAACCCAAAAGAATGGCGTGATAAAACGGGACTTAACTTTAACTACAAACATATCAAAAAAAAACATGATATTCAATGGAATAGCAGAATGACTTGGTTGTGTAGAGGATGTTAGAATATCAACCTGGGATCCCATGGGTTCTCCTGGACGGACTGATCCCCATGATGACCACACAAGAGGCTGGTTGGTGACTGGAACATGGCTGGATTATGACTTTCACAAAAAGGCTTATGGTATAAAATCCCATTGACTATAGTTATAATATGTTATATATATATATATATCTGGTTGGTGGTTTGGAACGTGAACTTTATGACTTTCCATATATTGGGAATGTCATAACCCCAACTGACGAACTCATATTTTTCAGAGGGGTGGGTATACCACCATGGGGGTTGTACCAACAAGAACTGGGGTTTAACCTGAAGCAAGGGTAAATAGCCAAATCGACGGGTGAAAGACGTGAAAGCATCGAATGTGGAGGGGGTTGAGGGTTACCAACAAGACATGGAAACTACGACTTAGCTGCTAGATTCAAATTAAATATTAGCGTAACGGACTGGTGTTTGGGTGCATCTGATGATGCCATCAACGGGTGAAAGATGGTCGCCATGGTCGCTGCGAAAGTGATCCCTGATAGGTCCTAGAAGAACAGCTTCGAGCTATTGGATGGCTTACAGCAGTGGCCATCAGAACCGCGACTGCGACAACGACAACAACGCCTGTTGTGGCGGCCCTGGGCAACAAGAAGTCCACTGCGGAATCTTCTGCGGCTGCAAAACTTGATGTTTGTTTTGCCACGATGGGATCTTCTGTGTTATATAATATATATTTTTGTTGCAGGGTATATATGGGTGGCCATGTGAAGAAGGCGGCTTCAAAGGGGTTGTGTTTTTTCAGGAAAACACGTTTTTTTTTTCCAATACAAACATTTGACAAGGCGGGGCCGCCTTGATAGCTAATAAATGGTAATTAAGTATGTTTTATGATAGATGTATCGATAGCTAATGGGTCCATAAACCAGCTAATATTGAGGGGCACCACATTACGATACAGATTCTGACCACTTCAATGATGGACGGCTGTCAGCTATCAATACGCCTCAGGCACTTCTTGGGTTCCATCTCCGCTTTAAGGAAGTAAGGGAATATCATGGAAAATCAATGTATTTAGATCTATTTTTGAAGAATGAGGATATTTCTTCTATGTTTCTATTTTCCATCCCACTTACCCTGCAAACAACCGTTGCAATTGCAAATCATTTATTGAATTTATTTAATAATCATTGAATAATCATTTAATATCATTTGCGGATTTAATATCATTTATTGGATTTTATAGGTGTTACTATATATTGTCTTATTCATTAAAACGTCCATGGCTAGGCCATGGCCATGCTAGGCCGGATCTCCCAGCCACCTGATCAGATCCAGGCCAGCCAACCCAGCAAACCGTGTGGCTTCTCAGTGCAGGAGTTGATGGGCAAAGACCGACTCAGCGGTTTATTGGGATTTATAGATGGTTTAGTGGTGATTTAATGGTGATTTAATGGGGATTTATAGGGGATATAATGGGATTTACCCTCTGGTGATATTTATGGCTGGTTATGGCTGGTTATGGCTGATTTTCCATGGCTGGTAAAAAATGGTGGTAAAAAATGGGGTTTAACCAACAAAATGGTGGTTTTAATGGGATATTTACCCTCTGGTTATGACTAACATAGCCATGGTATAGATGGTCCCTTTATAGATGGTTTACCTATTAAAAATGGGTGGATCTTTCCATGGCAAACTGTTAGTCATAACCAGATGGTATGTAGAACAAAACAGGGAATTGACATTGACCGAAACATGTATGGTGGGATGTATAATATAATATACATATATAATTATATATATATACATATACATAGATATAGATAGATATAACATAACCCAGAAATTAATAGAAAATAAGATAATGGTGTACTGAAAATGCGGATTTGATGGCATTATCAACCTGCAAAACTAGGGATACCACTCAAAGAATGGTTCTCACAGAATGGTTTATTGATTGTGAAGTCATGGTTTAACCTAGCTCATCGAACGGGGATTATGGACACATCCACGAACTTGCAATTCTTATATCAATCAGCCAGAAGAAGGAAGATGCGAAACAAATATCATGGTTTTTGTTGCCCATACAATACCACCAGTGTACCACCAACAAAGTGGGTAAAATATACTCTCTGGTAAACTAACAGTTTGCTATTGGAAATGGCCCATTGACGTAAGCTATAAAATTGGGATTTTCAATAGCTATGTTAAATTACCAGAGGGTAACCACATGTTGTATGATGTATTGCAACCCCAAAATAGATAGAAACAGTTGGACACCCAGAAATCATGAGGTGAATATCATCGAACTAGCATCCTGGAAACTATCATGTTATAATTTAGTTTGATTATAAGTTTATAACCCCCCCTAACTATAGCTATACTATATACCATAGTTAGCCCCAGTTTGTATGGTATTGTTTGGCATGGCGACCGACCTCACATCAGCTACATCTGGTAAGTGAATATTGGTACAAGGTGAGGCCCTCTCGTTAGAACTTCGAGACATTGGTTCATAAAGCCATTATAACTATATATATATATGGTACAATGTTGGGGCCCCCAGTTATGAGTTGGTTTATAAGCCCCAGTAACTACAGTTATAAATACCATAAACCATAGTAATTGGAGTTATTTGCAACAACTTAGCTATCCAACGGAGGCCTCACATTGTAATTATAGTTGTATCCCCCCATAAACCCTAGTTAAGCAAGTCGTACGTAGCTTACCATGGGGATTTGGGGGACCTCACCTTGTAGTATTGAGCACGTGAATTTTTAGGATTGGCCACTGCTATCCCCATAAGATTGAACAAATCCCAAAGAAAGCCGTGGTTCGTATAATGCGAAATTGGATTTCTTTATGAATTGGGCGACCATTGTTGAGGCGGCATTTGAATATGACCAGAAGATCGATCTCTAGCTGCCTCCTAACTAAAGGATAGAATCATGACATGCGATTCGCATACCAGGTGGTGCCCCTAAACAGTGATAAGTTGGTTAATCAAGCCAATTTACTATAGATACATAGTTTAGGGGCGCCACCATTTGCTGTCAACAGAAGCAGCCACGTTCCGGTTCCAGAACACAAACCGGTGCAGGGAGCACCTAAACACGCTGTTCCTGAATTGGAGAGAGGTACACCTATGAGAAAAAGGAGAACAGGAGTGCCGTCAGGACTGGTAATCACCTTTGGGCGATCGAAATGAACTTCGTTCATAAAGCTCATTGTTCCATTTCTGCCGACTGTCGAGATTCAAAACTCAGACTGTGAATTCAGCATTGGAACCATTGCAATGAGCACTCTTGTGCAGCATGCTGAGCTCGTGGAAGTAAAGAGATGCGACACAGCTGAAGAACCTCGGTAACACTTCGGTTCCGAAACATTCGTTGAAATCTGCAATAATTAAATCATCATGATACATCTACCATGCATATCACCATAAACTTGTAGCTAAACATTATGAAATCATCATGATACATCTACCATAAACCACAGCCAACTTCGCCAGCTAAAACACCCTTTCTTCGCCAGGCACCTTGTTACCTTGTTGTGGCGAATTGACCTGCACTCACCAGTGCAGATGAGATGTTAAAACCGAGGGATTTCACCACGGACAAACTCAGCTATATCAAAATTAAAGGTTGATCAACCCACTGAGAATTATTGGTGAAACAATAATTTCAGTTGTGTGTTTTTTAAATGATATTTTGCATCAACCTAATCAACCTAATCAACCTAATGTCGCTATTACTTGTGTGTGTTTAGAGCAGCTGCAGCAACTGTTGCGCATGAAAATAGCTGTGTTTTTGTTTGTTTTGCTCACATATGTATCTTAGAATGGTGATTGTTGACCAGCAAACACATATCTCATTTGCTGCAATACATATAGACATATCCAAGACAGACAATGATTTCAGCAACCCATCTAGTGCAAGAATATACTTGGGCCTGCATCCCAGATACCAAGTAGATGACAACCCAGTAGATAACCCCTATGCAATTAGGGTAAATACCGCAATATACAACTGAATATGCTTGTGACCCACTTAGAATCGACATCCCTACGTAGGCAAACCCAAGTTATTTCATGATTTCGGGTGCTTGCCAACATCCATATCTGGCCTTGTCTGAAAATCGTGTACACCTAAATCCAATGTTCTAGTAAACTAGACATAATTGAGAGCATACCACAATTTCAGACACCCATGCAATGAATGAAATCCCTGGTAAATCCCATCGAAATCCGCATCCCAAATCCATGAAATCTGAGAGAAATCCCCATTGGAATCCAAAAAAAACATAGACATCTCATAGAAATCCCCATGGAAGTCTTATATAACTGTGTTGGATAATATATACCCTCAAATCCGAAATCTCACATAAATCCCCTTTTTGGAAATGACATTGTAAGGGTGGTTTTCCATAGTTAGCTAAGTTGGTTTATAAGATCCATTAGTTCGTGGTATTCCCACAGGCGCCAGCGCCGGGAGCATCGTAGCACCTCCACCGGTTCTGAGGTGACTTGGGACGTCAAAACCCATGGGACTTTTACCATGTCTTGGCGCAACAAATCCGAGGGTTTTACACGGAAAATCCAAGGTTTAACAAGGAGAATCCGAGTTTGAAACAGGAATTATCAGATGTCTTTTAAGGAAAACGCGAAAACAGGAAAACATTGAAGGTTAAACAAGGAAAATCAGCCAACTTTTCTAGAGATCAAGAATTTGAGCGGGTTTAAGGATTTGAGCCAGAATGTATATTTGTCCCGCAAGAATTCAGGTATGATACCGAGTCCAAAGGTTGGAGTGATGAGTGAGAAACGCACAATCACAACGCTTCTGTTGGTTGATAGATCCAACGTAGGGTGCCATCATCAGCATGTAGAAGCAACGAAACGGTCCCAGAGGCTGAGTGGAAAAGATCAAGTGAACTCAAAATATGACATATATGCAGATTTACCATGGTGTCCTTTATCATCTTACTGGTGCGTTTTACGTAGGGAATGGGTTGCTGGGGGTTGCTGGGATGATGATTAATAGTTAGCCAGTGGATCATTCCCGGAAATTCCCTGCGTTTAGCACCAGTAAGTCATTGTTCCTGAAACCAATCAAGCTCTGCATCGAGGCTGCCCGCGGCAAACGTGGCCGCAGTCGGGTGTGGGTCCTACGGGAGTTCACCTCCGAGGTTTCCGAAAAATGGGGGATCCGCCAAAATGGTTGGTTTTGTGATGGAAAATCCTATGAAAATGGGGGTACCCCCCCATGACTTTGGAAAGCCCCAGTTGTAAAGACAGAGAAGTTGGTCTATAATAATATGGTCCAACAGATTCCAGTGGAGGTTTGTGTTGGATACATCTTCAGTCGGCTGAAACATCAACAAACAGAGATTGATTTGAAGGTCCAGTGATGAGTCCGCATTGGGTGAGTCGTGGTGGATCATCATGTTTACCGATACTATTGGCATGTTCGGGGGTAAGACAATTACATACATTTTATTGCATGGACACACCTGAGCAAAACAACACATTTGTAAATATTGGTATCTTCGATATCTTTATCAAGCCCTAAACCTATATTTGGTATTTGCCACCCATATCCCCTCCAAACCGGGTGTATTGAGATCAAAACCCACAGTCACCAACCATTGGTTATGTGACAAGTAGGTGCTATACCAGTGAAACTGGCGAAACATACGCTGCTTGTATGATGATCCCAGCTATACAAGTTGGTTTACGAACCCCATGAACTTTAGTGATATCTACTACACCAACCATTTGGAAACTCATGCGTTCACTTGCTTTGTCAAGCGTTAAACGGGTTTTAGGGCGATTTCAGGAAGTCGGTGCGTGCTGTCTTTCCCAGGTTGACCATTGTTAGTTTTACCTGCGTTTTTCTAGGTTTTGAATTTACCTATTGTGTCAGTTCCATTGGGAATTCATTTGTGTTGGGTTTTGCCCTTTTTGCAATTTGGAGATATGGTTGTTTGGAAATGATGTGAGAGACTGGTGGCAAGTTTTTCTAAATTTTTGGGGTATCGCCGGAAACACGTGAGTTTGATTTGAATGATCCAGGGTAGTTCATCCAATGGATGCTGCTGCTGCTGCTGCTGTTGCTGCTGCTGCATGACCATTGGATGTAAAATCACCTACTATCTAAGCACATCTTTGTTCGCTTGACTTTAACTATTGTTGTGGTGATTTGTGTTTCAGACAGACTGTGCACTGACTTTCCCGATGGGGTGTAGGATATGATAGGACTAAATTTGCTACGGCCTCATTTTTTGGGAAGTCGGGACGGTGTGGGGTGTGGGGGCCACATAATGGTACCTGTATTGCCTGTTCAAAATAGTTTCCTACCAGTAGTACCGCACAAGGCGGTGGCGGAAGTTTCAAAGATAGGACACTATAGGAGAGGTGAATTGTTGTGATGCATGGATGGCAGAGCGAATCCACTGATGGACCGAAAGGTGGTTGGAGTTGTGTTTTTTGGAGTGGTTGCAATGGTTGCAGTGTCCACCTCACCCACAACTGCTGGATGTAGTGTAGTGTGGTGTAGTGTAGCGCAGCTGTAGTTGTAGCTGTAGTGTAGTGGAGCTGTAGCTGTAGTGTAGTGTAATTATATGTAATTATAATTAGTGTATATAGTGTAGTTGCAGTTGTAGTTGGCAACATCAAAAACGAAGCAATTCTGCGAGACTTCTTCAATTTTTGACCTTGGCAACGTCAAAAATGAAGCAGTTCTGCAAGACGTCCTTCAAAAATGGAAAGTTGAGTGCCGAGCTGAAAAGGAGTGTAGTCTAGTGTAGTGTGTGTGAAGTAGTGTAGTTGTAGTGTAGTGTGGTGTAGTTGTAGTGTAGCGTAGTGTAGTGGGTGGTGGTGGTGGTGGTAGTAGTGGTGGTAGTAGTAGTAGTAGTTGTTGTTGTTGTTGTAGGAGTAGTAGTAGGAGTAGTAGTAGTTGTTGTTGCTGTGTACTGGTAGAGGTAGTGGTAGTGGTAGTTGTAGTTCTATCTGTCTGTCGGTCTGTCTATCTCAATTTTGAACTTGACAACATCAAAAACGAAGCTTTTCTGCGAGACTTCCGCAATTTTGGAAGTTGACAACATCAAAAACGAAGCAATTCTGCAAGACTTCCTTCAAAAATGGAAAGTTGAGTGCGGAGCTGACGGCCTCGTACCAATGCGTTTTGCGATTTTTCCATTCTACCTTCTGTCTAAAGCACTGCGCCTGCCACGAAAAATTGATGCCAGGTCATACGAAGTGCTGCACCTGTCACGCGAAATCATCTCATCAAACCTAAAGATTTGATGCTCCAAAATGCAGCAGGAACATGTCTCTTGTACTGCGCCTGCCACGCGAAATGCATCTTTGCATATCCTCTGCAAATGTCCCACGCCTGCCATCGTTTTTGGAAATGCTACAAAAACCCTCACGTTTTGCTCACTTTTGACAAGGTGCACAATCCCTTGCGCCTGCCACGCAAAACAACATCTGAACGTCCAAAAGTGCTCCGAACCCGTCCGTTTTTTTTTTTACTTTTGACTTCGAAGTGTGCTTCGGGCCACAACCGCGTACACTTTTTCGACATGTCAACTTCCACAGTGGTCCGAGCATGGTGTGTTTTGATGTGTTTTGTACATTTTGACGTGGAAATGCGCTTCGCGCCACAGCGGCGTACACTTTTTCGGCATCACAACTTCCCAAAGTGGTCCGACGTTGGTGTGTTTTGTACATTTTGAGTTGGACATTTGCTTTGCTCCGCAATGGCGTGCAACTTTTCATTTCTCATCTGACCACGTGGCTCCGCACCCGCCGCTTTAGCGAGCCTACTTTTCGACCCTCCAGAGCCACAAATCATTGGAAAAACACAGCGAATTGTGACTTTTCTCGCACCTGCATCTTCTTTCTTCTCACTCTTTCTCTGCTCTGATCTTCTCTCTTCTGCTCTTCTCTTCTCTGACTCTTCCCACCTCTGCTTTTCCATCTGTCCATATTGTCGGAAGTTTGACTTCTAAACTTCCTTCGATAATACTCCCTGGCAATTTAATCTAGATTTGGAGCATCCACTATCTAGAATCTAGGAGATACTTTCCCATAGAGAAGTATATACATATGTTACATATATATATATACATACAGACGTAATAATAAATGAATATATATATATATATATATATATTATATACATATATATATACATATATATATATAGATTTATACATATATATACATATACATATATACATATATATTTACATACATATATACATATACATATATCTATATGTATATACATATATATACACGTTTAATTTTTGAGTGTTATTATCATTTTTTAAAATTGTTATATATATAATTCGACTAGTTCACTCTAGAGCAACATGAACAAAACCTTTGGGTCCATTTGTTGCTGGTGCCATTTCCGACCAGGGTGATTATGCAGACTTGCCTCAGGGAACATCGAAGTATAGCTTGTTATTTTCCATGAAGAATTGTGATTGGAATTGCTTGCCATGCCATTTTTTCAAGTGTTAAGTTCTTGTGTTTGGAGGGAACGTGACGGAAATCCATTCAGTGCGAGAACTAGGAAGGTGCACAGTATATACAAGGTCCCCCAGCTGTAAATTTGGTTTATGATCCCCACAAACTGTAAATGTATCTACCAAACAGCAACTACTGGAGTTATAAACAAATTAGCTATCTTGGGGGCCCCATCTTGTATGTAGATTGCCCATGTCTTCAGTTTCTACTGGTTGTTTATTTACCGGGCCCACCAACGAGCAAGCCTTTTTCTTTAAGTGTTTTCTTTTCTTGGGGGTAAACAGACACAACTTGCACTTGTAGCATCCTACTGTTTGAATCTGCCTATGAACTCTCCTGCCGAACACTTGTCCATTTTGGCTTGTTTGATCAGCATGAATGTTGTATACTTCGCCCTATATATTAGCCTCTCAGATGTTGGCTTCTTTGGCTCTGCTGTTGGGTCAAAGCCAGCAGTCCATGGGTCACTGTTGATTTCACATGGCATGCTCCTTTGGGACAGCTTTTAGTTCCTATCCTTTTTTTTTCTAGGATGTGCCCCAGCAGCCATGACAAATGATTCTTTAATATTCTATCTATCTGTGGTTCTATTTGGAGCTTTTTCATCTCTTACACTCCTATGACGTCACTTATACTTGGGGAGATGATGCCAATGCCATTAGTCAAGTCCAAGACCCGCTCAGGGCCCAACGCTGTCTCCAATATGTCATGTGCTGACATGGCTGTTGCATTCCCAAATGAGCAGCGAGGGGTGGAACTAAGTCCGCAGGGGTGCTGTTTTCGCGCCAGCATCGCGCCAGCTCCGGCGCTCATATGTGGACTCTGCACGCGGTTTTGCGTGGTAGAAAGCAACTCAGTTCTTGAATTTGCCCCTGTCAAGCGGCGCCATCAGAGCCATTCCTGCATGTCAGCAGCCGTGGATGACCAGCCGAGGCTCAGACCGAGGACATCTCGATAGAGAACAAGCTACCTGAGGTGCAACAGGGCTTTGGGACATGATTGCCTGAAGACGGTAATTAACACCTTCAAAGGTCCAATCCTAATAGGGAAGATTATGATAGACCATCAAATTTGGGAATACAATTTTTTCAGACAAATTCTTTTATTAATCTATATGTTTCCCAGATTGGAGAAAACCAGGTATGCCAAGGTTTGCTATCATTTCTGTTTTGCGACGGGTATAGCGCACATCATGTTGAGAAAATATACCGCGCCACCAAAACTTCACCATGATACAAACCCGCGTGTATTCTGGAAATCTGGGTTTTTTGAACGGCACATGCGCGTCAAAATAAACGGCTGGAAGTATGGGATGCCGAAGCCTCTGGCAATGGGGCAAACAAACACGCACACACCTGGTTCTGCATCAGAACATATTTTCTCTTCAACGGCTGCCTTGTGCGAACTTTGCTTGGTCCACCATAAACATTTTGCAGACCAGGCTAGGCCCCCTAAATAGCTAAGTTGGTTTACAATTTGGTTAACCACGGTTTATCAAGGGTAAATTCGTGGGGTGCACAAACCAACTTATAACTAGGGGGCCCCACTTTGCTTTTGTGGGAGGGCGAACTCTGGAAAGACAGCGGTTACTGTGGATGGTGGGACGGTGGGATCGTTTCGATTCGGGCAATGAACCCTTCCTGACTCAATGGAAAAAACTTGGGAGGACACTTCTTGATGATGAACTGCCAGGAGGATCAGGCGGTGCTTTGATTCCAGCAGCACCTTACTATACACAATAAGCGTACGGAGTGATGGAGCTGAGCCGAGTGCTGGTGGCTACGGAGGTGTCATTGGACCCTTCATGAAGCTTCAGTTGTGGCAGTTACTTCAGCTGGCAGGATTTGAATTGCCACACATACAACCCAACTGCAATCCTTTTGGCAAAAATTGGCCAGTTGCAAAACTGTGGCGCGGTGGTGCTACAAAAACTCGGCACATTGTGCAAAATTCAGTTTTCAAGTGATTTTTGGGTGGCATGATTGGCATGGGAAATAGTACCCAATTTCATCCTATTTCCCCTTGTGTTTGCTTTTTGACATCAAACGGTTCCTAAACAAATCAACAAAGATATCCACTGGTACCCGCAATGTGGCGCAAACGTGTTTTTCAGCCTCCCCGTGGCGCTTAAAAAATTCACGGTGATATTTTGATCCCAAATGTTGGTTTCTTTGGTTTGTGATGCTTATCATATTCGGATTCGTGTTTTTTTACTTTAGCGCATTACCCATATGCTCCATGGTGCTGGAATATTTACCAACATTTACCCGAACAAAATCACCCAGTTTTGTAGGTAAATATACCATACATGGAGCATATGGGTTATTGTTATTTGACCATTGGGGAGGGTCATACGTGGTTTGTGCTATGTTGGTGATTTTTCTTGTCAACGCTATATTCCAGCGGTTTATGTCGCCATTCTGTTGCATGAATGAACGCCAATCAGATATCCCATGATAATCCACCACATGCTCAGTACTTGTTATTTGTAATGAACTGGTAACTGGTCCAGATGTTTGTGTCCAAAAATGGTGGATCAATCAATTCCCAAATTGTTGTTTTCAAATCAGAGGGAAATGATGTTCCCAACCATGGACACTCCAGGAGTGCCCTATTTTTATCTACCTTGACCTTTAGTTGACCCGTTAGAAGACAGGATTTCATGTACTCTTTGGTAACCAAATGTGGCAATGGAAAATCAACCATTTTTGAATGATTTTCCGATATGTCCGATGAAAACGTCCAAAAGGAAGGATTTCCTAGCCATGTTTGATGAGGCGGACATCTCGGCAGTTTCCTGGATGTTGGAGTATGAACATGTCCGGAGACCCAGTTTTTTCAACGGGCACAGCCATGTGGGGATGTTTTTGGCAGAAGGTTTGGGGATTTGGTCAGAAAATTGCGGGATTTTTACCCGAAGCAAGGAGTGCCTGGGACTCTGGGACCCAATGACATTGGTCATGTGTCCTTCCGTGTCCTATTTGTGATGGCAATGAGGTAGGTTTTGGCAATGTTTTGTGTCAAGGAGCATCAGTTGTACCCTTGATGGATCCCTGTTATTTTGCGGGTGCAGCCTTTTCGATCATTGGAACATGCCACCTAAGTTTCCATGACGATATTATGAGGATGCCAATGTTACTTTGAGCGCAAAATTGAGAGGGGAAGGGTTGCTATCATCATGTCTGATTGTTTGGTAGTTTTCAAGGGTGTATGTACAGTACCTTCGATGTTTTGCAAAACGTGAATGTTCTCGCTGTGGAATTTTATTGAGGAGGTAATGGGTCGTGTTTATATTAATGTGTACAATATGTTACGCTTATAGAATCTAAGGACCTAAGGAAGGTTACATTTTTGGTAATATAACTATGATATGTTAAAATATATTGCAATATATTATTGATAGATTCGAATAATTTTCATTAGTTTACGACCTATTATGAATATGATATTCTGATATTTTCTGGTTTATTATGATACATTGTGATACATCATGATATTACTATGCAATTGCTGTGATATAGTGAGATATTAATATAATTTGATATATTATGATTACTGTACCCATAGGATCCATGTATGGTATATATATATACTAACATTGGAGGTATATTGATGGTAAATGTTACCATATATACCATACATGGATCCTATTTTGATTATGAGTGTAATGTGTAGTTCTTTCCAAAGGTGAACCTTGGCACCTGACTGGATAATTTCACAACTCCCAGGCTGATCCAGAGCAACCGAGCAACCTTCGTGGCATGTTTTCGTTTGCCCAAAAAAATGAGGTCCATCTCCCGATATCAACAGTCTAGGGGAAAAAGGCTTCTAGTAACCCAAAGATTCCGAAACGTGATTTGCCACTATTTTCAGGTTCTATGATCAAAAAAACATCCAGCAGTGAGGAAAATTCACCGCCCCTGGGGAGGTGAAAACACGATTTTTCGTAGGATTTGTCCAAGTTGTATCTGAACGCTGGGGGTTGCAGAAAAGGTTCAACATTTCTTGCAAAATCCACATCTTAGACCACTGTCATCAGGGTGAGTTTTGTGTAGTGTAGATTTGGATGGTGGATTGCAAGATTCGGACACAAAACGTATGCAGTTATGGCCAGAAATACCAGCTATAACTACTAACAAGTCACCCCATTTATAGAATGATTTATAGAATGACAAGTCACCCCATTTGTAGTAATCCCAGTTTATAGTTATACCATGTTATACCCCATTTATAGTTTATGTATAATCCCAGTGATTCATAACCAGTTTGTGTCACTAATAGCCATGGTCATCACGATTTTCAAAAACATGAGATTTTTTTGCACAGTCATCCCCCTGGAGGCAGGTGGTGGCCCTTGGTGGTGGTCATAACGTTGATTTAATGATGACTTAATTGTGATTTAATGGGCTTTAATGGTGATTTCGTGGTGATTTATGGTGATTTAATGGGATTTATGGGGATTTATAGGGGATATAATGGGATTTACCATCTGGTTATGACATTCACAGTTTGCCATGGAAAGATCCACCATGCTATTAAGTTCGGTAAACCCAGGTTTTTGCCATGTATTTCGATTAGGGCCATCTATACCATGGCTATGTTAAATAGCCAGAGGGTAATTTCAGTGACTAGTTCCATGAATGTATCATGATACCATACCATGATATATCGAATGTGCATGTTTTTTTGTTACATTCATAAGCAACTAAATGTAGTATATATTTATCATTGACTAGTTCCATAAGCTAGTTATTTGAGTTTTGAATAGTTATGAATCAACTACTTAGCGTTCACGACCTGGGGCACCAGCTTGTACAAATTCTGAATGTAACAAAAAACATCACAGGCTTGGACGAGCATCAAGGTCATGAGTGTTTCACAACCTCGGTTGCCCTGGCTGACATGTTGCTTAAGTGCCAGGATTATCTTGTGCGGGGTTGGTCCAAAAAATAGTGTACCTCGAAATCCAATAGTTTATCAACAGTTTTCCCTATTCAAATATATTTCAAAAGATTTCAAAAGCTATTTTGGGGGCACACACTATTGACAAACCCATTTGTGTTCCGGTGGAGGACAGGCAGAGCTTCAGCCACAGATTTTGGTCGAATGGGTCGCTGGACTGTCGGTGGACATGCTATCTGTGGGCTCACATTGGGCAAAGCGTCTGTGCACCTCAAGGTGGACCCAGCATCCAAGCGTCTCAAGGGGCATGCTGTGAATGGCTTTTGCACAGCTTGGCTGTTGGCTTGGTGTCAGGAAGAGAAGCGATGGGGCAATATACAATATGTGCCCCTGATTGGTCATAACACCACTTGTGCTTCTCAAGAATGACGACATGTTTCTTGGCAAGACCGTCCATTTTTCTGTATGGTGGCTGGGAGGGTATATCATCCATAATTGTTTCTTAAGACACCAGATATCGACCATTTCATTTTCAGGATCATGCTGCTTAGTTGTATCCCCAGTTTTTGTTGGTGACGTGTCCATATGTTGTATCATTTTGGGCCCCATTTGGTAAATATAAAAGATCTTTGGGATATCCCCCAACCAACTTTTCTCAAACACTAGGGTGACGAGGAATTTTAAAGTATTGGCTCCCTACAACGTGGGGCCCCCCAGTTATAAGTTGGTTTATCAATAGTTTGCAAACTCCATTAAGTATTATTAAATACGTTTATAAGATTTGACAAGTGCCATAACCTTGGTTGTTGGAGTTCTAAACCAACTTAGCTATCGTAAACGGAGGCCTAACCTTGTCCTAACCTTCGCCTCAGGTGCAGCCTGAGAATTTGGCTCATCCCTTTCAGCAATGCCGCCAAAGTCCGGTGGCTTTTGAAGCGGCCGCTTCTGAGGATGGTGCCCCCAAACGTGATGTTTGTTGGTTTACATAAACCCCATTATCATCCATTATCAGGTTATATCTACCATAAACCATAGAATTGAATGTTTGTTGGTTTATAAACCCTATGAATACTATAGACTATAGTTATATCTACCATAAACCATAGAATTCAGGCACAGCCATATCTCAACTGAACGCGAGCTCGACTGGGGGCCCCATCATGCTGAAAAGTCACCCGTTTTTTAGCGGTTTCACGAATCTTCCAACCCCTCTCTGGCAGGGTCATCATGTGAATCTACGGCTAAATTCTCGGGTGGAAACCCCAACTGGATGGCTACTTATTGGTATACTAACATGTACTGACTTCATTTTTTTGGGATATTCCTGGGGGTTCCCCCACTGGATGGCTTTTGGCTTCAGGTACGAATCAGCAAAAGCGAATGCTGAGCATTCAAGATTTGTCATGATAGACGATAGTTTGTTTGTTGAAAGCTGGAGTAAACAGGATTGGACAAGCATTTTAACAATACACTTAGATACACACTTACCTAGATGATATATTTTTGCGATCCACCTGTTTTTTTAAGGGCTTACCTAGATGATATATTTTTGCGATCCACCTGTTTTTTTTAAGGGGGAAAGTTTGGATAATCAATCTTACTCCAAACCCCTTTTGTGGAGATGTATGTTTGCGGTCCACTTTTTTTTTCGGGGGAAGTTGTGATAATTAATATTATTCCAAACCTCTTTTATGGATTTCCATATTGATTTGGAATGTTGGGCATTGTGGGACATGTTTTTGATTTAGTGAGTCTTTAAGAAGGAGGCATCACGAACAAAGATGGGGATTGATATACAGGCTTGTAGCCAAAAAACAAGGTGATTTAACAAGCAACACGGGGGCCCAAAGGAGACCAAATAGCCAAATGCGACAGAGAATTATGTCTGTGGACGCCTGGCCTAGCTTCCAGGTGTTATTTCAGTTTCGGGCAGGGGTATAATTGTCTCAATCCATGCATCAAACCTGCACCATCCGCAGTATGTCTCAAAGGTTTGCTTAACTTCCCAGCACGGCCGAAAGGATACAAGACTAAACAGATTTGAGGACCCATTATAACAGAAGAGCCAACCATGAACAACTTTTAACCTCGTTGACAAGATATTACATGGTATTACATCCAAATCAGGAAAGTAGACCTTCCATGATGTTCCCTTTTGGCAAGTGCCGCATCCAAGGTGTGGTGCATTCTTCCAATTCAAGGCCCAGGGCCCAGATCCACCCGAAGGGGTGGAACGGGTGGCCCACTGGCCCACTAGAAATGGCCAGCTGTCAGTAGTTGAGCCCCAAATCCATCGGAGTATCGTCATGTTCTCTATGAAATTACTGGTTGGTGGTTTGGAACATGTTTTTATGATTTTCCATTCAGTTGGGAATAATGATCCCAACATCCAACTGACGAACTCCATCATTTTTTGAAAGGGGTAGGGCTCAACCACCAACCAGATTAGCTATTTTTTGAACTTGATTCTTAGGTTTACCGGTTTACCGCATGACCATAAACTCAACAGTCATTGGAGTCATTGGAGTCTACCTCACCTAGCCTATGGGACCCGACCTTTAAAGGATCCTGCGAGTCACCCCTAAAGGTACAACGTTGATGCTGTGGATGTTGATCCACACAGTTAGTGAGACCCTCGGCCAGGATAGCGTGAAAAGTTGGTGCGTGCAAATAACTCCAATATATTAACTATGTTTTATGGTATTTAATTGGTATTTATAACTATAGTTACTGGGGCGAATCTCAACCATCTTATAACTGGGCCCCACATTGTAGACATGGTGGGTTAGCTTGCCAGTTTCACCCATGGCAGTGATCTCGTTGACCCCGGAGACCCCTCGGGATCCGCCCACGGAGACTGGCATTGCCCCATTCGACCTTGGAAGGGTCGCAGCGGAAGTGGAAGTGCTGCGCGAAGCTTGATTTCTGCAGAATCGGATGGCAAAGCACCACACATTACATTGCATAAAAGATCAATAAAGATAATTTAAATCAAAATCGCACATGCAGGTACATATGGGCATTTTGACAAGACATGCGGGGCCAAATCGGTACAGTTATGACCCTTTACCAATAACCCATTTATGGAATGTAAATAATATCATATAATATTATAAATAATGTGTAATGTAGCCATTTATAATTAATTGGTTATCAATTTATCTCCAAAAGCTCTAGGAGTATTCTCTTTGAAACTAAACCAACACAGATTTCACTAGGGGTCCCATGATTTTTGTTCGCCTCGTGATGGTTGCTGGTACAGGCATCGACCTCAACCTCCACCCTTGCCGTGCGCTGGATGCAGATTCGGATCCCGGAAGCTTAGAAAGGTTGGGACTGTGTGACCTCGGTAGACACTGGTGATTTGGTAGTTTGGTAGATTTGGTAGTTGAATGTACCCTCTGGTAAACGTTTACATAACTATGGAAAATCACCATGCTATTAATGGGTAAATCCACTATAGGTTTCCATTTTCAATAGCTATGTTTGTTTGCCAGAGGGTAGTTGAATTCCCCAAGAAATTCGGAGCTCGACTGATTTGACACTGAAAGTTAGATGTTTTCCCAATGAATTCAGCTTGAGCCTGTTTTGATCACGATGTTTTGGTAGAAACTCATCCAAGCGCCGACTGGCAGGGCCTATGTTGATTTTTGGAGTAACTGTTAGCATTTTTCAGCTTACCCAGCCAATATTTTTTTTGGCAGGGTACCGTATTCAAGACAAGCCATGTCTACAATGTGGTGTCCTCCAGTTGTCTGACTTCGATCGCTGAAACTACAGTCTATAGATATGTGAAGATGATGATAAAACTTATCCATTTTTGATGACTGGAAGATGCCAATCTAGGCAATATGTTATTGTCCTTTAGGGAATGCACGTTGACTTTGGCGGTGTTTCAACGATGATTGAGTGTTTTATCTGAGATTAAACGTGATTCAGCAATCTTATTTCAAGGGTCACTTTCGGCCAAAACCAAATCTGCAACTGGAGGTACCAGTTGACTTGAACTATTGAACTCAACAAATGCCATGTTGGGAGAAGCTGCAAGAGATCAACCATAGGTTTCACCATTGTAAACCAAGAAGTATGGCTGAGTTTTGGGATCCACCATTGAAAGAAACCCTCACATGCTTGTTGTGGCCGTGTTTAAGTTGAGAAGACGCACTGAAAGGTGCTCAGCCAACTCTTGCCGGTTGCATCTTCGTTGCTTCCGAATTACTGCTGTTGGTTTACGTGGGACTATTTTGTGCAGGCATGTCCTTTCTGCGTTGGCTGAGTATATGCCTGCAACAAGTTGCCCCCCACGGGCCACGTTGATTTCGCCTCATCCACTCAACTCTAGATATATCAACAATAAATCCAACACTGATAGTTGCGAAGCAGCTGAAACCTATCAAAAGGAGACCCAAAAAAAATCGAAGTGTGTTTTGGAGACATGTCAAATCATGTGTACCCTCTGGTAAAGTAACATAGCTATTGAACATGGCCATTTATAGTGAGTTTTCCATAGTTATGTTAGTTTACCAGAGGTTTTTTGGGGGGGGGATTCGGCTCGTATTCCCGGGAACCTTCCCATTTCAATCAGGTACGGGGAGCCCAGCCCCCCCAATGAAGGGCCACCCGGTGCCAGTTTGGAAGCTCAGCTGGAGCTGGGGGTTGTTTTTTTTAGTCAGAGATATTCTAATGGGATATCTATATTGGTTGGTGGTTTGGAACATTTTTTATTTTCCGTAATATATATATATATGGGATAATCCTTCCCATTGACTTTCATATTTTTTTAAGATGGTTAAAACCACCAACCAGATGGGAAATCTATAGATATTCTACAGTTAGCTAAGTTATGAACCAATGAACCTATAGATGCTTTCGAGCTAATGGGATTGGGGATTTGTGGCCAGATATAGCCAGCTATTTGATGCTATTTGTGTATCTCGATAGTGATTTGCGGAAGATTTTTCAATAGCCATATGTTTGTCTATCACATGGCAAGCCATGTCTTTGTTCCTGAAGCAACCCGAAATGAATGCAAGACACCAAAACACAGTTTGGTAAAACCATATTTTGCCGGTGAAACTCCCACTTGCCAGGTCACAGGTCCCTTAACATGTTTACTCGATTTTACTAGACAACAAAAAATAAAAATTACTTTACTTCGTGTGATCCCCACCATGACATTTATACATTTTGTTACTGGCAAATCTTCTGGCATTCTATCTGACATATTTTCTGGCATTCGATCTGGCATTCTATCTGGCATATCTTCTGGCATTCTACCTGGCATATCTTCTGGCAGATGTTCTGGCATATCTTCTGGCAGATGTTCTGGCATATCTTCTGGCATATCTTCTGGCATATGTTCTGGCATATCTTCTGGCATTCCATCTGGCATTCTCTCTGGCATATCTTCTGGCATATTATCTGGCAAATCTTCTGGCATTCCATCTGGCATTCTATCTAGCATATCTTCTGGCATATTATCTGGCAAATCTGCTGGCATTCTATCTGGCAAACATTCTGGCACTTTATCTGGCATATCTTCTGGCATTCCAGCTGACATTCTATCTGGCATTCTATCTGGCATACCTTCTGGCATTCTATCTGGCATATCTTCTAACATTCTATCTGGCATATCTTCTGGCACTCTATGTGGCATATCTTTTGGCGTGGATACTCGCGGTTGAGGTCCGGCAGGGAACACTGGGCGTGGATGGTCGTGGTGGAGGTCCGGCAGGGAACACTGGGCGTGGATGGTCGTGGTTGAGGTCCGGCAGGGAACACTGGGCGTGGATGGTCGTGGTTGAGGTCCGGCAGGGAACACTGTGGATCGCGGGTCGCAGTTGGACGAGGACGACGAGGACGGCGAGGACGACGAGGACGACGAGGACGACAAGGACGACAAGGATGACAAGGAGGACGAGGAGGACGAGGAGGAGAGGAGGAGGAGGAGGACGAGGCAGGAGGAGGCAACTGACATAAAATCTAACAACCCTCACCTGGCAGGTGGGGAATAAAAAAACACATGGTTTCCTCTTTGATTAATATAAAAAGGCCGCTGAACCATCCATTTTTGTCGACTGCTGAATCATCCATTTTTTGCTTGACTTATAAAGTCGAGACGTTCTCCTGGTCTGGATCCATGTGACACAAAATCTTGTATCTTTGGCCAGTACTAAGAATGTTCTAGAAACTGAAGGTTTAAACATGATTTTTTGTTGAACAATTGGGGACCTACCGTAGATGGACGAATTATTCAAACCCTTATACATAGAGCAACCCCCCTCACCCCAAATATCAATGTTATTTTCTTGTTTGGTTCGTTCCTTCGAATGGACGAAATAAATCAAACCCCCAGAGCAGGAACAGCGCTACGAAACCATAACATTGAAATTCGGGGGAGGTAGGGGGTGGCCTATAACTCATGGATAGGGGTCTGAATAATTTGTCCATCTACTGTAGTGACCTAGTGGTACAAAGTAGGACCGGACCCCATAGTGATAAGTTGGTTTGTAAACCCCAACCTCAATGGCCATTTCAGGAACCTAAATTGGAGGTACCTATATATATATATATAAGGCCTATGTAAGGCCTATGTAAGGGAATATCCCCACAAAATATGGCCTTATATGGTACAGTACCTCCATTTTAGGATCCTGAAATTCCCATTGACTAGTTCGCCATATCCCCCACCCTAAATTCACCCTGCCTGATGTGACCCCCATATCCGTTGCCCTCAGGTGCTCGGAGCTGGCGCACGGCCGATGGTCCTTTTCGGGTTTTTCGGCCGCAGAGAAAAGCCATGGATTGATGTTGATGGAGGAAATGGAGGTTTCAATGGGAAAAACCTTGGAACATATTGGACATGAACCATCCCTGAACTGGTGGAAAATCCTCTGGAAATGGGAGAAAAGTGCGAAAACCCCCATGGATTTTTGCAACAGAATGGTCGTCCTGACTGAAAAAAGAATCTAGAGCGGTGAATCAAGATGTGACATGAATATTCTCCAAACATGTTTGCGTCTTTCATATGTTTGGAATGTTTAGTTGTTGTCCAGTTAGAGCAACAATTTTCGAACGAATCTTTAAGGTGGGTAAAGCAATGCCAATTGCACCATCCCCCAGTCATCACCGTTTTTATAGGTGTCACCTTGGTGCAGTTATGGCCCCTTCGTCATAACCAGTTTTAAGCACTGAAATAACTCCATTTATGTATATTTATATATATATACCAGTGAAACCTAGAAACGATGAAAATCAATATTTTTTGGAAAAAAACATTTTTTCCCGGACTGCCGGAGAATTTCTGTTTTACCGGAGAAACCCCGGACTGACGTAACTTTTGGCAGATTTCCATGTTTTTCGGTCCCCTGCGGTTTTCATATGTTTTCATTGCCTTGACTTCAGACCTTCCGCAGCCATTTGATGTCTTGCCAAACAAGTGGGGCTTTCGCTTGCATGGTGCACCTTCCAGGTCAACCTGACATGTGCAGCCCTGCATTGTTTGGAGCAGTCCGATGCAAGACAATGTCAAAAGAGAAGCGGCAGTGATGAACGGTTGTTTTCTGGTGATGATCGAAGGCATTGAACTGCAGCAGCTTCGGTTCGAGCAGCTAGTAAGGATAGGGGTTGCAACTGCCAGCGTGACAAAAGTCATGCCTGAACTTCCACAGAAGGATGCTGCAGAGACTGCCCCTGGAGAGGATGCAGTCTTCGTTGCCTTTGCTGGGCTGGGGCGGCTGTGGGACAATGAGATTCCTCTGCGGAACCGTATTCGCACTTTGTGCCGCTTGTTGCTTGACAGACCTGCTCCAGGAGAGGCAGAAGCCGCATCCCCCGGCTGTGTGGCTAAAACTGTAGACAATCTGAAATTCAACTCTTCCGCGATTATTCCAATGGTCCAATTGATGAAGGGGCGCTTCCGGGTTTTACCTGGAATCGAAGCGTTGCAAGATGAGCTCCAGGCTACCTACGTGACTTGTGGTTTGAATCCGGCCCTGAAGGTGCTGAGTGACCAAGCATGGAGTCTCCGCTATTTGTTTGGAGTTCTGAAAGCATACCTCTATAAGAAGACTGCTCCGAAGGCCATGGGGGATAGCTTGCCATGTCGTGTGTGCTGGCAAGACATTTTCTTTGTTTTCTTTGACAGCTTGCCAGGACAAGACGCTGCGCTTGCTATTGGCCGAATGGGGCGTCGACCTCGAGAATTGGGTAAAGGCCCGGTGGGTGTTGAGTCCCTGCGCGTTGTGAATTTGCTCGCTGATCCTGCACTGCAGATGGAAGCGAAATCCTCTCCCATTGGTCGACAGAAGGACAAGGACTGCTGTCTGACTATTTGAACTTTTGGTTCTGGAACTGTCACGCTGCACTCCTTTGGAATTTTTGATCGCCGCAACCATTTCCAAAGCTCCGCGGCCATTTTGACATCTTTGCTCTCTGCCGCTGTCTGGGCATGGTTTGGCAAGCATTTCCTCAGCTGTTTTGACATGATGCGTGTCCTGCAGCCATGTTCGGAAGCCTTTTTTCACATCATGCACGTAGCCATTTGCGCATCATGTCCGAAGCCATCTGCACATCATGTCCGCAGCCATCATGTCTGTAGCCATTTGCACATCATGTTCGTAGCCATCTCCACATCATGTCCGTAGCCATTGCACATCATGCCCGTGGCCATTTGCACATCATGCCTGTCGCCATTTGCACATCATGTCCGCAGCCATCATGTCCGTAGCCATTTGCACATCATGTCCGTAGCCATTTGCACAGCGTGTCCGTGGCCATTTGCACATCATGCCTGTTGCCATTTGCACATCATGTCCGTAGCCATTTGCACATCATGTCCGTAGCCATTTGCACAGCATGTCCGTGGCCATTTGCACATCATGTCCGTAGCCATCTGCACATCATGTCCGTAGCCATTTGCACATCATGTCCGTAGCCATTTGCACAGCATGTCCGTGGCCATTTGCACATCATGCCTGTAGCCATCTGCACATCATGTCCGTAGCCATTTGCACATCATGTCCGTAGCCATGTGCGTATCATGTCCGTAGCTATTTCTACATCATGTCCGAGTCCGAATGGCCGCAGATATTTTCACATCTTGTGTGTAGCCCTTTGCAAGCTGTAGCTAACTTCAGCCATTTCCAATGCCATTTTTGCAGCCATTTTAAGCCGTAACCTTGTGTCGCAGCTTTTTCCGTCCCCGCTTCCGCAGCCTTTGCCGCAGCCTTTGTCGCACCCTTTGTCGCACCCTTCTCTCCCGAATTTTGACGCAACCCCATTTGCCAAAGTTTGACCGTATATGCACGTTTGCTTGTTCTTCTGTCACTGTAGCCATTTTGCATGATTGGTCATTGCTGTAGCAATTTTGTGTGATAGCCATTTTGCATGTTTGGGGATCCTGACATGTCTCCGCTGTTTGCTGTAGCTATTTTGCTGCTTTCGCTGTAGTCATTTTGACCACTCGTAGCCGTATGCTGTAGTCATTTTGACCACTCGTAGCCGTATGACGCAATTGTTCCACAATTGCAGCCATTTTTGAATTTTTGTTACATTCTCTGCTGGCCGTCTCTGTTCGAACTTGCTGTTCTGTTTTTCAGCTGCTTTCGTTGCAGTATTTGCTACACAGAAGCGGATCATACGTTATTCCCTTTTAGACTTGTTTCCATTGCTTGCCTCAGTGCATTTTTTCCGCAGGACGTGGCTGCTGCAACTCCACCATCGTCTGCTGAGAAGATTGGAGACAAGAGCCAAGTAGCGACCGTGAAGGCTGCAGCATCTCAAGCCAAGTCAGGTCCACAAGTCCCCATGATGGCTCCACCAATAGCAACATCGGATCCTTTGGTGGTGCCTGCGCGCGGTGGTGCTGAAGAAGCTCGAAAACATAACAACAATGACGAAAGCATCGTTGAGCTGGCTGTAAGGCGGCAAAGGATCATTGCGTTGTTTCGTAACGGCAATAATTGCTCGTGTGCAGACGGAAAAACCAACTACCAGCCCACCATTAGCAGACATGATTCACATGTGCTTCTTCACTGAGGTTGGAAAAGGAGAAGAAGCGCAGAGAGGCGGATGCAGTGGCTGCAGCTGAGATGATTGCAAAGGAAGCGCTGGGGCAAAGGAGTGAAGGCGGCAGCCGGGAAGATGTGGCACAAACCATTCCTATGGAACTCGAAACGGTGCAGGCACGGTCGCTGCCACTTTGCATTGATCCTCGTGCTTTTTTTTTCTCCCTCACGTTTTTCATCCTCGATGTTTTTGGCAGGCTCCTGCCCACAACGGCCTTGCTACTGTGAAGACTGAATTATCCTGTGACGTGCAAAAGGATTTGTAAGATGCCCTGGCGACTGTCGAGGAGGCTTTGCATCAACCCAACATGGATGATGGCGATCTGCGCCGCAAGCAGCTGACAATGAGGGCAGTTGAGCAACAAAAGGCAGCAGACAAGAAGGAAGAAAATAAAAAAAGGAAGGAAGAGGCAAAGAAAGCGGAGCCCAAGGCCAGAGGACGCCCAAGAAAGAAGGCTCTTGCGGCTGATCTTGCCTCCGCTTCCACTTCTCTTCCCGGACCTGTCTCTCAGGGTTCTGCCGTTCCTGCAGGGAGTTCCGAGCAACCTGTTAAGAGGCGTCGGATTCGGAGCAATGGTCACCAAGATGGAGCCGTCTCAGTGGCTGAGCCACGCTCCGCCGGTGATTCAGCTGCTCCCGCTCCCAAAGCTGGTGCTAAAGCCGCGCCAAAGGCAAAAGCTGTGAGCCGCCGCCAGCAGCATCGTCAGCAGGAAGAGGTGCCGGTCAATGAGGCGGACAAGCTGGAGATGCAAGCGCTACTCATGCGCTTCCGCAATGTCAGCTACAACAAGGAAACGGAGACCTTGCACAAGGGCAAGTTCGAAGGAGTGCAGATCAGTGTCTACTGGACGCGCTCTGCGGTTGGAGTGAAGATCTGAATGATGCAACGGCCAAATGGAAGCAAGTCCAATACTTCAGTGAAGAGCCATTGTGCTTGCGCATCTTCCAAGCCTCCAAGTTTGCAGCCGAGTTGTCGCATCACTTGCCGGCCAATCGAGATTGGGCAGAGACAGCTGATGGCATCCGCTTCGTTCGCATTTTGCGCCAATCTGCTGCTGCCGCACTGGCTGCCGACCGTAGCTGAAGCATTTTTCTGTTTGATTACCTTGGGGCGCGCTAGCTAGCTGCGGCTGACAGCGACTTACGTTGGGGTATTTGTTGCGCCTTGCAGCTTTGCTGATTTTGCCGAGCTGCCGCTGCGCAGATCAAATTTGCTGAAGTGAATTGCGGAGAAAAAGGCTGCTTCTTCTCTAGCATCGCTTTTCCTGTTGCTTCGCTTCATGGTGTAAACGGTTTTCTTGTTTCACTGCCAGGAACATGTCGTTGCTGCTGAGCGCTGCGCCTCCTTGAGCTAGCTGCTGGCTGGCTTGGCTTGCAAGCGATTAAGGTGTGAGGCACGCTTTGAATGATGTCATTGTCAGTTGGCTTTTTCCATGTCACTGTCGATTGGTTCCACGTGTAGCAAGACCTGCAGTTTTCAGAATTCAACATGACCAGCACGCAATGACACTCCATCTTTCTACAGTCTGCAGATCCTTTGGGCTCAATACCTGGTTTTCAGCACCGGCATGAAAGGAGACGATGGCCGGCTGTCCCAGTGGGAGCGCACTGCGATCGACTACTACCTGATGACCAAAGGTAATAAAGGTGGTGCCAAAGGAGAGGCCACGGGCAAAGGCGATGCTGGGGATAAAGGTGCTGGGAAAAAGGCGGTGAAGATGAGAGACACTATCACAAAGGCAGTGGAAAATCAGGTGGCGCACTGGGCACAATGGACAAGGATGAAGGGAGGGCCGCCTGAACGAGCAAGCTCCGTGGCGCGTGGATCCATGCCGCCTCTGGAGCCACCTGTGAAGGCCAATCCCCCGCGCGCTGCAGCCAGCAAAGCTGTGACCACACCAGGCCCAAGGCCCAAAGCCATGCCAGACTCACAACCGCAAGGACGGGGCTTAGAATGAAAGCTGCTGAGATGTTGCCATTTCTCTGTTGCTTGTTGTTTTTCTGCTGCAGGAGCCTGGGTCTTTGCTTGGATGTGGATGCCCAGGGTTACAGGGAGCATTCCAACGCCATTGCCACCATTGCCGCCTGGAGTACCTAACGCTGCCGTTGAAGTACCCAAAGCTGCCGCTGTAGTACCCAAAGCTGCCTCTGCACCGCCGCCAAGCAGCGACTACTCCAGTGAGGTGGGGATGCCTCTTCCTTTTCTTTTGCCGTTTCCAGCCATGCACCATTGTTCAGGACGAAGAAGTGGCGGTGGAGGAGGAGCCGCACGTCCCTGATGGAAGCCTCTGTGCCAGTGCCCGTGCCTGCTCTGCATTTTTTGTGCTGTTCAGTCACTTCCATTAATATAATTGGGTTCAGCGCGGCCGGAGTTCCCACGCACAGGTGCCGAGAGCCATGCTGAGAGCCATCACGCTGACTCTGTGCGTTCCGCTCCTGCAGCTGTGGAATCTAGTGCCGAGCATGCCCACCGCAGACGCCGCTGCCGATCCCGTCGCAGAGACCGTGAAGACCGTGCTTCCAGGCATCGCCGCTGACGATGAGGGAGTTGCAGCCCAATGTGGCCTTTGGATTTTTTAAACCTTTGCGGGCACACGACACGTGCGCAAGCTGCGCTGCGAGCAGCTGACATCTGCTGCTGCTTGGAAAAAATCACGCTCTAGCAGACTAGCACTTTTGCAAACGCCAACTTCACCACTGAGCATGGCTACACCCTCCTTGTTGCTGTAACCCTGGGAGGCCCTGTGCATGAAGCGCAAATTTGCGGCTTTGCGCTGTGCTGCGGCTGCCCCGACTGGATTATTAGCTGATGTGCAGCGGCTGCCGTGCGTTGCGTCAGGTCTTCAAGCTAAGCGGCTGGCAGCAATTAGTGTGAAGGGGGACTGGCCTTTCCTCATCTCCGCAGGAAATTTGGTACGAAATTTCCGCAGAGCACCTAAGCAAGGGCACACCTCCGGAGGAGCTGGCATCTGCCACCTATGTCTTGCAGGGCAACAGAATTATCCCTTTTCTGATTGTGGAGAAAATCCGCGGTGGGCTCGCACTGAAGGCAGCGCTGCAGCTGCGATTGCGTGGGATACAGTGATGCCTTTCACAGCTCTGCTTCCTGGTCCTGCTGGTTCGCCGGAACGTCTCGGACACTTGGCACAATTGGCATTTGGGGCATGGCCGGTACTTTTTGTCTTCTGCTATGGTTGTGGTGAGCACATTGTGGCCTGGCACTTCCGTCCCCGAGCGCTTTGCTGGAATGACAGTTTCATGGCGTGCCTACTGCCGACGTAGAAAGGTCAAGCCTGTGCTCAGCAAAATAACGAAGGAAACTTGTGGATATATAAGTTTTCTGGATTGGCCTGAAGGGGGATGGCAAAAAGGATCTACTACGACCTTGCTGTCGGACTCTTGGACTGCGACCATGTGCTTGTTGGTTTTCGTGTATGCGCTATCTTTCTTCCTGTCCATCCTTTTGAGGAATGGCTTGAGCATGTGCTCACGCTGCCCGAGTTTGCTGAGCAGGTGCTGATGGACAGGCGCTTTGTCCTCACCCTGCTAGTAGCAAAAAAGATGAATGCCTGCATGCGGAGTTTGTATCGCTGTGGCGCCTGGCTGCGGAGCAAATAGGCGGCTGCGATTGCTGCAGATTTTTCTCACCGCTTGCAGGGCCTACCGTGCTGTGGCAGAGGAATGCCTGGATCGTGGAGAACCGCGCTTTCCAGTACACAGCAAATTCATGCAAATTCCATATGCTGGTGCACACGTTTCGAGACATGAAACTTAATTCTCAAAGGCTGGAATGGCAAGAGTCTCCAATGGGAGACTCTTGTCAAATGGATGAAGGATTTGTAGGGCAGTTGTCAAGGTACAGCCGCCGTGTCAGTCCCAAGTCTACAATCCATAGGATGCTCGATGTCTATCTGACATCTCTGTGGGCACTGTGGCGTCATGATGATTGACCATAGCCGAGCCACTCAAGAAAAAAAGGCCGAGATAGCCATCCCAGGCAAAGAGCCAGAGTGAGAAAGAACAACCCGGAGAAATTGTTTACCGGAAAACAACCGGAGAAAAACAACTTTACCCGGACTAACGCGAGAACACCCGGACTGCCATAACTTTTTCGGGAATTTCTTTTTTTTTGGGTTGCTATAGAAATAGTTGTGTTTTTGGTTTGCCTGGTATTTAATATATTATATATATATATGGGATGTATCATCTAATAGCCAGTTACAACTCATAAATGGCCATGACATGCCATGACTGTGATTGAGAGAACACACATTGGGCCTGTTTCATAACGGGGAGTGTGATCATGTTCGTTTCATCGATGACGGGATGATGATCTCAAGTGTCATTTTTTCATTTTTTTTGGCAGAGGGATGGACGAAACAACCAGATTTGATGTATGGGGATGGGTCAAAACCTATGATTGCTCTATCAATTTTAGTTGGATGAACATCCAGCTATACCAGCTATGTTGGGGTTCACTAGGTGCCAGGGTTTTGACCCATAGCCATATCCCTTTTGTATTATGATATTATTTTTAAATGTGGGTAAACCAACGCCATAAGCCATCCCCAAACCACCATAAATAGATAAACGGGTGGTATGTTTACCATTCCCAAATGGGTGATTTATGGCATTGTTTTACACCCACATACCCCCATGGATCCCACAGTTTCCGTGTGACATCAAGGCGAGGACGTTGCAACACTCCTTGAAGTTGGAGGTTGGGGCTTTGTTACGGGAGAACAACCGCAACCATAAGGGCGAAACATGTTGGTACCCAATTGTGGGGGTCACATTCGCAAGAGGCTGGCTGCATCCCAATTGAAAGTTGATTGTCAAACATCTCATTGTACTCTATTATTTTTTTGAATGATATTGGAATGTTTGAGTCGCCAATAAGACATTGCAAGCTAGAACCATTGTTGTTGTTTTTTCCCATATTCAAAACAAAAAACAAATCAACATTGACATGCAAATCATAGATAAATACACATTCCAATGGATCCGAATACCTCCTGAGCTGGTACTTAAGAAGGTACTTATCCTGAGCCCGTAGATCGTACCTCAGATACTCCGTGAAAATGCACTCAGATCCATAAGGAGATAAACTATATAATCTCATAATTGTTTAATCTTCTTAGGATGTACATAGTAAGATTATATACATGTGTATATATAATGTTATATATATATATATATACCTACAGCCTCCAAAACCCACTTTTTTGGGAGTGGCCAGAAAATAGCAGGTTTTTGCAACATAACCCGGTTTTTCTCAGCAAGGCATTTGGTTACGGGTAAATTACGGTCAAATTACAGGTAGAAATTTGGAAAACTAGGTTCTTATGACAATACCAGGCGTTTTTTCTTAAAAACTTTAAAAAACAAAACAAAAACTTGGTTTTTAGATTCCCCCCAAAAAATAAGGCTTAAGGGCGCCCTCATTTCTAGTCACCCGCTCCGCCAGGCACTTCCTGCTCCGCCCCGGCGGCCCGACATGGATGAGGATTGGTGGTTTGGAACATGAATTTTATGACTTTCCAACTGACGAACTCACCAACCATCATTTTTCAGAGGGGTAGGTATACCACCAACCAGGTAGATATTGTAGTCTAACCATGTGGATATAAGATGATGTAAGCTATATTCCACAATTTATAGAATTACAAAAGGCAACTCAGCTGTGGAATATAGCTAGCCAATTTGATTTGATATATCTTGAACTATTTTGATCTATCCAGTGGTCTTTTGGCCAGTGGTGAATGGAGGGAGCGATGATAGGAGCCAGGGGTATCCATATTCCCAACAAAAAATGGGGAGTCTGGAGCTACGAATTGAGTTTCCCAACCACATGATAATCAATCAATACAAAATGGGGTTTACCCTCTGGTTATGACTAACATAGCCTCTGGTTTACCATAGGAAAATGGTGATTTAATGGTTAACAATGGTGAATAATGGGATGATAATGGGATATTACCATAGCCATGGTATAGATGGCCCATTTATAGATGGTTTACCGAACTTAAAAACGGTGGATTTTCCATGGCTATGTTAGTCATAACCAGATGGTAAATACCAACAACTGTGGAATTAACCAACCAACCTATTAAACATGTTGGATTTATCGAGCGAGATGAGGGTGAACCAAGAAATTTGTGGTATTCGTGGTGTTCGTTGCGCAGCCAACAATTGGGGATGGTGAGGATTGGGGACAAAAATGACATCCGCAGGGCGATCAAAAATGCCGTTTTTGTTGCCCGAAATAGCATGGTTTTTTCAATGGTTAGATGGGATTATACTGTCTAAAATGGCATCAAAAAAGTGACTTATAACTTATAACTGGTATAACTCGGGCCAGAACAGTGGACAAGAACATTCCAAGTGTGGCCACTTGGGAGTGTGGCCACTTGGAAGTGTGGCCACTTGGGCTTGAAGTTCCTTTCATTTTTTCAGATGTATCTATAACATATACCCATTCATAGATGATATTTCCATACTATATCTCCATTCTATATATCCTGGTTGGTGGTTTGGAACAGTTTTTTTTTCCATGTATTGGGAATAATCATCCCAACTGACTTTCATATTTTTCAGAGGGGTTGAAACCACCAACCAGCAATTATATCCCATTATACCAACTGTTTCTATTTTCCAACGTACCCCAGTGAGGTGTCTTGATCTTGACATCCCCAAAACTGGCAGGACAGCCTGAGCGGCAGCAGCTTGTCCTTCGTGGAGGAGTTGGACAACAAAGAAAAGGCGACGTGGCGTTTGGTGGGAGCTGCGGGCCCCAAAAACAGCCAAGTTGCCTGTGAATTTGATTATGGTTTGTGGTTCATGTGAATGTTTATAGTATACCGAACTAGCTCATGGGCTCATGGCTTTTGTAAACAAACAATTAGCATTTGACTTGGTGGGGCACCACCTTGAATGACATCACCATGATGTCAAGAAGAAATGATCGTTTGTAAGTGGAAATCATCCGAACATTGTAACAATATGTACCAATGCCATTGAAAGAAAATTGGTTCGGATGACACTTCCATGACTCAGAGCTGCTGCGCTGCGACTTGCAACAGCAGCACCTTGGAGTCGGAGCCTCCTATGCCGCCAATGGCTTGGAGTCCTGAGCTTGTTGTGAACTGCCTGCGAGCCGGAGAAGGGCAGAGCAGTGGAATTCGCTGATTTCAATGGGAATTGAATGGGATTTAGATGGCAAATTTAAGGTTTGCGAGTAGCAAAGCTTCACCGTTAGCTTTATTGCGGATATATCTATGATATGTCTTACTTGATGGGATTTATAAACCGACTTTTATACAAGTAGACTGGGTCAACTTTTGCTAGATACTTTAGTAATTCATTTTTTTGCTAGCAATGGTAAAATGCACTGACCAGCCAAAGATTGGATCTTATGACAGGTATCTAAGAGTCACCAGGTAAAGGTGTAAACCATTGTAAACCACCGCAATACCATACTCATGGAGGCCCAGACCATGTTGCGGGCTATGTCCCCATACCTTCGTCATATCATCCCCATCCTATCCCCATGAAGTGTCCTGTATGTATGGTTGGTTTTCCCTGTTTTCGAGAGCCATCGATCGCCTGGAAAGCTCGATCCCCATTCGCGTAGGTTCGTGATGCCAACGGGGAGCCATGGCAGAGGACCAACCTGGATGGTGGTGAGACTAAGATCATCGGTTCAGGTTGAGGTATCTATTACCCTATGGTAAACATACAAATAGCTATTGAACATGGTGATTTATAGTTTATTTAACCTTTAAACATGGTGATTTCCCATAGCTATGTTAGCTATGTTAGTTTACCAGAGGGTATGTATAACATCCCAATGGATCCAAGCACTTTCTGAGAAGATACTTAACCATCCAAATCCTACCGACCACTTCCTGAGAAGGTACTTCATGATGTAAATGGGGGGTCGGAAATTTTCGCCAATCCCTGAGTAGATCCATCATATTTCACGCAGCTTCGGCACATCCAGAGACAACTTGGGACATATGGGGGTTTCCTGAAATGGTGGTACCCCAAATTCATTCAAATGGATAACGTTTATATAAACGTAGGATGTTCATTCCCTACTAAAATGGATGATCTAGAGGTACCCCCATGACTGACTTAGGAAACCTCGAAACTTCAGTCACCTTTTGGGGCGGTCAGAGAGGCCCAAAACCTGAGCCACTGGGGCCACTGTGTTTTCCTAAGAGAAGTATTTGGGGTTTTAATATATATATATATATGTTTAATGTATATTGCATATACATTCCCCATTTAAATGGTAAAGCCAAAGATCAGATTCTTCGACATCCGCATGATATCTCCATGATATATTTCCTGCAGTTATGACCATTTATTAGTTATAACTGGTTGTACATGGGGTTATACATTCCATAAATGGGGTTGTAAGTACTTATAACTATAGTTCAGGGCCATAACTGTGGATATATATATATATATATTTATATAGATATGTATATATATATTTATATTTATATTCACATGATTTTTGGGGTTTATACCCCCCACAATTTTGTTTCTTAAGTCGATGCTGAATTTCAGGACCAGTCTCCTGAAGGAACGCATCGATGATTCTAAGGCGGCCTTGCAGAAGTACAGGACAGACGCGGGTTCCAGATGTTTTTTTTCGGTGAACTACTTGGTGGCTCATTCCACTTAGTAAGTGGGTTATAACCCCAGTTATAAATGGGATAAGTAGGGTTAATCCACTTGTAACTGGGGTTATAACTCACTTACTAAATGGGATGAGCCACCAAGTAGTTGTTTTAGTATTGGCGACTTGGCAAACCTACATGTGTCTATATGTAAGTTCTATTCAAGTGGTGAGATTCTATTCAAGTGATGAGATTCCATTAGTATAATCAAGTGGGTCATACAATGTGGGGCCCCCCAGTTATAACTTGGTTTATAAAACCCCATTATTGTAACTATATAAGTATCATAAATCATAAACCCTATAGTTATTGAAGTTATGCTCACCAACTTAGCTATCTAGGGGGGCCCACATTGTAGGTGAGGAGTGCGTAGCTTGCCATCTGCTAATTTAAGAGGTTCCAAGGAATAGGTAAATTGGCTTATTTCACACAGTTAAAGCCCTCGTTTACCAATGATGAATGGTTTCTACTTTCAACTACTTTCCATAAATGGGGTTACAACTAACTTAAGTATACCATCTGTAGTTTACCATTTGCTTATTTTACAAGTTTGCGAACTGGAAGCCATGACCCATTTAGTTGATGATTTCCCAACTTCACATGTTCACCGGCTAAACATTGAAGGGTCAAAGATTGGCCATGGAGCGAAAGCACCGACTTTTTTTTGGCACTGGTCAATTTTCAGTTTTGTTCGCATGGTTCAGATAGCATTAACATATATATATACATATATATATATATACATATGTGTGAAGAGTCATCGTTGTTCTTTCTTTGGCTATACATCGGGGGTATAGTGACCACAAAAAACAGCATTTTTCTGCAGCATGTTGGGCATAGATCATTCAAAGGTCACTGCCTGTAATCAGCTTTGCAGTTTCGTGCTTCATGGAGTGACCACAATTACTTGGGAGATTGTGGCACACGCTTAAGCTTCAGGAGCTCATGTTTTTTTGTCGGTGGAGGTAAGTCGTTTGCGCCACCTTTTTGTTGTTTCTTTTTGATCTTTTTGGACGACTTAGATTGTTTTGTTGTATTTGAAACAACATTGATGTAGATTTCACCCAACTTTAAGTGTGGATTTGTTACTTCATGTTCATCCACCGTGGATGGTTGAAACCAAGAAAGGCGGTTCCGAGGCACCATTCTGTGCGAAAATTCTGCGCAGTGGCGCAAAATCACTTCGGCCGAGCCCGCTACCAGCAAAGGTACATAGCAGCTGATTGAGTTCCAAGAAAAGTTCTAGATATTATATGATATTATTATCCCTATGGATCCATGGCCACTGTCTGAGAAGGTACAAAAAAGCCTCCAAATTATAGTAAATTATACCCCAAACACTTCCTTTCAGAAGGTACTTGTGGATCCATATGGAAGTTACAAGAGAAATCATCATGAAACTCAGCTTATGAAACGACTTTGGAATCTGGCAGCAATTCGAGTCGTTAACCAACCTCCTGGATTTGCGAGTTTGTTGGTGATTCATGTTTTTTGTTCTGTATACTTTTCAGCAATTCATAGAATGTGAGGCCCCCCAGTGATGTGAATGTTGGTTAACAAAAGCCCCAGTAACTAGTTCGTTATAAATACCATAAACCATAGTGACATTGGACTTATTTGCACCAACTTAGCTATCGAACGGGGGCCTCACATTGTAGATGAAACTGGGAATCTATATTTCTCTATATTTTTGTGACCCAATCGTAAGTTTCCTGACTTTTTTTGGGGTTCGACTCACCAACCACTCGGCCAGTATCCCGCATCACATCTCAACATGACATCTCAGCTAAACCCCCGAGCTCTTCCCAAGTTCTGCTTTGCCACCTCAAGTTCTTCAATATCTCATCCCAGAATATTCTCCACACATACAACTCTCAAGTTTTCATTTAAAAAACATAATATTATATATATATATATACACAATAATAACGTGATATATATCTATCTATCTATCTATCTATCTTTCTATCTATCTATCTATCTATCTATCTATCTATCTACATATTCATTATCTCATCATTACCATGATATCACCATCAAATTCTTAACGCATGTTCATACCCCTATGTTTCATCCCAAACCTTGTCGTGGATATATACCCATCTAGTGGTTCGAATCCCATAGTGCCCATAAATCAATGGATTGGTTTCTACGGGAAAATCTTCACCGGAAACCATCGATTTTTCCCACTTATTTAGTGGGCTTCCCTACCATCCCAGTGAATAAAAGTAAACCCTGGACTGCACCAAAAGTATTCCCAGAAAGGGGGAGGGATGCTTCATGACGCCATGGCCGTCCCTGACCGCGGCGCTTGGTCTCGTCGGCGCTGGAGCCGGGCAGCTGGAGCCGCCCTGGCGCTGTGGCGAGGCGCTGCGCACGGCGCGGGAGAAGTTGGAGACGGCCTTCGCGGGGCCCACGGCGACTCGCAACGGGAAAAGGTGGGGGAAACCATAATAATTAGTACTAGTAGATAAGTATGGGATATAGTATATATAGTTATAGATATATAGTAGATATATAGTAGATATGTAGTAGATATATAGTGAAAGATGGGGGTTGGCAGGAAAATGGTGAGTTTTTAGGGATTTGACATGGGATTTTAGATGGCGAATAGTTGGCGAACATGACTAGCTACATCTGGTGTAGCTGGCGGCCCACCTTTACCAGGTGCCACTTGGAAAGGTTTGAGGAGATCACCTGGGGTAGGAAATCCTGAAGGGGATCCAATACGTGGGAGGTTTGCATGGACAATATACGTTGAGAACATATAGAAATTGAGCCATCTGGAACCCACCATTTCTAGATGGTTTCTTCCTCGAAGCATTTGGTGATGTTCCAGCAATTTATAGATGCTGTTTTTATGTTTATTTTAATGAAAGGCATCATGGTGAAAATATTGAGATTGTTTGTTCATGATTTTTTTCATGTGTTTCCTGTGAAATGATGATGTTCCAGCCATGTTTGCAGGTACAACCAACAGCTGCGTCTTTTGGCCAAGACATGTTCTAAGGCGAAGGACTTTTCATCCCTCGATTTCGAAAGTCTCTCAGCCTCTGGGCCGAAAAAGCGTTGTGGACCTGGGGTATAGGAAAACAAGCAAGAAATCCGTGGAGCATTATGGAGAATCCATGGTTTCCTGTAGACATATGCAAGTTCCATCAATGTCCACATGTTTTGTTTAGCACACATTTTGTCCGCATGAATCAGTGCTCAGTGGTCTTCTGCCCTTTTTGTTCCCATTGAACATGGGTGGTGTTCTATGGCGCTAGATGAATCATGCCCCAAAAATGGACAATCCATTTTGGTGTTCGGCTGGAGTTTCATCCGGCTAAGCTAAGAATATTGGAGTTTTAACTCATGAAATATATCGGTAGTAGTTCGGGGATTACCCTCTGGTAATTTAACATAGCTATAGAAAATCACATTTTTTTATTGGGTAAATCCACTACAAATGGCCATTTTCAATAGCTATATGTTTGTTTACCAGAGGGTATACTATATTTGGCTGGTGATTATGATCATCCATGATTGAGGAATCCCTATTCATTGAGGTATTTAGTAGCAATAAAATAGCACCATGCCCGATTTGATGTCTGTTGCTGCTAAATGCTGATGATTCATCTTAATCTTTAACTCATATCAATGCGCTTGCCATAAAATTCTGAATCAGAGTTATGTCGATTTGTTGATTTCAAGACGTTTCCGGTGCTGAGGCTGCAATGAACCTCATGCAAGAGGTGGCGGGGAATGTGAACCGCGTCATGCACGCGGGCTACGTCAAGGTGGGGGGATGGGGTGAAATCGGCGCTCACCATGACCTTGGTTATGTCAGTTATGTCTGTTTATAAAGCCCATATAATCAGTGGCCACTTCAGGTACCTAAATCGGAGGTACCTATCATATATAAGGCCTGTGTAAGGGCTATGTAAGGCAAGAAGATATACACCCAAAATATGGCTTTATATGGTACAGTACCTCCATTTTGGGATCCTGGAATTCCCATTGATATAACATCCATATAACATCCATATAACATCCATGTAACATCCATATAACATCCATATAACATCCATATAACATCCATATAACATCCATTACCTCTATAGTTTCAAGGTATCATAGACCATGATAAAGCCAAGAGTTATTGGATTTATTTGCAGCAACTTCGATCTCCTTATTTTGGGGCCCCACCGGCAGAGAGGAGGCCCTGTCTATCCACTTGGTAGGGGTTTCTTGTAACACCTCCTCTCAAAATAAAGTTTATCTATATTCTGTATATGATTTTTATATATTAATATATTTATATGACGAAGTTCAATTTCTCTTTCATAGGTGCATGAATCCTCGTACTCGTCTCTCAAATCAGCTGCTTGGAGTACTGATATAACTTTGGTTGCCTGGCGGCCAGCTGTTTGATGGGGTCGAACTCCAAGGGATTTTCTGTGGAGTTGATTGGGATGAAAAGGCATGGCCACCGAACCCTGTCCAGCCCCATAGAACATAGATATTGGTTATAGATTGTAAGGGGAATCTGTCCCAAATAGTTTAGTTCCAGTGTAAGAAATGGGGATGGGTCAAAATTTGAGCCCTATGGGACCACAGATGTTAATAAATATATTGAACATCTAATTCTTGGGGTACTTTTTTTTGACCGATACCCAAATATCAGAATTTGCCCAGATCATCATCCACACTTCGGCAGGTTTTGCACAATCAAGAAGGAGAAGTTGTATACGAGCTCACTGCCGACGATGAGTGGGCTGTGGAAGAGTCCTCTGGCGAAAAACCTGCAGGAAGGGAGTTCACAACCAACATTGACATTTATTAATCATTATTATGTTGTGAATCAACCAACAAACATGGGGTTTAGCCAGATAAGCAAGTTGGTTTTAATTTCCAATAACTGCTGGATCCATTGTACCTTTTTTATCGAAGTACTTAGCGGATTACTTACCGTTTTTTGTAAAGACCAACTTACAGCTGAAGTAGGTTCATGCTAGATTTGTTTGAACTCGTTAATGGGATCATTAACCAACGTTGACATACCTGTGGGGCACGACCTTGAATGGATACAGCAGTGAAGACTAAGCGAAAAATGAAGGATCTGACTTGAGGGATTGCTGGGATGCACTGCGACTCGGTGTATTTCAGGAATATCAAATCAGCACGGTGACCTTTGGATCTTTGAGAAGCACTCCAGAAAATCCACCCATCTAGAGAATAGTGTTTAAATACATCATATACAGTAGGACAAGTTAAATGTAGAGGTTCTATTAAACTGTCAATGATGTTTAAATACTTTTTCATATAACTTTCGTCCACGACTTGGATTGTCAAACACCATCAGCTACAATTTCACAATGGGGACCCCCAACAACAAGTTTTAAGTTGGTTGCCAACATTTCCCAACTAACCATCCAGGTATAGATACGGTATAGATATATCCATTGTAATCACCAGTTTTTGCAGTGAAACACCAAGTTACCTGTCTTGGTGGCCCCTCGTTGTCTTGCTGGTGCACTTGAAATCGTTTAGGGCATCAAATTCCCATGAGAATATAATTATTCAAAATTAATGGCATTACAGATTATGATTGGCATCATTTCAAATTTCAAGGAATTTCAGGGAATGACTGGCATCACCATTCCCAAATAGCCTCCGGTAATATGGTTGACAATTCAAATGGTTTATGGATCTGTGGTTCCCCCATTCATTTCATGCAAGGTGGTGCCCCATAGTCAGCTAAGTTGGTGCAAAGAACTCCAATAACTAGGGTTTATGGTAGTTATATCTATCGTTGCTATGGCTTATAAAAGAACAAACATCACTGGGGGGGCACCACCTTGTGGCACAAGCCCCATTCAAATTGGAATTTCGCCTTCTATGTGTGGCCTCTGGGGCAAGCTGGCTATATCCCAGGTACACGCTGAAGTACGTCTTCGTTTTGGCTGTTCCTTGCCACTGCCACCACGGATACTGTTCAACACAATTTTCCACAGTCCTGCTCCAAAATGGGCAGTTTCCAGGGTAGTTTTCACGGAGGTAAATGTGTAGATGATGATATGGCTATGGATCAATACCTATTAATACAATTTTTAGGGGGATGAACATCCATTTACCAGCTATTTTGATGTTCACCAGGGGTACAAGGTTTTGACACACTGCCATATGATACATATTTCTGGGATTTTGTGTGGAAAGTTCTGAAAAGAGTAAGAACAAAGTCACATCATATCAAAACATATCGAAACACATTTGATGTGATATAATCTATATTATCTACTGTTTATGTCCGAAACACTTATTCAAACATACCCAAAGAATCCCAAAGATGTCTCACTGGAAACACTTCCAATGGCGGCATGTTTTTTTTGGTTCATGATCGCCTTTACACTCTCCGCAGTTGGTTGTCAAAAATGGGGTTCTCTCAAAATGTAGAACATTGTAGAAAAAACTGGTTGGTGGTTTGGAACATTTTTTACTTTGCCATTTATTGGGAATAATGATCCCAACTGACTAGTATTTTTCAGAGGGGCAGGTATACCACCAACCAGACAATAGACCAATAGAAATAAGGCACATCCCAGGGTTTTGCAATGTTTTGCAGCAATTTCTCATGACATGCTTTTGACACTTCCTTAACTGAGGATTTGATTCCGCTGGTCTTTGCTTCTCCGGTGGAACTTCGCAGCGCGTTGAGCAACGAATTGGGTCATCCGCTGCTGAAACGGCAACGGATTCTCTCCACACTACGCGTGTCGTGGTATACGATGCTTGGCTTGAGGTCATGGTCAGGTGTGGTGAGAAGGGGGGAATATGTGACACAATGGCGGTGTTCGACATCAAACATAGTGCTTTACCATCCATGGAGATTGAATCATGAAACGTGGGCTATGATGAGTATATCACATCCCATATAATATATCATATAATATATTACAATATATCATACTGTATAAATCTGTATAACATGATGATTAAATACATGGTGTATCCATACAATATGTATAAAATGCCGTATATCCATATGATATACAGCAATTGAGTTTTGTTCGGTTCCAAAGGTCCATCCTACCCGGAGCGTTTTTGACGAAGACTGTTTGGATGGAATGCAACCACTTAAGCAGTTTAAGCCATGGCACGTAGACTACCGTGGATTCTTGATGATTTTTGGTTGACTAAGGATTTCAATGGCCCCAGGGCACAGTTATTGAAGTGGGTCAACACACTGGTCATCCTCAGGTTCTAAGAATGCAGCCAGTCGTGTCAAGATGGTGCTACAGCAACTACAGCAAACAAAAATTAAATGGAAGAGATCAACGGATACGAAAGGCTGATGTGACTGTGACTTTGTCCAAAAGTTGTTCTTTATCAGGCTCAAAGACTATATGTTATATAATATATATATAGCCTGAAAAGCTGGTTGCCAACAATGTCGCAAGGTAAGGGGGACACATGCGCAGGTGCCGCTGACGGCTGTGCCACCCATGGGGACCTGACGCTCTGCAGAGGTATCACAGGGCTACAATCAAGCCATTTTATATTCTACTTGCGTGACGCACAGCCATAAATGTGACATTTCTGTGCAACTTGTCATGTGCACAGAATCGTCGGGTGACCCGTGGAACTGTGGAACCTGGAAGAGGAGAGGATCATCGCGATGTTGCATGAGCTGAGGTCTTTTTTTGCTCGGTCGGGTACAGACAGACCCGCACGATGTAGCAGGTAGCAACACATCAACCCCACGATAGCCGCCATGACTGAAGCAAGGTTCTAAGATGACTATGTGTCCGATAGTAACACAGACACAAACTGCTTGGGATTGTAGTTTAGACCCAGGCTGATTCCCCAGAAATACGCTCCACAATCTATTTTGAAAGGGTGACATTCAGACCTAACTTGATTGACCAAGCAGCACATACATATATAAATGTGTATATTTAACATATGACAATACTATGTGTACGTATAAATATATATATATATACATATTATAATCAGCAACAATCACAAGTATGCCAAGTGGTTTTGCTCAGCCACCTCAGGATGTTGACCAAAACTATGTCTCACCGTTTGTTTCCTATCTATTTATCTTATACAGTAGGAAAACTAATTGGCCAATTCTCTCTCTCTCTCTATATATATATATACACACATCCATATGTATCGGTACTTGACCTGCGAAATCATACCCAAAATACTCCCTGAAAATGCACTTGGATCCATAGGGAACTTTTGGTCAATTATCAACTACATATCATTAATCAATGACTACATATGAACTATTATCAAGTATATAGACGCTATATCAATTGGTCCTCCACCAACTAGACTATACATATGTCAATTCCATCTACAGTTTGTTAATTGGTGAATTTGATCTTTGATTTACAACATATCAACTAATTATACATATATATATATATATATCAACTACATAAAAACACGTTTATATTAGATACATACCATGATATACAATGATATACCATATTATATCCGAACTAACTATATCAGTCAATTTATATCATTATATACCATGATATACCATATTATATCATATCCGAACTAACTATATCAGTCAATTTATACCATGATATATACCATGATATACCATATTATATCCGAACTAACTATATCAGTCAATTTATATCATGATATACCATGATATATACCATATTCTACCATATGATATCTGTATCAATCCGTGAATTCAGGATGTTGACCAACCAAAGTTGTTGGTCCGTGCCCTTCTTCGGCGCTCTCAGCGCCCTGGCGCGGCGTCTCAGCGAGCTGCCCGAGTTCGAACCGGACGCTGATCCGTGACCCCGGGGTCGCCTGGGTCGGCTGGGTCGGGAGGTGGTGGAGCCCTCAGATAGCTATGGAACCATCCAAAAACACAGCAGAAATGCGAGAAAATGATGATTAAACTATCAAGCAAAAATGCGAGGGACTGAGGATTGAACCATGAGAAAAAAGTTGAAACATGGTCATGAAATAGTAAGACTAAGAAGTGTACCTGTAAGCCAGGAAATATGGATGTGAAAAATTACTAGAAGTGGTGATAAATGGGGATTTAAAAAGGTTTGGGTTGGTGCTCCAACAAGGAAGGTCATGGTTCCAAAATGTCTCTGTCCGTTGTACTTGAAATCATTTGGCCTAAATGTCCAAAGATCACTGTAGCGTTTTTAATTGGCGTGTGTGTTTGTTTGTATATGGACCCAACTTGAAATCCTGAAAATGGATGAACATATGGGAAATCCATGCAATTATGGAATCTATGACTCATCTCTCAGTTTAGCCAAAAGTGGCTTATGCTACCCTGCACCAAAAGATGAGATCAACGAGTGTAACCAGCCACTCCAGCAGATTATTGCACCAGATAGGGACCGCGGATGACGTGGGTGCAGGTACCGCGCGCAGCTATTTCAACAGCTGGACCTGCCATGGCAAGGTGGGGGGGGCTGCCCACGGAGATCAGGTGGGCTTAAGGTGAACTTGAATGAATTTTCAGTGGTGAAGTGTTTTGTGTTACGGTATGTCTTCTTGGATCTGTAAACCTTGGCTGATTTATTAATGGCTATTTCAGGTTGTGTCCCTGTGTCACCCCAAAAAAGTGACTGTTTGCTAGCACACGAAGAGTAAAGTTTCCAAAATGGACATGTTTCTACTGCTGGAAACTCCAGAGACTTCGAAATTCCGTCGTTTCCATTGGAAACTTGCCACTGCTTGGACTCCCCAAATGTCATGGGATTGGTAGGGACAATCTGCCGGGAAACCATGGTTGTTACCATCAAATAACTGTATTTTTTCCCTTAAACCAATCCCAAGAAAATATGTGTTCATCTTTGTTCCAATCAGATAGTCAGGTGGGCTCTTCTCTGCAAGCCTGGCGTGTCAGGTCCAATCTCTTCGATTTCCTATGGCAATCACCTCAAAATGCAGGCGGGCCCCGAGCATTCGGTTCTTGTGGCACGGAAGTCACAGAAGCGAAGAAAAGAGATGAGAGGTCCAAAGAAATCCAAAGTAACCGTGTTTTTTTTTGTTTCTTTTTGATATTTTCGCACATGTAACTAGGAGAATTACTATATTCAAAATGACAACAGTTCTTGGTGATCACCAAGCAGTTTGAGACCGGTTGGAAGTTCTATATTTGTTTGGGTATCCGGGTCCCTTTGGATCAAATGCGCCAGTGCTGTGGTCACTTTGCTTTGCATCCAAGTGTCGTGCGACTGAAGACCGATGGGGTCACCCAGACCGTATGTTTGGAAGTTCCCCGAAAATTAGGCCTTGTAGGTGGACCTGCACCTTTGTTAGATTTTGTTAGGTACCTGCACTTGAGGTGTAGTTATTGATGACTCTTTTTCTTGATCACAGGGAGAGCCCATGATGAACTGGGAAGCCAGCAGAGAGAAGACTTTCAGAGCCTCAGCTGTTTCCGATAGCCAAGTTAGTGAACAGAACTTGGTAAACTAGGGCTAACTAGGGTTCATTGGGAATATAGCTATATAATTTTATAATGCTATATATACATATATATATAGCTATATTGAATGGGGCTTATAGACCAACTTATAACTGATGGAGCCCCACCTTGTACAGTCTGCAAATGACCACAAGAGGGACTCAGAGTGTCACGCCACTGCTGTTCTATGTCATCGTTGCTACAGTACATGCCGCAAAACTACCATGGACCATGAAGCGGCGGTGGCCATTACCAGCGGCAACTATTCGATCTCGTAGTATTGGTGACTTTCTATGGGGTTTCAGCAATATAGACTTACCCTCTGGTTATTTAACATAGCTATGGAAGCCATGGCCCATAGAAATAGATGATAAACATGATGATCTACCATTGATAAAATGGTGATAGCCCAGTTCGCTACGTTAAATAACCAGAGGGTAAATCCTATTAAACCACCATTAAATTAAACCACCATTAACCAGAGGGTATCTTTTCGAGGTTTTCACCAAGCATTGTTTCTTGGCAGGGGATCAACGTACCATCAGTACTTCGTCAGAAATCCTCATTCACAACTTTTGAAATATTCACTGCAGTGAATCCAATTTATATAAATTATACATAAATTAAATATACAATATAAACCATATAATACAAATATATTATTATTATATATATATATATTATTATTCTATATATATATTATATATATTACTATTATATATATTATATTATTACATAAATATATTATATTATAATAATAATATATAATAATATAATATATATATAATATATATATATGATATATATAATAATATAATATATATAATATAATATAATATAATATAATATAATATAATAATCATAATAATAATAACAATAATAATAATATTTTATTTATATTAACTTAAACTCACAAACTACTTTAAGTTTAGGCTTCCTAGACCCATTCAGCTGCAGTTCCGTCATACACGAATAGCGATGTCATGCGATGTCCACATGACCCATTTTGGCATCCCCCGAGGAAAGGCTTGTGCCTTCTTGGCCACGGCCAAAGCTAGAGCTGGCATCGAAGCTGGGAATGGTTTTAGAAGCTGGGAAATGCCATCATGCCAAACATGGCAAGCTGGGAAGTCCCCTAGCCATGGAGGTTGATAGCCGGGGGAAATCATCGAAAACCGTGTTGTTTTTGATAAAATTAGAGGGTAACATACTGGTTGGTGGTTTGGAACATTAATTTTATTTTCCCATATAGGGAATAATATTCCCAACTGACGAACTCATATTTTTCAGAGGGGTTGAAACCACCAACCAGCTTTGATACAGCACCAAATAAAGATAGACAAGCTTTACCAGTAGTACCGCACAAGGCGGTGGCGGAAATTTCAAAAATAGGAAACCTATAGGAGAGGTTGGTTGTGGTGAATCAGGGATGGCAGAGCGAAGCCACTGATGGATCGAAAGGTGATTGATCTCTCTCACTCTCTCTGACTACCTATCTGTCTATCTATTTATCTATCTATCTATCTATCTATCTATCTATCTATTTCGACATCTCAACTTCCAAAAGTGGTCCGACGCTGAGGTGTTGTTTTGTACATTTTGACTTCGAAGTGTGCTTCGCGCCACAACGGCGTGCAATTTTTCATCTCTCCTCTGGCCAGCTGGCTCCGCACCCGCCGCTTTAGCGAGCCTACTTTTCGACCCTCCGGAGCCCCAAATCATTGGAAAAACACAGTGTTTCGCGACTTTCCTACCTTTTCTCGCATCCGCATCTTCTTTCTTCTTACTCTTTCTATTCCACTCTTCTTTCTTCTAATCTTTCTCTGCTCTCTGCCTCTTCCCTGCTCTGCTTTTCATCTGTCCATATTGTCGGAAGTTTGACTTCTAAACTTTCTTCGATAATCCTCTAAAACGTTGGTAAACACATAGGTTTCTATGCTTTTTTGTAGCTACTAATTTTTCCAAGTATGAGATGTATCAATATGATATGATGTTTGGGTGTGTCTGAAAAAGAACGTCAAAACGCAATTTTTCATAGGTCACATGATGATAAAGCACCCGATGTTGGGGTAGCCTCATTCCAGACAAACCCATGTGTTTAATAGTCGAGTATATTCTAGTCACTTGCTACAGTAACTGAGATGAACGTGCACGTATGGTCACAACAGAAAATATGCAGAGATGGGCTGGACCACTACTGACCACAATAAGTATGAAACAAGAATCCCGACAATGTTGTTGTCGAATCTTGAATTGCTGAGGAATTGCTGCGATGATATTGTGTCGAGACTGCTCCATGCGGCAAGTCATTCGAATTCTAATGAGGAATTACTGTATGTGGACTGACGGCCAAGAACTGGCGAAGAAGACGACGGCCTTGATGTAATCTGTATCCAAGTGTGGGCTATCATAGGTTAGGTTGAGTCGAACGATGCGAGGAATCTCAAAAGGCCGAGCAAAAAAATATAAGTATATAATACTATATATATATATATATACATATTTTTATATATGGAGGTTTCCTGCAATAGGGGTACAGTACCCTAAATCATCAATTTTAATAGGACTGTCCCTTATAAATATAACCATTTATGGAACCCCCATATGTTATAGTATATTATATATATAAATACTGTGTGTATAATAATATATCTGTGCAGCCAATATGGAAAATGTAAACATTGCCAAGCAGCTCCGTGCTTAGGATTTTAAGTAACCAAAAATAATGTTGGGGTATTTGGTCTAGGCACTTACTAAGTACTACTGTAATCCTTGATTTCACGGCTTGGCCATCAGGAAGTGGCTGAACGATACTTTCGCATCTATCACCAGGCTGGGATGTGACCAGGGCACCCAAAACATAGATGTCTTACCAGTAAACATGGTGATTCTATGGGGACTTCATGGGATTTAATGGGATTTAGATAGCTAAGTGAGTTTATAACTCTATAATAACTATTGTTAACTGTTTGCATTTCATTGCAGTGGATGATATAGACTTAGTAGTGTTTATACACCAACTTACAACTGGGGAGGGCCCATCAAAAGTGATGTGGCTTGCCCGCCTGGCCCAGATCCCGTCGCTCAGTTATTTGCCCATCACGGGATGAACGTATGCTGCTAGGGAGAATTCCAAATATGGTGATCCTATCAGCAACCAAAGGAGAATTTGTAGATGACGACTCACATCTCCAATGTCAATCTGGTACTGCTAAACTTTGTGGCTGTACCATGTTAATTTGGAACATCGGGAAAAAAGAACAAGTGAAGTCTATCCTGGACATAAATGAACCTATCATGTCCGAGCCTTGGAAATGCTATAAGTGCATCCAAGTGGGGCCTTCAACCGTACTTTCCTCTACGCCTTGTGGACTAGACTGGGAGCGAATGAACCCGGATATGCAATGTATAGAAAGAGTATAGAAGCCACTACCCTTTGGTAATTTAACATAACTATGGAAGATCACCATTTATAGTGGATTTTCCCATGAAAAATGGTGAATTTTTCCATAGTTGTGTAAACATTTACCAAAGGGTAAGTACAATCATTGCAATCCGAATGAGTGAACAAACACTGATCCGAGATGCAAGAATCTTGAACCTGCGTGCTGCCAGACTCTTTTTTTAGGCTCGAATCCGAATGTGTGTCAATGCCGTTTTGTAATTCATGAAAGGTTAGGAAGTGAATAGTTAGTATAGACAATATTCATTCCAACAGACCAAGTATGGATGCAAACCCGACCATTCCAGACAACAAAGTGCCATATTGGAGAATTTCTGGTCCCAACTGGACTCCCATGGTAGGGCAGTGTGGTTAGATCATGTTAGATCCCGAGAAACTGGACAGTCATGGTCATGACGACTGGATGATAACTGGGAAAAGCGGCAGAGTGTGTTCCGCCTGGTGAGACATTCCTGACGTTCCATCCAAAAAAGAATCCAGAACACAGTCATCCGAATCACCGGAGTCGTTCAAAATGACCACACTTTGTGTAAGTCTAAGCATATTATTTATATATAATTATAATTGATCATATTATATATATATAATATATGAACTTATATGAGTTATGATCAAAATTATCTTAGATCACTTTAATCAGGGAATGATCCCGTAGGGTGTCAAAAGTGCACCGGACCACTGTGTAGCGATGGCGCTTCCAAGCCAAACCCCAGGACAGCTGACAGTTCAGGTGTCTTTACCTAGTGGCCGCTGTGCAACGGTGTCAGCCCCGTTGCGATCCCGGGTTCTGGACTTGAAATTGGCGGCACAGCAAGCGCTAGAGCACGGTTTCTTGAAGCTCCTTGGAGCTAAGTCGATGATTTGGCTTTCCGAAGATCTACCATTTGGGGGACAGGGCATTCAGTTATGGCCATTTATTATAGGCATTTCTGGTTCTAATATGTTATAATTGGGATTATAACATTATACACTCCATAAATGGGCCTATTTCAGTATACTTATATATACCTGGTATTAACATTATATAATCCACAAATGGGTTATTTCAGTATACGTATATAACTGGTATAACTCGGGCCATAGCTGTAGTTTTTCTTGTTTTTTGGGGTTCCTCAAATCCAAGGCTCGCAGGACCAGGTGGACATCTCTTGGATGTAACGGAATCGCTTCAAAGTGTGCTGCAAGATGGGCAGATCATTACTGCAGTGGCTCAGAAACCTGGGCCTTTGTTTTTTTTAAGAAGCTGTTCGAAACCTGGGAAATACACTTGGTGGCGAACTACCCACGAATCGTTTTTGTGAGTTATAACCCCAGTGATTTACATGGGATAAGTAGGGTTAATCCACTCAAAAAACTGGGGTGAACTAACCCACTTACTAAGTGGGATGAGCCACCAAGCATGACATATGAAGTGTATCAACTCATATCATCAAACTGTCATCCAACGGAAACACGGTTCTACCTTGTTTGGGCGGTTACTATAGATGAACTCTTTGTTTTGCCTTTGTTTTTTTGTCACCAGGAGTAGGAGATCTATTGGGAAGATTCGTGAGTGTGGCCCCATTTGAACAAATTCAAGGAAGCCAAAGATCGTTGCAACCTTGCGCGCATTTGCTTTGTGGTGTCCTGGCGAGAAAGTGGTCACCTGGGGCCATCGGAATTTTGGCGGTGACAGTTCAAAGGTCCAGGAGAAACTGAAAAATGTCCAAGAAATCTATGCCACACAAGCTGCTTTCGCTGCCATCTTGGTAGATGGAAGTGTTGTGACGTGGGGTGATCCCAGTTTTGGTGGCGAAAGCATTCGAGTCAGGGACAAGCTGAGAAACGTCCAGCGTATATGTGCGACGGAGTCAAGCTTTGCTGCAATCTTGGCTGATGAAAGTGTGGTGATATGGGGAGCTAACGGCTCCAAAGTGCGAGACCCTACCAAGAAGATAAAGCAGATATGCGAAAATACAGAGGCATTTGCTGTAGTCTTCTCAGATGGAAGTGTTGGGACGTCCGGCCATCAATATTTTGGTGGTGACAACTCGAGAGTTCGGGATAAGCTCAAAAATGTTCAGAAGCTCCATGCCACAAACCGTGCTTTTGCTGCACTCTTGGCAGATGGTACTGTTGCGACCTGGGGCGATCCAAACTCTGGTGGTGACAGCACAAGAGTCAGAGATCAACTTAACAACGTCCAAGAAATCTATGCCACAGGGAGTGCATTTGCTGCCATCCTGGCAGATGGATCTGTTGTGTCGTGGGGCAACCCCATGTTTGTTGCGAACAGCGAAGTCGGGGATCAACTTAAGAACGTTCAGCACATCTGTGAAAATCAAAATGCTTTTGCTGCAATGACGTCGGATGGAAGGGTTGTGGCTTGGGGTGATCCAAACTTTGGTGGCGACAGCACTGCAGTGAAGGATCAGCTCAGAAATGTTCAGCAAATACATGCCACAGAGCGTGCTTTTGCTGCGATCTTGTCAGATGGTAGTGTTGTGACATGGGGCGATCCAGACTTTGGTGGTGACAGCGCTGGAGTTCAGGATAAGCTCAAGAACGTCCAGCAGATTTGCGCAAAGTACTTTTCTTTTGCTGCAATCTTGGAGGATAGAACTGTTGTTACATGGGGCGATCCAAAGTATTGTGGTGACAGCAGCAAAGTCCAGGATCAGCTGAGGAATGTTCAACAGCTTCAAGCGACTCGTGGTTCTTTTGCTGCAATCACAGCACATGGAACGGTGGTGACCTGGGGCAATCCGAACTTTGGTGGTGACTGTGCCGGAGTTCAAGACGAACTCAACCGTTTGTAGCACTGAGTTCTTCATCAGCGGGGATAGACCAAAATAGACGCTTTATGACCAAAGAAAGCTCAATGTGACTCAATATCCATGATAAATATGGTTAAATCATGATAAAGCCCATATAAATCCCATATGTAGCCAGGCCTGTAGCCAAAATATGCAAATATTACAATACCGCTTAGTTTCCAAAACATAGTGGTCTAAATTTCCACCCTACGTCAATGGATGGCCTGGTGACCAGCTGCGTTGGGGACTTAGGTGAGGCCGCCCAGGTATAAGTTAACATATAAAGCCATTGAGTATAACGTAGTTACCCTCTGGTAAACGTTTACATAACTATGGAAAATCACCATGTTTAAATATGTTTAATGGGAAAATCAACTATTTCTATGGCCATTTTCAATAGCTAATGTTAAATTACCAGAGGGTATTTCACCAATAAACCCTATAGTGAACCTTAAGTTCCCCAGTTATCATGTTATAACTTGGGTTTGTTTAGTCGGCATAAATTTAAGTATTTTCCCAATGGTCAATTTTCACAACGACTGGGGAATCGATTTAGGGAATATTTTTTTAAAGGTTCCATTAGGCAAATCCAAGATAAGTTGGTTTATAATTGATAAGGCCATTGACTACAATGTGGGGCCCCCCCAGTGATGTTTGTTGGTTTAGATTCGCCCCAGTAACTATAGTTATAAATACATATAAATCCCATAACCCATAGTGAAATTGGAGTTATAAACCAACTTAGCTATCTTGGGGGCCTCACATTGTATGCCTAGTTGTATATTGCGGCAATAAACTATCGAATTCGCAGTGAACTGTGCGTCAACCTCGTGTTCTCATGGACACAGGGACCTCATTTTTTGTAAAAAAAATGAGGCCATGGCATTCCCCGAAACATGGCTGGGAGATTTTCGAGCATCGGAGCTGATTACCGGATGGTTTCCGATTTATCGGTATGATCTTTTTCACGATTTGTTCGCCATGATTTCCTCAATTGCCAGGTCAGATCAAATCTATCTATCTATATATATATATATATAGGAAAGACTTTGAACATCGTTGAAATATCTGTGAAAATGGTCAAAACTTATGTTCTCACACTAGCGGAGTGTCATCTCCACATTAACAACATTTGAATGCATTTGATATATACACTAGGAGAAATATCTAATGACGATGGGATGACACATGGCCTTCAGCAGGATTATCTAAGTAGATATGGCCCACCTTATCCACCTGCTTCAATATAGACCACATATGAAATTGTTGTGAATTCCACCTTTTGGTTGGTGTTTCATCTCCGCTTTTGGTGGGTAAGAACCTACTTTTTGAGTTTTCTTTTGCGGGGTAACTGTGTTTGTCCAAAACTATGGATACATCCTAAACTACTATGGATACATCCTAAACTATAGCATTAATTGGGGGAACCATGATGAACAACGGCGGTTTTGGCAACGAAAAGAAACATCGCACGAAATCCCCATGTTGACTCAATTCACAGGACCAGCTCCACGATTACTGGGACCAAAGAAGTTCCTGACTTTCTGAGATAGTTCTATAACCCATAGGATCCATGTATGGTATATATGCTAACATTGGGGGTATATAATTGATGGTAAATGTTACCATATATAGCATACATGGATCCTATTGGTAATATGCCATTTCCATCCATGTCCGTAATTTTTTTCGCATGACAGTCTCACTATATCCTCATTTTAACTATTGACAACCCATAAAATCTCAACAAAAACTCCCCACAACCCGGCCCACAACCCGGCCCACAATCCATCTCAACTCCGGAAGTTCAGCTGCTTTTTGACCAGTCGCCAGATTTCCGCTGTGCCAGGACTCCCTGGGTGTCGTGTTATACGCCGCGGCGCAGTGGCCCGTCTTTGACTTTTTGCAGCGTCTGGCGCTGCGGCCGCGCCTCGAGGATGATGTGCCAAAGAGCGAAGACAGCGAGGAGGAGGAGGAGGAGGAGACCGGGGATGCGTTGTTTTGCAACGAAAACATGGAGATTCAACGACCCAAACATGGAGATTTTAATGGGATTTGACTCAGACCTAATGACCTAATAGTTCTATAACCGCGATGTTGATTAAAATGAGGTTTTACCACCAAATAATGGCATAACAATGGGATGTAAGGGGATTTTATGGGATTTAATGACGTTAATTAATTGGTTTTACATGGTTTTACCCTCTGATAATTCTTATTAATCATCTATCTATACATGGGCCATTTTGCCATGGATATGTTACACAACCGGAGGGTAACTAATGATGTGTAAAAAACAAGACATGAAAAAACAACAACTTAAATTATGATATCAGATTTATATGAAAGAAGTTATCATTGAACTATGGCAAAGTCGGGATTACTTGTGTTTGCTGGGTCGGTGATTATTGTTTGAATTCCAGATGGTTCATCCATGGTTCGAGGGGAACCTATTGGGATATTTGTGTGTTTTGGGGATTGGGCCATTTTGAACAAATCCAATCTAGGACCCATAGGATCCATGGTGCTGGTATATATGCTAACATTGGGGGTATATTGATGGGATCCATGTTGCCATATATAGCAGCACCATGGATCCTATGGGGGATGCAAATGGCGAAGGTTGCCACAGGGGGCCGTTTTTGGCAAAAATCGGTTTATCCGGTGTGGGATAACCCGAGAATTTATCCAATAAACATGGTAATTTTTCATCAAGGTTGGAATTCCAAGTTGGAATGTTATGGGAACATGGACATACCATGAAATACCTATATATCAAAGACACATATATGTATATATATATATACTGGTTGGTGGTTTGGAACATTTTTATTTTTCCATATATTGGGAATGTCATACTCCCAACTGACGTCCATGATTTTTCAGAGGGGTGGCGAAAAACCACCAACCAGTAGATGAACTTTTCGAGAAAACCCAGTGGCCCAGTGACTGAAGACAGACATGGTGTTTCACCAGCCCCATATCTGAGCTGCGCAGCTGCGCTTCGATCCATGGCAACTTCATCTTCCAACTTGAGCACTTCCTCCTTGAAAAAGTGTAGCATGTTGATTAATGGCCATCCCCAAATGGTTTATGGCAGGTTTCCCACATCACATAGTAACATAGTCCCAATTTCCTTCAGATATCTTCAGATCATCAAGGAGAGCTTTGAAGAATTCTTCGTGGAAGCAGGAAAGCAAAGAATTTCCCCAGATCTAGCTCTGGAATTTTATCGAAGCTGGGTTTATGAAAGCGACTTCGTCGTGGCATGTCATGGCAGTGCTCGAGTTTCATTGGGAAAATCCAGAGTTGGGGTGATCCACAACCCCCGATTTTGCTGGTGGCGTTCACCAGCCAGTAGGAGAGGATGAGAGAGAGGGAGAGCTATTAGGAAGTATTGCTGGATGTGACATCGAATATGTATTGTAAACTTGGTATAGCTATCATTTTACCAAATCATGTAAGGATTGGAAACCTGGTTGTCACTATATATCCATGTTTGAGAAAGTTGACTCGAAACATCTGCAGAAACTATTCACAATTTTCAGAATTGTGTCTTTGGTTTTCGATATTGATCCGGTGTCTTCAACATGTTACCCTCTGGTAAACTAACAGTTTGCCATTGAAAATGGCCCAGTCGAAATAGTTGATTTTCCCATTCAGCATGGTGGATCGTTCTAGTTCGTTATGTGACAAATTACCAGAGGGTATCATGGGATTTCAAGAGATTTAACATGATTTTTTTCATGGGCTTTTGGATATTGATCCCTGGTCTTCATCCCAATGTATCCCATCTCAGGAATGTTTCACGTTGTGAGTAGCCTGTTCAATGCCATGCGTGTGCAATGGTGGGTGCACCTTGTCAGAAGATCGCGCACGGTGGGATGGAGCGTTGTTGACCGATATGGGCAACAGTTAACACCACATGACTTACTGGTGCTTAGTAGGGAATGGATGGGAATGGGGGAATGGGATGATTCTTACTATAGACTATAGTGATTATGGATCATTCCCTCATTCCCTACTAAGCACCAGTAAGATGATGGAGAAATTACCACTTTCTATGGTTAAATTCAGGGTCCAGGGCTGTGTATTGGAAAAACTGTAAGATAAGAAATGTAACATAAAATTGTACATCATGTTCATACTAGCTTCTGAAAGTATATATGATATCATCCCAAAAATAGTCCCAAAAAATATATTGTTCATCATATTATCCTATGCCTATGCGCCCCCATCCCTCCGGGACCCCAGTCCCCAAGGAGCCACGGCACGCTGATTGGTGCCTTGCGTGACCGCGGCCTGTCCCGGCACGCGGACGACTGCGAGATCGATGTCTCGGAGAGGGACGTGGAGCTGATGCAAAGCGTCAGGATGAAGGCGCCGCCAAAAAAACGCGGTTGACGAAGCTGGGAGGAGTGGTGATGACTGGGATTCACTTTGTTTAATAATGGTGAGTTATGGTTGATAATGGCTGATATGGAAAACAGCACCTAATTGACTTTAGTATTGTCCCAAAATTTCCGGAGGGAACAGCTATGATTAATTCGGGGGTTTTATTAATCCTGACTTGACATTAATGGTTGAGAATGGTTCAACAATGGTTGATTATATACCTATATACTAGGCTGGAAGGATTGGGGTCATGGGATGATGATGGATGATGGAATAAAATTAGAGGTGAATCCATAAACTTAAACAGTCATTAGGCGTTGATTTTATCATTAGCCTATCATAAAATTATATCATTATTAATGGCGTGAATTGGTGATATTATTATGATAGGTTAATACTAATGATGTATTAATTAATAATATTACATAAGAAGTTGATTATACTAAAGCCAATGATAATGATTGTAGGTTAAGAATAATCATGGAAATATATATATTATGGATATTGTTGCATATTATTGGCATATGATTGTGAACGATGATTGGGAACATGATTTAGTGGATTATTGGGAATATACCAGCTGGTGGGACTAATCCCATGTCCCGTTCATATTAATAAACACACCCATTCTATCCCAATGAAATGTGGAATTTCCCTACGTTTTACCATAGTTTCTGTTGGATTTTCAAGGGGCTGTTTTTTAATTTGGGTGGAGGGCAGGACTGTTGATGGATGATCAAGGATTGTGGTAAAGCCAATGCCATAAACTTAGCATTTGGGGATTGTATATACAAAACATTTATGGTTGTACCATCTGGTTATGACTAATATAGCCATGGAACATTTTTAATAGGTAAACCATCTATTTCTATGGGCAATCTATACCATGGCTATGTTAGTCACAACCAGAGGGTACAAACCATTTATGGTCATGTTGGGGATTGTTCAAACGTATTGGATCACAAGGTGGGGTTGGTAGGTAGATAGCTAGCTGTCCGGTCGTTTGTAATTCCGTTAAACAGCTATGGTTTATGGTAATGTTTATGATATGATAGATTTAACTATGACCACAGTCAAACTATGTTAAACTATGACCCCAGTTGATAGATTTAAGATTAACTCTTGTTTTTTTGAACCAACGTTCACATCACAACGGGGGACCCCACGGGTTTTGCGTCACCGGTGTTCTCATTCACGTAGCACTGGTGTTCGTCTCCTTTGGAGCCATGGACCATCGCAACCATGGGGGTAACCTGAAAAATCATCGCAGAAAACAAAAAATTATGCCCAGATGCTCCATGTATGGCATATTTACCTACATTTGGTTGATTTTTGGGGTAAATGTAGGTAAATATTCCATACATGGAGCATATGGGATGGTGAAATATTTTTTCATAATAATGTCTATAAATGTCTATAAGAATGCTGGCTATAATCCATATTTCATGAGTCAAGACTCTTCCTTTTTTTCATTTATGTTCAACCATCGTTCCACCATAAGAGTTTAAAAATAATCATCTGAATGGTGAATATTCTGATCGGATTTATCTCATTTTCACCGAACATAGATGTGGTAAGTCTACAACAAAATCTTTAAACCACCTACCCTTTTTTGAAAGTAACAATTGCTGTGAATGTGGCTTAGATATGATTTTGTAGTAATTTATACTAGGTGAGCCCGGTTGATTGGTTAAACGTGGCGGTTCAGGCGCCCGGTGATGCGTTTGGGTTGATCTGTGTTTTTGGTTATTGCAATATTAAAAATATTATGAAGTATTATTGTTGGATTTTTTTTATTTATTATTACTATTATGATTTATTATTATTGTTAGTATGATATAAAATATATAAAGCAATAGTGGGTTATTTTCAAATTTGTAGAGTGTGCATATGTCATAGGATATAGGGGAATTTGGGAGTTTTTGTCTTACATTTGTGTTACGTCTGTGCCACGGAACAGCCAGTCATATTTAGTGGATCAAAGAGCCTATTGTGCATGCCTTGTTAGCTCCAAGCTTTGCACTTGATGAACATTTCCAATTGTTTTAATCAAACGACACCAGAACCGTGTCTTGCATCCAATCTACTCAATTGAGATCAATTGAGTGCCTAGAGTGAGTGGCTAGATCTAGCTGGATTTGGCTTTGGTGAATCGCAGGTGAAAGTGTGTAAAAAATGGTTGCCATTGCGATAGTGATGGTGGTTTCATATGGTTGCCTGGATAAAATTAAGACCTATGGACGGTGCATGCTTGGAGTACCATCCTTAGCACCAGGTGGTGCGAGGCAAAAAATGTTTAAAAAAACAATTGTTTTTTTTTGCGCAGCATGTGATATATCTATCATGAACCCAACAGTTGAGCCTCTGCAACCCAGGCTTTGGGGTACTGAAAAAACCTGTTCTTTGTTGTTTTATCTTCTTTCGTTAGGGGATATGTTCGATATTAAGCCGGAAGACCCGAACCACCTGCAAATTATAATATAGATTTCAATCCCAAGTTTTTGACTATATAATGCTATATATATATATACACACCACCTATAATATCTATAGATTATCCATCGATTCTCTGCAGTTTATTTATACATTATAATGTAGATAGATAGATATATATATATTTCTTTGTTCAACGTAAGTTACTTCAATCCCACCTACACTTCGTTCACGTCGTTCACGTCGCTGAGTTCCCCAGGCCGCCCTCAGTCGGAATGGCTACGAGCTGAGCTATGATCCCCGCGGGCGATGCTTCAAAGTGTCGCGCGTGCTGTAGCTAGCGTGCGTCGCAAGAGGAACTGGTGATTGAACCAACAGTAGGAAATTACTATTACTGTATATTTATAGGGATTTATATGGGATTTATAGGAATTTATAGGGATTGATAGGGATTTATAGGGGATATATATGGGAATTATAGGGATTTATATGGGATACATATGGGAACTTACCTTCTGGTAATGACTAACAGTTTGCTATTGAAAATGGCCATAGAAATAGTGGATTTACCCAGCTATAAAATAGTGATTTTCCATAGTTGTGTAAACGTTTACCAGAGGATACTATTACTGTATATTTGGATTTACATGGTTGTTTCTTGATTTGTATGGATTTGTATGGGTTTATCTTATTTTATATGGACATATATGATTTATATATATAATATATATATATATATATATTTTGGGTGTGTGTGTGTGCTTGATGTATGAAAATATAAGTTGATAAGCATAACTCTGATAACTATTGAGTTTATGCTGGACATATCAAACTGGCGCAAATGGGGGGCTATAAACTAATTTTCTAAAAAATATGTGCTGAAATGCCATCTATAGATATGGATTTTAGCTATGTGGAATATATCTGTATAGCCCAGCACCTATGTATATATATATAGAGAGAGAGAGACTATAGAGTATATATGTATAGCTGAAAGCCCATGTGCCAAACAGTATATATATATACATATATATATATATATATTGCTTATATATATATACATACGAGCATAATTGTATTTGTACACACCATCTATCATTATATCACTTCTATCTAATTTTTACATATATACATATATACATATATACATATAGACATATATACATATATACATATATACATATATACATATATACATATATACGTATATACATATATACATACATGGATATTATAACAGTTTAACACATTTTGCATCTACTGTATATGTATATCAATGCCCCCACAACGATTGATTCCCTGCCTTAGGTGGCCCAGCGGCTCAAGACAAGCGGAGCCAAGGGAGGCCCAGCTGGTAGAATCACGGCGCAGAAATTCGGAAAAGCCATAGGAACATGGTCGTTTTCACCACAACAATGGAGATTTCATGAGATCTATAATTAATTTATGAATTTATCAGAATGCTAAGTTTTGATTATAGCTAAGTTTATGGGATTTAGTGGGATTTAGTTGGCTTTAGAGGGATTTAATGGGATTTGATAGGATTTAGATGTCTATGTTTATTTGAAGCTTGTGAACTAGAGTTTATTTTGGATATATAACTTTACTTAGTGGGATTGAACTTGCAACTGCAGTTCTCAACTTGAAGGATAGTTGAATTTCTTCCGGATTTCCATGGATTTCCTTTGTTCCCAGAACCGAATTATGACTATGGGAAACGGAAATCTAAATATTTGTTGGCAGACAGAACTATGTCCTGTAGATTGTCCCGTAAACCAATCCATCGAGTTGCTTGTGTTTTTCTTTCTTTTGGTTGAATAGTCGTTGTTCTTGTTACAAAGATACTTGTTACAAGCCAAGGGAAAAGTAAAGTTGTGTCTGTTTGTCACTGTTTGTGTTGTCTTCCCTCACTCTGTAAACCTTGGTGATGGGGAGTTCGGTTTTGATGTGTTTACCATTTATATTCAGGCATTGCAGTGCATACCCAGTTCTTTTTGCAGAGTGGCCTAAGATTTGCCACCACAAACAAACATGTTCCAATGCTCCAAAAAGAAAATCGAAGGATATAAGGCTAGTTCAATTTTCCCAAACATGTTCGAATCAGAAATCATCAGAAATCCAAGTGTATCTCTTCAAGCATCCCATTAATGCTGATCAAACACATCTTCATTTTGTATCTCCGGAAAAAAATCGTCCAGCCAACCACCCACCAGTCTTTGTTTAAACAGCTTCGCTGTTAGGATCAGTCATGGTGGTTGCCACAACAGCGTGTGGGCACTCCTGCACTGGACATCTATGTGGTCCAAACACCTGAGGTCCTTTGGATAAACAGAGACCCGACTCGGACGACGTCTTTTTTTGGATGGTTTAAATCTACAGATTAACAAGAAATCATACAATAAATATAGACATAATATAGACATAATGACATGTAATGTCATTATGTCTATATTTTCATATGTAATACATCTATCTATCTATTTATCTATCTATAATTACGAGTAAACCGCCTCAAAGGTGTTTGTTTCTTGTCTTTTTTTGTCACGGGGGTGCATTTACCCAATTCCTTGAGGTTTGGCTAGACTTAGCATGATATTTTTTGAGGGTTGCTGGACCACCAGCACTCAGCCAACATCAGCCAACACTTTGAGATTGTTCAATACCTATTATAAAACAATATGATCCCTGATCACAACGTATTTTGATATGAGAAGCAAGGTACTGATCAACTGGTCCAAAACCTTAGAATACAGAGTTTGAACCAACTGTAAATATGTGGATATTAAGAAAAAACTCCAGCCAACGCTCCAGGCCAGCCAATCTGAACGTTACTACATTTCCAACGACGTCTTTCACTGCAATACCCTGAGCTGTACGCAGTACTGGACTCGTACCTGGGCATTGGAGCGTCAAGACATAAAGTTGACACATGTTGACACAATTCCATGTTGTTTCTTGTTGGTTGTTCCTGATCCGAGATATAGTTGATGTTCAAGAGTGATCACCAGTTTTGCTCATAAACCGCTTACTGTAAGTTACTATAGTCAATATGATGAATATCCAAGCCGGAGCCGCAACGAAATCCAAGTTCCCATTTGATTGTGTTAACTTGTACTCTTTGTAGTTATAGTTCTACGCATGCAGAGAACATTGATCTACCTTCGCTGCTGAGCAGAATTCTTCATGAACTTTCGAGATTGGTTTGTCCAGGTTCGACCACAGAGCAGTTGATGATTTGACCCGTCATCCTTAAGAGATGTGGTATGTTTATGGCCCTTTGCCAGTTATAAGTACTTGTAACCCCATTTATGGAATGTATATTTCGTAATAACTGATTATAACCATTATCACCGGTTATAACAATTTATAATTGGTAAACAACCATAACATAACTCCATGTTTATAACATTTCCACTATGCTCTTGGCAATAAACCAATGTGTTGGGCTATAGAATTCCAATATATTCCAATTGAGTCTCGGCTATATCCTTTTTGTTTGGATGTTGTGCGATGGTATCTCCCATAGCACGTGATGAGTCAAAATGATACCACCCACCTTGATAGAATTGTGTAAACCTAGGATGGCTTCATAGGCTTATATATATTTTTAAAAAATGAAATGTAATTACTGTGTATACTACCATGTATAAATGTAATGTATCTATATGTATCTTGGTTACAGATATGGTTGGTCACCCTCCCACCACCAAGAACCTACCTCAGATCACATCCAATACCAATGCCAACTCACCAGCAACAACACTTCCCATCCAATACCAATGCCAACTCACCAGCAACACTTCCAATGTCAGCTCAAAAGCAGAGACAATCTTTGGAACCACTGGAGAGTCTTTACATCTGAGCATCTGATACAAACTCCCACCCAGACAAAACAGTACCAACTCCTGATCTGTTTCATATACTCACCAAGGATGCCTGAGAGATCAACATCAAAAGTCGTATGCTTCAACAGTTGGCATCATGTAAATGACATCTTCAAAGCATGAATATGTTGATACTCGTTGTGGAGGGCACCATTAAGAAAAGCAGAAAAACACACATTGAAAACATAAATCATAGAACCCTTAGAAAAAAATGGAGACTCTTAGGGGGAAGGCTCCATTGAGAAAACCCAAAAAAATGGAAACACACACCAAAAAAAAAACGTTGAAAACAAAAACACCAAAATCTGTGGAAACCAAACGTTGGAAAAAAAAACACATTGGACAAACACATATTTTGAGACTCTTGGCTGGAACCCCTACATCCCCAAGACCTCTGTTTTTTCCCATGTTTTGTTGTTGTCGGTTTTATTTAAAATGGTTTGTTTTTTCCCAATGTTTTTTGGTTGTTCCAATGTGTTTTTCAATGTTTTTTTTGGTTGGTTTCCATGTTTTTTGTTTTTTTATCATTTGTTTTTCATTTTTGTTTCTGTTTTTTTTCATTTGTTTTTCATTTTTGTTTCTGTTTTTTTTTCAAGTTTTGTAGTCCCCAAGACCTTTGTTTTGTTTTTTGTTTTTTCTGTGTTTGCCTGCAGCTGCTGTAAATGTGCATGATGCGTTTTGTTTAATATAAACAATCATAAGTTTTTGTCAATACAAAATACTTCACGAATAATAATGCAAAACTAAATGACCTCTTCTGAGCCGATGATGCAAACATTGGCTGCTGCATTGCGCAACTTCGCATCACGCACATCAGAAGGCCAGTAAGTGAAAGGCTCATCTCATTATTTAAAAAGAGGCGAGTGAAAGTTGTGTTCCTTCTTCTATATATGCATATGTTGTAGAATAGTTTCAGTTTCTTGGTGTTGGAACTGGCTTTATGGCTGCCTTGTCAGCATGTTGTCGCAATAACTAAGACCAGCGATGATGCGCAAGAAAAATCTCGTGTCTGAAGTTCCTGGTCAGTAGCTGTCGGCACAGGCGCACACATATATACATGTGTGTGTGTGTGTAAAAAATAATATATATATATATATATATATATATATATGTGTATAACGTGTTTCACCGCCCCACCCAGTGTCATCACGTATTCTATTTGTGCACGTTTCAGAGATGTTGTGCACGTGTCAGAGATGTTGTGCACGTTTTCCAGCAGTTGTGCACGTTTCACAGAACTTGTGCACGTGTCACAGAAGTTGTGCACGTCTCACAAGCCCCCTAATAAAGTTCGTGTTCAACTGTATACACACTGAGCGCATTCTAATCAGCATACACACTGAGCGCATTCTAATCAGCAAAAGCATTGGGGCGACCAAACACGTTCTTCTGATATGTATATAATATATATATATGTATGTACATATATGCATATTAAAACGTTGCAAATAATTTCTTATATAGTGGAATGAAATGGAATGAATACTTGAAAACAACCGTTTTTTTTTCCGTTTAAATACCACTGAACATGCTGTTTTGGTAGATTCTTGGGGAGGGTGAGCAGATGGTTCTCTAATGTTCCCTACATACATTCTTTTAGTTTTTTGTTCAATGAACACTTATCTTCGAAGTTACCAGTGGATACCGCGGCCCCCAAGATAGGCTAAGTTGGTGCAAACAACTCCAGCAACTATGGTTTCTGGTAGATATATTTCTTCTTAAGGTGGGAAACACAATAATGAAGCTACCATTCGGGGATGGTTGAAACAACCAATTTTTAGCTATGGCCCGAAATACCAGCTATAATTACTTATAACACCATTTATGGAATGTAGAAGAATCCCATTGAAATAACCAGTTACAACCATTTGTACTTGGTAAACGACCATAACTGTAAAAATGGTGATTTGGGGGATGCTTTACTGGTGGGTTTAGAGGTTTCCCACCCAACACAGCGGAAGACTGAGGTTGGGAACTCTCGGACTTTTACGATGTTCCCTTTGGTCTTAGCACTGCCAAGGCGGGGCAAAGTGCCCTGGGCGAAGTGTCCTGTGCGAAGTTTGGTGATTGCAGTTATGGCCCGAGTTCTACCAGTTAGAAGAACTAACCCCATTTATGGGATGTATAATCCCATTTATAACAAGTTATAACTAACAAATGGCTTTAACTATGGTTATTGATGTGATTCTGGATTTCTTTATATCATTCATCTTCAAATCATTACTCATATATTATATGGCAATTAAATCACTATACTGCTGATTTAGGTCATTTAAAGTGGAAGAATCTTTGACGATTATTCACATTTTTAAAAACAACAGTATACAGTGTATATATATATATATTCATATATATTTATATATTCACACACATATATATATATAGGAATATTTATATATATATATATATCGTCATAATTATACATCTACGGTGACTCATTTCTCAGGTGATTCATGTAATTATAGATTCTTACAGATTCTCCACATTTAAAAGGGCCAAGAACTGAAAGTGTCGCATTCAAAACCCTGAGAAGAGTACTCGATGCTTCGATCTGTTGTTGTTCCCTTCGAAATTCTATTGGAAATCCATGGACATCCCATCATTTCCCCACGATTTTCTCACGATTTTCCCATGATTTCATCGTTTCGGCCCGAGAGGTTCCCCGTGGCGCTGTGTGGTACCTGGAACGTGTCTATGGTGCCGATTGGAATGTCACGGTGCGGCCGCACAACTATGCCTCGCAGCATGGGGAGGGCTTTGAACCCATGGAGGTCCCCTGGGGGCAACGGGGTCCGGGGCCAACGGAGATTCCTCCTACCTTCAAAATATGGTAGTTTATTTAGTGATATATGATATTTACTATGGAAAATGACAATTTTTAATGGGTAAACCAACTATCAATGGCGATTTCTGTATATATATATATGTATATATATGGAGGTTTCCATAAATGGGGGTACCCCAAAATAGTTTGCAATGGAAAATCCTATCAAAAGGGATGATTTGGGGTACCCCCTATTTTAGGAAACCTCCAAATAGACGTGATTCATCAATATTCAATGGGGTGCAATGAAACAACATAGATCTGAATATAGATTAGTTTCATTGACTCCCAAATGAATGTACAAATGTGCATATATATATAAATGTATGTATGTGCTGCACAGTACACAGCTTGATGAGGATATTGGAAGGTTGAGGTACATCAAAAAAGGGAAACTCTGGGATGGTTGGGGGTTCAAACCACCTGAAAAAAGTATTGGTCCCCTGGCACTTATCAGTGTGTTGGCGGTACTATGGGTCTAGGGGTCTAGGCCCTTTGAAAATGTTATTTTTTTCCTGTTGGAATGGAGTAGCCTCCTGAAAGCCCATGTGTTTGTTGGGGAAAACATCTATGATACAAGCACATCTCATTTGGCAAACCCAGTGATAAACCTCCATGTTTTTTGTATGCTTTGTTACTGGCTTTACCGCATGTTTTTCCTCAACCATTGGGCTGTTTCAGGGAAACATGACAGGAAACACCCCTGATCTTCATGGGAAAACCAGGGATTTTCCGGTTGTTTTTTTTCTTCTACCCTCTGGTAAACTAACATAGCTATTGAAAATTGCCATTTATAGTGGATTTACCCATTAAAAATTGTGATTTTCCATAGCTATGTTAGTTTACCAGATGGTAACCAAACCATTGACCCCAGGGGTTCAGCTGGGGTTTTCATGGCTCATCCATGGCTCCCAGGTGTCTCGGCTCAAGAAACGTGCCGCTGAGCCTTTTGGACCTCTACCTCTGGTGCTGTGAGATGAGTTAGAGACGGGACTTGAGGATGGTTCCTGTTGACATTTTTAAGGGGTGACGAATGGCTATAATTATAGTGCAGTTTGGGTTTTAAATGGGTATACCATGGCATACCCATGATAATAATCTCCATAAGTTGGAAGAATAACCCTTACAACTACGCAGTTATTAGTGGAAATGCATCCCCTAGTAAAAGATATTTCCCCCTAGGCATAAGTTGGTTTAGTGTGCCAAATCCATCAGATTTTGGATGACAACATGTCGGTGTGGAGTCTCAATTTTGACATCACGCTCATATGGTGGGTTGGACCACGGTTGGATAGCCATTTAACTGAGACAATCATTGCACATTCAACTGTCCCAGCGAACTTTGCATTAGTTGCTGGCAAATCAGGATACATTTTTTCGAGAAGTATTAATTAATATGAATCTGTCTTGAAGACAAACCAATCATGGCTGCAAAAAACGGATTTAAAACGGAATTGTGCTTGAACATGGACCCGGAGGAAAAAAAACACGTTGATATGAACCCGCAATGGTCAAGTAGGAAATGATGATAGGTCAGCATCTAGCACGTTTATCAGCATCCTTGGGGCAATCGATAGTGACTTAGTGACATGGATCGACCAACCTGGAGTCCCAGCTGCGGTTAGCAGGTGGTGCCCGCAACGGGTATCACTTGTGGGGTATGAAGACTGGATCCCAGGCTGAAGATCAAATAATTATGGGCTTGTCTGAACAAAATGGGGAAAAACCTCGAAATCCATGGGTTAATCATCATTATCCCCGCAAAACAAAATCCATGTGGATCATTTGGAGGTGTTATACCCGTTCAAACGCACCAATATGGCTTCAATTACTGCAGCTTGTTTCTATATTCGAGTATGGATCCAGGCAATTTTGTACCCCGTATGTGTTGGATTCTTATCAATCGCTTGTGAACTCGTGAAAAAGCTGAAGCAGCGTCGGAAAGGGAGGGACATCAGGAATCTACTGTAGCCAACAGCTTTCGACGTTTCAGCTGACTACTACCCATCTGGTCATATGTGGGAATCTGAGGTGGCAAGGGTGCGCAGTTAAAGCCCCGAGGGGTGTAGTATGTATATATAATTATATAGGCCTTCTACAGAAAGGACCAGTTAACACGCAGAACGACCGGAGTCTTTCGACGGATCCAAACTTGATCCTACCGATACCAAGACCCATTCCAACCAGCCATTGATATAGCTTGGGCACTTTTCACTATCGAATGCTGTTTAAATTGGGCACAGAATTTGTGACCTATAGTCATGACTACCCTCTGGTAATTTAACATACGTAGCTATTGAAAATGGCCATAGAAATAGTGGATTTACCCATTAAAAATGGTGATTTTCCATAGTTATGTAAACGTTTACCAGAGGGTATAGCTCTGTTCATTCACCTACCTTGGATCCCCACAGTGCAGAGGATGACCATCGACATGTTGCAGTACAGCTTTGAGCAACCTGAGGACACGCTGCTGATGGCTGCTGTGTGCCCCAAAAATGTCATTGAAATGTGTGGAAGGTGATGTTTCTTCATAATGGCAATTAAGATACCACGTTCAAAGAAGGTAACTAGTGGAACTAAAGTTCCCATAGGCTCTCGGATGATTTTGGTGGTTTTCCCAGTTCCATCATTTTCAGAGCCATAGACAAGGTGGTGGGGGCCCCCGTTTACGAAAACGCTAAGTGGGTGGACATGGCTCCAATAACGATTGGGTTGTGTGGAATATAATGAAGCAGTTTTCATAAAGGGTTTACAAACCAGAAAACATAGTGTTTGGGCGCCCAGCTTGCTCATTGGGACGGTCTTACTTAGAAAAAAACTTATAATTCTTATTCAATTAGATCACCATTAAATCCCGTTAAATCCACATTAAATCCCGTTAACACACAATTTTTGGCCGGCAAAATAGCTATGTTTCTCAGTTATTTTCCCAGGACGTTCTGGCCACACATCGCTCGGAGCACGAAGCTCGAGGTTCGGATGGGAAGTGAGAAACCATGGGGAATATCATTTGCACATCATGGGATTACCCTCTGGTAATTAGCTATTAAAAAATTGGCTCATTTACATGGTAGACATAGAATTACTTTACTTCGTGTGATCCCCACCATGACATTTATACATGTTCTTACTGGCACATCTTCTGGCATTCTATCTGACATATCTTCTGACATTCTATTTGGCATTCTATCTTCTGGCATATCTTCTGGCATTCTATCTGGCAAATCTTCTGGCATTCTATCTGGCATATCTTCTGGCATTCTATCTGACATATCTTCTGGCATTCTATCTGGCATTCTATCTGGCATATCTTCTGGCATTCTGACATATCTTCTGGCATTCTATCTGGCATTCTATCTGGCATTCTATCTGGCATATCTTCTGGAATATCTTCTGGCATATCTATCTGGCATATCTTCTGGCATATTTTCTGGCATTCTACCTGGCAAATCTTCTGGCACTCTATCTGACATTTTATCTTCCTACATGAGGTCCGGCAGGGAACACTTGGCGTGGATACTCGCGGTTGAGGTCCGGCAGGGAACACTGGGCGTGGATGGTCGTGGTTGAGGTCCGGCAGGGAACACTGGGCGGGGATGGTCGTGGTTGAGGTCCGGCAGGGAACACTGGGCGTGGATACTCGCGGTTGAGGTCCGGCAGGGAACACTGGGCGGTGATGGTCGTGGTTGAGGTCCGGCAGGGCACACTGGGCGTGGATGGTCGTGGTTGAGGTCCGGCAGGGAGCAGGAGGAGAGGACAACGAGAGGAGGAGGACAACGAGAGGAGGAGGAGAGGAGAGGAGGAGGAGGAGGACCAGGCAACTGACATAAAATCTAACAACCCTCACCTGGCAGGTGGGGAAAAAAACGATGGAAAATCATCATGTTCTAGCTGGGTAAATCCACTATTTCGACTGGGCCATTTTCAATAGCTATGTTAAATTACCAGAGGGTAGTTCGTTGATTTACCTAGTAGTAAATATGGTGATTTCCTTTAGTAGCGGAATGTGAACTGAATCTACTTGCTCCACAGTTATGGCCTTTTACCAGGTATAAGTCAGTTATAAACCCCATTGATGGAATGATAGCCCCAAAACAATAGCCAGTTAAAACCATTTATAACTGGCAAGTGTTTTTATATAACCGTGGGATTAACTATTTTAATTATATAATGGGAATATGATTCCCAATATCATTGCAGATCAAGTAAATATTCCAAATTGTTCCATATCATTTTGCAGCGCATATGATTGCATAGTTATTGCAAATGCATATTTATTGCAAATATTTGGAATGATATTTACACATTCCCATCTTATGTAACTTATTCCCATATTAACTAGTATCATAATTTGATTCAGTTGCATATGTTTTAATATAAAATGTACATATTATTAGTGGAATTAATATTTCCATATTTACAGTGGGATTTGAATTCTGGATCTGGAATATAACAGCCAAGTGGATAATATAATATAATTGTATTTTCCATGTTACCGGGATTTGAATTGACATTTCCATATTCACAGCACAGGTTAACACGACGTATGGACAAACTTTCAGAGCACCGAGTGTCTCCGGGTCAGTTTGTTAGCACAAACGTGCAGAGGACGACGGCAAAAGCTGCTTGCAGCAAGGTTCAGGTCAGGGTTTGCCAACCAGTACAGCAACTAGATAATGGAACATCCTATTTAGATGCTTTATAACTTAGATATACCCTTTGGTTATTTAACATAGCCATGGTATAGATGGCCCATAGAAATAGATGTTTTACCTATTAAGAGCATGGTGGATCTTTCCATGGCTATGTGAGTCATAAGCAGATGGTAAGTTGATTAAAACACCTCCAGTTTCTCAGGCTCAGCAGACCGAACAAGGTGAGATACAGGCAATCGACAAAGTCGTTCCTTTTTTAAAGAAATGTATATATTTAGTTGCGTCGAAGCTTTCCCTGGAAGTCGTGCCTTTTTGCAAAACGCAAGCAAACTCTGGTGATCACAGCGCAACCATGTTTTTAAGTGTTTTTGTGTTTTTTCTTGCGTTCAGCTTGGGTTTAGGTATCTAGTTATGCTTAGGGTATATGTAGTTTTTGCTGCGTTCAGTTGGGGGGAAACTTTTTTTTGTTGCAGCTGCTTTCTTATCAGTGACTTCTGTACGTTCAACTGTATTCAGCAACTACTGTCAAACTGCTGCTCAATTGCTGGCTGTTGCTCAGTTGCTGCCGCTGGCTACTGCCAAACTGCTGCTGGATTGCTTCTGAACTACTACCTACCGCTAGGCTTACGTCGTACCAAGTGACCTGAAGTCGTATCACACCTGCGTGCGCGCAGTGTTTCGTTTAGATCACACCAGACCGTAGTCGGAGAGCATGCCAGGAATGCAAGCCCGGAGACAGAAGCAAAATAATGTGACCCAGGACTGCAACCCTTTCAAAGGAGTAAGAACTTACAAACTGCCTTGGCCTCTTTCTGTGTAAGGGGGCCATAGCTACCCAGAGAACCCCATACAGATAAACCTGTTTGGGGAAGAAAGTGGGCAAAGAAGAAACAGTGAATCGCAAGCACAGGGAAGAGAAAAAAGGGTGAAAGTGAAAGGTTCTGATTTGGAAAGGGTTATTTTGACGCTTGCGTTCACAATGGGGGAAGACCGAAAGGCATGACTTAGGCATGACTTCTTGATGTTGCGTTCACAAGCGGGGAAAGCGAAAGGAGTGACTTAGGCATGACTTTGTCAAATCCCTGTAGCGTCAACATGGAAAAAGGGAAATGCAACAAGGACAAACGTCAGGTTGCGCCACAGAAACAAGGGTTCCAACCTGTCTACCTCAGGATTATTATATACATATATATATATATATGTGGCTGTGTCTGTTTTTAACGTGTACAGATTTTAGTAAGGCAGGATGTTCGAGTTGTGCGAATCATACCCCCGAATCATAGCCCAAAAAATCACGTTTATGAATGTTTCTTTTGG